AATGAGTCCAATGGAGAGAAAGAAAGAGAGAAAGAAAGAAAGATATGAAGGGATGGTATAACAGTATGAGATGCAACACATATAATAAAATTAAGTGAACAAATGGTTAAGTGTTTGAGTGTTTCGTTTGATACATTGCTATCAATTGGATACTACTATCACTTAATGGCAATGTGTTTGAGATGGACAGTCGTCCATCATATGAAAAATGGTTACAAACAAAACAAACAACACTTTAGATATACAATATATTTGTGACACAATTTATTTAAGTGTTAGTCGTTTTTAATAATAATACAAGAAATCAAAATACTCTATTATATTATATTTAGATCTTATCGTTACATAGTCTGCTAGAAAATTATTTATAGACAATAATAAAAAACAAAAATTATATATCTATATATTGCTACTACAATATTAGTTTATATAATTATACATTTTTTAAAAGTTATCGTAAAATAATAATTTTGTTTACTATGATAACATACTGTATACATTTCATACAATGTATAGTTTATTTTTTAAAAAAGCAATAATTTAGAAAATTAATCCTTAAATTGATTGATTTGATACTATAGTTTACAAACAGACAGACAGACAAACAAAGTTAATCAATCAGTTGTCGCAAATGTTTGTTACTCTATATTTTGTTTGACATTTACTGCCATTTATTAAGTTTGAGTTTCAATTAATAAATTATACGTTTTCGGTAACCCTAACGATAACATCTAAATATACGGCAAAACCTTTATTTTTCGAAAAAAAAGTGAAATCAATTTTATCGTATCTGAAAAATAGCCAACAAGTGATAGGCCTTACGAGTTAAGACATGCGATTTAAACACTCAAAAACAGTTTGCTATTTATTTTTTTTAAAAGTCTATTTTGAAAAAAATATGTTTTAAAAGGCAATGTTTTGTGAGAAAATGTTTACCAAACGCTACGAAATTTTGGTTTTTGTTTTTGATAAATTACTTTTGATAAAAAAAAAGTCCACAAAAATAGTTATAAAAGAGTTTATTTGGGTTTATTAAACATATATAACTATTTTAATATTTGTTAATATAAATAATATACTATAGTATATATATATATATATTATATTCACATAAATTTACTATACTTTAGTTATATAGATATTTTTTGGTCTGAGAAAAAGATTAACTTTAGGCTAATAGATAGATACCGGTGCTTACGATATGAGAAGCAGAATTACAGAATAACATTAGAAATATGTATTCAATTTGAAACATTAAAATGTTTCTGTAATTTGATAGGCAAATGAAAATAATGTTTATATTTGAAATAAATAAGCTATGATTTGATGCATATGTCATAAGAGTTTCTCTTATAATATCAAACTAAGTGCCAAATCATACAATATATTCAACAACTATTTATTGATATATTTATATATATGAGTCAAACCCACAAAAGTATCATCTCTTAAGTATTGCTAAAAATATAAAAAGCATTTAAATTAAGACTTCTTATGATTTACAAAAATATTTTGTTATAATAATGTCTTAATACTGTATATTGTAAACTCACTAAGAAATTTGCAAATAATTACAAATTAAAGTGTTTATTATGTATATATTATATTTTTAAATATCCGCTTAATTCAATATTTTAGTAAAATTTATTAATAAAAATAAATATATTTAACTAAATAAACATAATAAAAAGTTCCATTCAATAATATAATATAACTAATTTGTTTGTTTTTTGACAATAAGTTAATCAATGTCTAACAAACTATTATCCATCAAATAATATATTGCTATAAAATATGTGTATTACTTAAGTTAAAAAATACATTAAAGATGTTTTAGATAGAAATAAAGCACATATTATACAAACAATTCAAGGCTTTATACAATATATATATATAGTAATGTGCATTAATAGAAAACAATTTACAGTATAAAATTGTACACAAATCATAGATATAGAGTATATACTGTAAATATGTTGTCTAAGGGGCCCAAAAATTTAAGTTTATGTAATACTGTATACAAACATAATAAACTATTAAATAATAAAATATAATAATAGTAATGTTAGTAAAAGTTAATGTTTTATAAAAATTTATATTGAAATGACAATTATCAATAATAGATTATTATAGATAACATTTTGCCCGTCACAATATGCTATTTTTATCAACTATTTTCTAAATCATGCTATTCATACTCACATTTAACGTAAAACTGACACAAATTATATGAACAAAAAACACTTTCAGTCATATAAGAAAAAATTTCAAGAATTAATTTGAAATTGAAATCTATTTTCTATCTGTTATTCATTCATAACATAATTCAAGTAAAATAACAGTTATATAAAAAGTTATATCTATTCCTATTGTCAAATCAACTAGTTTTCCAATATAACTAGTATTATAAAACTTTATTTTTTGTTAACTGTATTTAAAGAAAACAAAATTGTTGAGTTTATTTATAACAATAGGATTTTAAAACTTGTAATAAAATAAATTTGTTTTACTACTAAAATTGATTATGGTTAATTTTTAAAATGTGCTCAAAATACTGAAAATCACTTTTTCAAGTCACTAGAGATCACAATTCTCTTGAAGACTTCAAATGATGAAAATACTCATTTGATACCAAAATTCTAGTATCCGATGTAATAACTGGAGGGTAATTCTTAACAGTGGTGTAAAAGCACTGGTATGTAATATATACCCCAAACTCATTGTCTATTTTCTACTGTATGTATACTTAACTTACTCTATGTATTATATATGTTATTATTATTCTTTTCAGATACTCTCTCTCTCTCTCTCTCTCTCTCTCTCTCTCTCTCTCTCTCTCTCTCTCTCTTTCTCTCTCTCTCTCTCTCTCTTTCTCTCAGCTCTCCAGACAATAACAAGCAATTGGATTAGAGATTAGAGACCGTAGTGTTTACACACTATTCATAAGATATGAAGAAATGTGGAAACGGTGTATATATTTGTGAACGACTATTATCTAGTAATACAAATAGACTAACAGTGGACTCATCGGTGGACGGTATATATTCAACTGTTGGAGTGGTAGTAGTAGTAGTAGTGAATGATGAGCTCATATTTACAAATAAATTACAATAGTGAGTACATCTCTCTCTCTCTCTCTCTCTCTCTCTCTCTCTCTCTCTCTCTCTCTCTCTCTCTCTCTCTCTCTCTGTATTTGTATTTTCACTACTGTTTTCATTATAATTGGCTCTCAATATACAAGAAAAAGTCTTAATATAGCAATACATAGCCAATGGATTCACTGATAGTCGGGCAAAACGGGAACCGACTGCAAGTAATCTTCATTTTTTGTGAGACAAATGAGATTTACATTAGTGTTAATATGAAATTAGCGCTGTTGTTGGTGTTGTTTGCTATTTAACAGTATAGACATGTCATTTGTAACCTACCAGTGCTTATACTATATGGAAAACTTATGTAATTTTTTATCGAGCAATTAATAGAGCGCTAGAGTGGAAACACTAGAGAAAATTGTTTTGTTAGTTACAAATCAATTAAAACAGATATACACTACTATTACTACTACTATACTACTGGTGCTAACTATACACTAAGTAATGACTATATTGTTAAACTAATGTTAATGATGTGTCTCTCCCTCTTTAATGCCCGACCCTCTCAGTCCTGAGACGAGGACTTCATTTATATTAACGGATCAAATGGATTGTACGCTTGATTTTAATTAGCAAAAGAAGTGATAGTAAGTTAGCGTCTAATAGAGTATCTATCGATACGGCAAACGAGTGAACTGTTAGAGAGTGCTAATAGTCTATACCCTTAATAGATAAACCATAAGCTCTCGAGAGTCTCGTTGGGCGCTAAACAACATTAAGGCAAACAAAATAACTGTTCATTCAATGAAAATAACAAACACTGGGTTAACATTAGGAGGTAATTAAGTGAACTAAACTCTATATACAATGACAATGTATTACTGTCCACTTATGCCAACATTTTTTCATCAATTAGTTAAAATAAGTGCTCAAAAATGTGAAAACATACCAATTTTTTGTCACTTTTTTACAGAGTATCGCAAATGTCATTATTCATGAGTTAAGTAATACTAAATTTTATTGTAAGCAAAAGATTTTCTCAAAATTAGTCTTTCATCTCATGTTTCACATGAATGTAATCTTAATTAAATTAGTTGATTAACTTAAAAAATTATATAATTAATTGACTTTAATATATCTCATTAAGAGATATCAATAGTAGTGATTGTCTCAACTAAATAGTTAAGTCGTTTCAAAAATATACCATTCAATTATATTAATTAATCAAAAATAAAAATATTTCACAATTAAATTAATGATTCAAATCGTTTATATACATTCATAATTAATAACAAACTGTATAATAGTTAACTATAGTTTATCAAATATATTGAATTAGCCTTCAAATTGAAGATAATATCTGATACAGTATTTAGGAAGAAAAAGTGGACAAAACAAAAGTTTTTTTTTGAAAAAAATTATTTAATGCTCAATACATTTGTAGAGAAATCTATCTAAAAACTTGATATATGAGTAAAATATAAGAGAAAGAGAGTGTTTCACAACAATTTTATGTAATCTTAGTTTTGGTAACATTAAGTATATATATATTTCAAGTATAACATAAAAAACATATATTGACTCGAGTCGTATGGTTTGACACGAGTCCGGGTCACTGATAGACTATAAATCACACTTCAATATACACACACTGTTTGGTCAACAATAGAGTCGGTTATAAAATATAATAATAATAATAATAATAATAATAAACTTTAAAACACAAAATCATAGCTTCAAATAGTGAGTCTAACAAAGTTTTTTCCGCTTTATTATTTTTATATAGTAGTATTCAATAAGTTTAGTATTTATATACTACTGTACAATATAGAAAACGATACAACAATTTGTTTATAATTTTTTGACGTACAAAATAAAATAACTAAAAAATATTTATATAAAGTTAGGGTAATAAATGTTAATCTCGGATAAGATTTACAAAACAAAAATACAATAATCCATCAATCAATCAATTATTATTATTGAGATTCAAATCGTTTGATAGCGTTTTCAATCATTTTTTCGCTCAAAAGCCACAGTTTAGCGCTCAGATCGTTATTATGGGCCGTTTTGGAGGCTTCACAACGAAAACAGTTATTGAAATACAGACCACCGACTCCTTCCAGTTCGGGTGCTGTGGAACAGTATACCGTAGTGGAAGCTCCCTGTCCCTGTCAGGGCATAACAATATACCATATAATTGTATATATATATATATGTATAGCATGTCATTATTCATAATCAAATATTGGCTTATAACTTATAAGTTATTGACTGACTATTAGATTAGATTCAATTCAGGCATAAATTTAATATATAATATAAGTACTGTATATATATATAAATACAATTTCCAAAATGCTATCGATTTCAATATCTTTTTTTAAAAAATAAATCTTATTTTATATGTAATACCATAAACATTGTATATAAATTTGAAAAACTTACAGAACATTACTTTTTTTAATAATAACAATTTATATATTAATTTTTCAGACAGAAAGTTATTTGATATCAAAATTTTATTATTGCTATAATTATTATCAGAAAACTACTATAAATTAGACATGAAAAATTAAAATTCATAATATATAAATATATACATTTTAACATAAATTAATATTTCCCATAACATACATTTTCATATTCCATGCTATATATCAATATATAAAATTGTTTAGACTAAACAATTTATAAACATTTCTAATATAAAAAACAACTAAAAATCAATAATTGTCGCATCATTTAAAAAAGACATATAAATATCAGATTAAATTATATTTAATGTCAACGATTCGCGACTCTATGTAATATATTTTTGCCGACTGTATAAACAAATTTTCATTAGTCTTTCATTAAAACTTATAAATAATTTTATTAAAAAAAACTACAAAACTAAATATCAAAAGCATGTTATTAAAGAGTTAGAAATATTTTTTATACATTTTCTGAATAACAATAAATTTATATCGGCTACAAAATTGTATATATTTTTTAACAATAATTTTAATCTCAAATGTTTTTAAAAGTCACAAAAAAGATTTATTCGTATAAAAAATATAATAATTTATTCATTTATATTATTGTAGACAACAAACAACTAATTATAATAAATGTAAAATTTAGTGTAAATATTAAATAGACACTACACTAATGAATAATGGCTTTAAATGTGTTTGAAAATAAAATTACTTTTATTACTCTAGAAATGTGAGTGAAATAGAGTTGTTTTTGTGTCTATTATTAGAAAATTGTTATAAACTTTACTTATATTTTATATAAAATGTAATAACTCTAGCATTGAAAGGAAAGAGTGAAATAGACATATAAAATAACTGTTTGGTTATACTGTATATAAAAATATTTATTATAAGAAATAAAAATGTTAGCGATCGTAAAATTTTTTAATTGCTTATAAAATACCATTAAAATAATCTCTGTTTAATAACCGTCTCAAACAAACCGTTATTAATTAGTATTTTTTAAGCCATAAATATAACATTATTTCTATTTATTAAACATAATTTGTATATATCTTATGCCAAATAGGTTTATGATATTGTTATGTAAATACTATCAAAAATATAATCGTTGCAAACTGTTTGACAATATACAGTACATAATAAAAGCATTTTTATTACAGAGTATTTTTGTTTTCAAATTTTATATATTATTTTTAAATAAAAATAAATAACAACAAAAAACTATATAACTTACCAACGATTTAGTAAATGGTCGCACAAATGCAAAGAGTAGTCTCATTAACCACCAATTGCGGGACAGATCTGTGTTAATCATATTTCCCGGATGGCAGGCATTGGATGTTACCCCGTATATCGAGAGTCGGTAATTCAATTCATTTGAAAATAAAACGTTACATAATTTTGTATCATTGTATGCCATCATTGAGACAAAGTTGCGTGAAGTTGGCGGTGAGATCCAGTCCTCGCTAATTGTTTCAATATTTATTGTACTGAATCTATGGCTCTCTGATGACAGGACAACAACCCGTGCCGGTCGCGAGTCAATCAATTTTTGTTGCAATAATTTAGTCAAATAAAAGTGCGACAAATGATTTGTTTGAAATGTTGTCTCATATCCATCAACTGTTAATGAATGGGGTAACGACATTATGCCGGCATTTAGGATCAATATATGCAAAGGTCTATACAAATAATTTAGAGTTAACTACAATATGTTATTTAAATTCATAATAATTTAACAAAACATACAAATCAAGTGACAAGAATTGTTTGGCAAAATTTTGGACACTTTGAAGACTTTGTAGATCGCACTCAAATGCATTGAGCTTTGCTTTCGGCTAAATAACAATTTTAGATAATTTGTCGAAAATTAATGATAATTAAAAAAGTTTTAAATACTAAGTTATACAGTATTTCTCTTAATCTCAATAATGGCTTCATTTGCTTTATCGACACTACGACAGGCCATTATGATGTGTGCCCCGTGTGAGGCCATACTGCGGGCTGTTTCCAATCCAATGCCAGTATTGGCACCGGTTATTAAAACCACTTTACCGGTGAGATCACGTCCGTGTAGAACCTGATCAGCGGTAGTGGACGCATCAAATCGTTGTTTATAATCTCCATCACTATCTGTATCTTCGACAGCAAAAGCCAATCGTGGATCGGTATAAGTCGTCTTTTTGGTCGTATGACTACAATTGTAATTATATTATATTTTATAATTAATATAATTTAATTTTACGGTAATTACTCCATATAGATAACAGTTCCGTCTTCAAGTATTTGCCGACTCCAACCTATGTATACCAACAACAAAAACAAGTTAATTATATGGATCACCAACTGTTCCGACCACCACTTCAACCATTTCTAAATTCAATATACTATATATGCTGTTAATATATATATATATATACTGTTATGTTATTATATGGAAATCAAATGCTCTTTTTGGAGGAACAGTTGGTTTTTTTAAATGTCAATCAATCAAAATGACTGACCAAACGGCAACTCTCCGGTCACGCGCTTTCTTTTGCCGGTCAATGGATGTGTCCATTGGGTTGCCTTCAGTTGATGGCTAACAGACAAATAAAATATAAAACCATAAGATTGGATCAATTAATGTGATTGTAATATACTTTGCAAAATAGACTTTTCCATCTAAAGTGATCCTCTGTTCCCATCTTTTTTAAAACCCGACATATCTTTTAGTTAACTCTAACTTCAAAAGTGATTCATTTGACAATTAAATACCCGTTTGGAAGTTCGTCCTCACTGTCTGTTTCGGGTAACAAACTGGCCATCACTTCGGCTAATAAATGGTTTGCCGACTAAACTATAAAACAATTTATTGGAAAATCATTGGCTTTTAATACATATTATTATTACATAACATGTGTTTACAGACAACATATGTATAGCCAATAGTGAACTCTAGTGTCGATCACATGTTGTGAGAGACTTAAAGTACGGCAATCAGTGATACCATAGAAACCATTGGTTGTCATAGAAAGTGGTTTAAAGGGAAACACATTTCAAATGAAAACAAAATAATTTTTTGACATTTGTTTTGTCATCAGAAGTGTTGTGTCCATCACTTGTCGTCGACAACACCTAAGACTTTGAATCAATTTAGTTCATCGCTATATAGTACTGATGATATCAATGGATCAAATGAATAAATCGATGGCCAGTCAATCGGTCAATCAATCGGTGGTCCATTTGATTGACAATCCGATGGGAAAATTGGATCTATTCATAACCATCAGTGTCTTATGTTATGCAGCACTTCTTTGGTCAATATTCAGGACCTGGTGTTTCGCCAAAAGAAATGGCAAGACTGCCATCGATCTCATGATTATCATTGACTTTATAATGAATACCATTGCTGTCATCGCCAATGTTTTCTTCATTGCCAACGCTTTGGTCGCCGTTTATATCTTTATGATGTTCAAGAAGAAGACAATGATCAGACTCAACAAAGATCAAGAATATTCACTAATTATTTACATTATCGTTGCATTTGTCATGAAATCAATTCATTTGTTATACAAACTTATAACCATTTCAACTGTTAATATATTTTTCATTGATTGGGAAAGACCTAAAAATCAAGAAAAGTCTTCGTTAGTCACTATAACACATCCTAAACATTTGGCTAACGATAGTCCAATTGATGACAAGTTAATGACAAATTCGGGTCAAATAAGGCGAAATTCTGGCCACAGATTAAGTATTAGCGGATCTCTGGGCAGTCCGACATCGAAAGCCGACAAACCGTTGATTGAGTTTCCAAACGTAACCGTCTGGAGGACTAACTTTGTGGCCAATGAATGGATGGAATTATGCGGACGAAGACGTCTCAGTTTAAGTGTTCACATATTACTAGTTATTCTTGTTTTTGACGTATGATTTTAATAATCAATTATTTTTATTAGAAATTTTACTGAATATTATACTTTATATTGATTTTTTTTTTTAAATAGTGGTTTGGTTTGGCAAACGTTGCCATTTGTGAATCGGATAATACCATAACCATTGAAAAATCTGATGAATATGTGCCTCAAGTTACTACCTGTAGGCTAGCTATCGGTACTCTAGTGACCACTATTTTAGCTTTAATAAACATAGTCATCAAGAAATTAGTTTATGAAAATCTAATGCACAATGAATTGCATCAATTTGTTGATTTATGTTCAGTTTGTAATGTAATATAAATCACTTTTTTAATTAACGTTAATATTTTTTATTTATAAATTATTTTTATAAACATTTTTAGATAAGTGTGTTTGTAATGCTATACAAACGTTTTGGTTATTACATTCATGGTTTGGCTGCTAACGGGAAAAGTGATGTTAATATGGTTGAGATGTATGAACTGTTGGAACGGGAGGAGAACGACCTGTGCTCTAAACGTGGTCTTCTGCCAAATTCAGATCACCAAACATTTGAGATGTCACTGCCATTAGCTATTGATGAACATTATCGACGAATTCGTTCAAATTTATCCGGTTTTATCAAAATCACTGACAGAATGCGTTCATTTGGATCGCAAACATCCAAAATTGATATCCAAAAGTTGATTCCAACATATGTTTTGATTAATAAATTTTTGTCCGGTTTTATTGAACACAACTTTAAAGACGTTGATTATATAGTACGGGAAAAGTCGACATTTGAATCTATTTTAGACGCAGAGTTTGGTGATACCAGAGATAAAGGAAACTTTTATAGTGGTATGTGTTTTGATATTAATAATATATTTTATTGTTTTAATTACCGATAATTAATTGTTATTTACAGATAATGGTCATTCATTTGAAGCCGTTCTCTACTATGGTTTAGAGTCTACTTTAATTTGTTTTGAAATACTATTATTTTTGGTAAGCGACATGTGTTATCACAACTTTACTTTTTCAGCTATTTTTACATTTATTATATCAAAGGTATTATTACTACTGTATAATAATTACTGGTATATTACGGGTAATAATAATATTAAAAATTTAATGTGTTTTTATTTTGAAGATTATTTTGAAGATATTTTTAATTGCGAATCGAAAAAATTTAATCCGAAAAGCATTAATCGACTCAAGATTTCTTGTATAAACAAAATAGAAAAATATATAATATTTTGAATAATACTAATTATTGTGTATAAAAAAATGCAATACCGGTAATATTTTTATTTGTATACTATTTTTTAGAAGAGTTTACACTATTTGAGCATGGTTATTTTTGTTGTTCAAAAATTTAATAATTAGCCTGCACTTTGAGATAGTATGTAAAATCTATATTTAAAAGTTAAATTTTTCAACTTTTTTTACGATTTATATATATGAGATATAATATCTCAAAGTACAGATACATTTTAAGTAATAAATAATTGTATTTACAATACTAAAGTTATACATTAGTTTTGCAACTAAAAAACAAATGTTTTGATCTCAAAATATTCACTGATTTTGGCAAAGTTGTATTATATCAATAAATATATTTCTATAATTGATATTTACTATTATTATTACAAAAAATTTTAATTTTAAAGTTACTAGTATATTTTTTATTTGTTAGTTTTTCCAAATAATTTTTATAGTATTATTGGAGGATATGTTTGTTATTTATATAAATACATATAAAATGTATTTATATATGTGTATATTGAAATATATCTACAAACTAACACCACAAAATATATTACAATAACTTTTTTACTTTTATTTATTAGTATTCACTTACTGTACCAATTTTTTTTGTTGTTTTCTAGTCATACCGTATATATACAATATAATTTAGTCATTATATTTATCTAATTAAAATGTATATTATGTTAATATAAATTCATGTTTTACTACATCTATTACTATTTCTAATAATAAAATTATACCGGTATATTTTTAAGATATTTATTTTGAGTATTGTAATTAAAAATAAAACATACTAATTTTATGTAAACATTTATTATTATTATTATATGGTTTGTAGATTAATTTATTCAATAAAAATAAAAGTCAGTATAATTATTTTTAAATGCATATTTTTCCTTAAGTAAATTGTAAATTATAAACACGTATTTTACATGATTTATATATGTTATGCAATAATTGACGAAATTTGCATAACTATTGTCACACACACACACACACACACACACACACACACACACACACACATACAGTGTGTCTATCAGTTCATGTCAATAATGGTTTGGCAGAATAACAGGACTGTTATGTTATTTTGTTCACCCAATTATGGTCGCTATAAGCAGCACAAGGGATGTCAAGTGATGTAAGAGAAGTGCTGAGCGCATGACATCTCCAAGTGATGTGTAATGTTTACACATATAGTTAAGCATCGCTTAGGTATTGCAAAGCGTCGAGCAAATGGAAAACAGGCAGTGAATGGCTTACCAAATGTTAGACAACTATTGCTATCATTTTTAAAACTATTGACTCTTACATACAGCCATTGAAAGGCATTTATCATTTCACGTGTTTATCAATTATATATTACTTTTTAAGCAGTTTTTTCGTTGTATTTTATTAATTAAATTACAATATTTTATCATTTTTATTATTATTTAAATTGTACAAATCTGATAGATTATTATGTTAAAATTAATTCAGAATTAATTTAAGATAAGTATAATACAATTAAAGGATACATTCAAAAGGTATGCGATTTATTTACTTTGATGTTTGTAAGTTAAATCTAATAAACTATAACAATTATTAATTTTAAATTATTAATAAAATATAATTATAAATAAATGATAATTTTATGTTTTATAGTCATTTTTAACAAATTAAAGCATTATAACAATATAAATGTAAATATCATAACATAACATTACTATATTTAACTTAAATATTTATTTAAATTATCGATTTATTATTAACATTATTATTTGAAATATTTAAGAAATTTAATATACTATTAATAGTCAAATTTGTTTACAATTAAAATGTTTAATGTTATAAAAATGTTGAAACATATGCTTAAAATTTAAAGCAAATATATTAAGAATTTGCTCATTTAATCAAAATTAATCTTATATTTACATTTAAATTAGAATTTCACTCAAATTGATTTAAACTATTATTATATAAGATTAAAATTATTGTATTAAAATAAAAGTCATTAAATACACATTAAATTTATAACAGTATTTATAATATATTTTATTTGGAATAAAAAATATAAGATTTTGACTTAATTACCAAAAAACTGAAGGAAACATAGAAATACTATTTAAAATTATAATAATTTAATTTAAATATCAATTTAATTACAAGAAATATTATACAATTGTAGAAAAACTTTAATTACAAATACATAGATCACGAGCAGTAGTATTGTTTTAAGTAACAAATTATTTTTGAATCACAATTTTTAACTCACATTTCAAGAGTTGGCTTTTGTCCAAAAATTAGATCCCAATATAAATCTCTATACTATTATTAAATCCTAGATTTAATTTGTATTTTTGTTGTCTTTGTTTTATTGCATAAACTTAAACGATAGTTAATTGTCTTAATGAGTACATAATCTAAACTATAAATATAGTTTTTGATATTTAATAGTATTTTTTATAGATTTGTATTATTTATTTATATTATAGTTATAAATTTTATTTTATATATTCATAATTAAAATTACTATTAATATTATTTTCTGTTTGTTTGGTTAATCTGTTGCTTATTTTATTAATATTTTTGACTATTTTCTATAATATATGACTATCTTGAATATGTGAATATAAAAAAATTAATAAAAGTACTCTATTAAACAATAAAAAATTATTTTATCTTTTTATTACATTTGACATTAATGTATGCATTTAATTTATATAAAGTACTGTATATAAAAACCTATGCATATATTTTGATTAAACTAAATGACAATTTTTTTAAAAACATAATTTAGATTTTATGTGACACAAGAATATTAATATTTTATATCATATACTAAAATAAAAAATTAGTTGTACCTATATTTTGCGTAAAAAAATATTTAATAGGTATTTTTATTTGTCTTTTATTTGTCGTTTATTTTATTTCAAAAATAGCTAATATTTTAGACTTTTGTTAACATTAAAAAACAGATATTCAATAATCTTTTTAACAAATTTTTCTAATGCTATGCTTGAAAATATTGATTTTATTTGACAATTTTCTTTATATTTTAGATGACAATGTGTAGGTTAAGTGAGGAAAATATTGTAGATAAAAGTTAATTATTTACTAATAGTTATATTATATTTTCTAACATGAATTACATTTTTGTGTTAGCAATCAATTTTAGTTACAATCTTTATACAGTACATAATAAAATCTAAGTTTTTATATAATATAAAGACATTGTTAAATAATTTTTGTCAACATTTTAATATAATACTAATATATTAAATATTAATTTTTTATTTAGCAGAATATTAATACTCCAGTAATTAATAAAAAAAAATCATTAATTAAGCGACTGTATGATTATATGAGTCATTCAATAAATATATTATTTTTTAATTTTTAACTCATTTTAAAGAAGATATATTTGAAGATAAATCATAAAAATGTCTCAAAAAAAGAAAAAGAGACTCTCATTGCACGACACGGAAGCCATAAGTAATAAAAAAATATTTAAACTTATAATAGTATTGTATTTATAATTACAGTTTTATTTATCATTTTCGGTAACATTTAGTGGCAACCAATGGTACTATTGTTCAGAAGTTGTTTGATGGCAGTAGTATTGAGACGACCGCCAGAATATCTGAAGGAAATATCTCTATTGTAGGTCTTAAGAGAAGAGTTGGTCTCATCAGTGGAACAGCTCTTATTGTGGGCACAATGATTGGTAGGGTTTTTAGACACACGTCTCACATAACTTAGAAAACAAATTATTTAATTATTGAAAATTAAATTATTAAATAAATTTCTTTTAATAAACTTATCTATTGTTAAAAAATACTATTATATTTTTATAAAGTCGAGTTAATCGTAACACACAATAGATTTATTATAAGCAGTATTTTAATTGAATTATGTTATTTTCAATAGAGTATTATTATTATATGAAAAAATGTTTAAAAATCAATTTATTTTATTAATTATGTGATTTTAGTGCATTAAATTTTAATAATTACTGGTAATAATATGTTATGTTGTATAGGAAGCGGTATATTTGTGTCACCGAAAGGTGTACTTGAAAGATCTGGATCAGTTGGTCTCAGTCTTCTAGTATGGACCGGATCTGGTCTCATATCTTTATTAGGTATGAATTAATAAAAATAAAATAATTTTAACATTAATTATTGCTAGTATTGCAAAATTAAAAATTATGTAATACTAGTTAAACTGATTAAGTTATATAAAGAAGCTTTAGTTAAATAATAATAATAATAATATGTGTGTAACCCTGTTATGTGACCTACAGGTGCCCTGTGTTACGCAGAATTAGGAACACTGATAACTAAATCCGGTGCCGAATATTCATATATATTGGAGTCGTTTGGAGGCCTTTTGGCATTTCTTTTCTCATGGATCTCAGTATTTGTGTTAAAGCCGGCGATGTTAGCCATCATATGTATGACATTAAGCGAGTATATCGTTCAGCCATTCTTTCCCGATTGTGCTCCCGATTCGTCGGCCGTCAAACTCATTACCATATTTTTTATCGGTTAGTCAACTATTTTTGTTTATAACAAACATTTTTTTTGTTGTGTCATAAAATGTACCGAAAAATTTAGTTCAGCACTCAATCCAATGAGATTTGACTGTTGTCTGAAAATTGTGTTAATTTGAACGTTCAAATCAAGTTAGCGGTACGTCAATGATAGTCACGATTACATAATTGTTTGTTTGTTTTATCATTTTTGATATTTTAGTTACCATAACATTTGTCAACTGCTATAGTGTTAATTTAGCCACTAGTACTCAAAATGTCTTCACGGCTGCCAAACTCTTGGCCATTATCATCATTGTCATCGGCGGTATTGTTAAGTTATGTCAAGGCAATACAGGTCTTATCACTAAAGGTTTTCAGGGATCAAAATTCAAGTTTTCCGACATTGCGACCGCTTTTTATAGTGGTCTTTGGGCTTATGACGGCTGGTATTAATTAAATATTTATATATTATAAAAATAAATAATTGATTTTTTAAATTATTATTATTTAAACAATTTGTTTTTGATTTAGGAATAATCTGAATTACGTTACTGAAGAATTGATTGATCCCTATCGGTATTTATTACACTATAAATATATTATCTAATAAATAAATAAATATATATATATATATATACTATTATAATATATAAACAATTTGTGAAAATGCAATTTAATGATATATTATTATGATTTAATGATATGTTTATAGGAACCTCCCGCTGGCCATTATATGTGGTATTCCTATGGTTACAATTTGCTATGTTCTCGTCAATATCTCATATATGGTATAAAATAAATAAATATATTTATATATAATGTAATAATATATATAAATAATTATTTTTTATTTTTCTTTAATGAATATTTAATTTGTTAATAACTAGACTGTTATGACAACTGATGAAATACTGGCATCAGATGCTGTCGCTGTGGTATAGATTTTATATGAATTTTAGAGCATTTATCTTTTAAATACTTAATGATCTAATATATTTGAAGGAATCCATTTAATATTTATTTATTATTAATTTTTTAACATTATTATAGACATGGGGTAGTCATGTGCTGGGAGTGGCGGCCATAATAATGCCCATATCTGTAGCACTGTCATCATTTGGTGCCGGAAATGGATCATGTTTTACAAGTGGAAGGTATTTAATATATTATTTAGAAATTAACACTATTTTTGGTGCCATATATTATGATTAAGGTTGGCATTTGTTGCGGCCCGAGAGGGACACCTAATAGATGTGTTGTCATACATTGATATGGATCGATACACTCCATCGACAGCTCTTATATTTAATGCATTCCTTTCAAGTAATATAACTTTTTATATAAAATTATAAACAAAATTAATATTAACAACAAAAAACCAAATTTTATTAAATTATTTAATTAATTAATATTTTCAATTTCAAATGTTTACAGTATTAATGGTGATTCCGGGAAATATTGAAAGTTTAATTGACTTTTTTAGTTTTACTGCCTGGCTATTTTATGGCGCTACCATGATGGCACTTATTGTTTTGAGATATAAGAGTCCATATAAAGATAAATCTAGACCATATAGAGTAAGCCATGTCAATTTAGTTTACAATAAAATTGCATTAATTAACTTTATTTATTAATTAAAATAGCATCTTGATAAATTATTAATTTAATATTTTTTAAATGTATAAAATTATATACTGTATATTACGATTTTCATGTTTTTTAATAACATTTTTATTTGTGATTATTTCTTTTATCCAATCAAATATATTTTATAAATTATAATCAATTAAAGTTCTTAAAATAGGTATAGAGTTTACATATAATACAGCATTTTGTTTTAAAAATAAAATATATGACAAAATTTATGTTAAATAATATAAAAATCCATAAAATTCTGATACATAATATAAAATATATTTATCAACTAATTTATAAATACATATACTTTTTATAATTATAAGATTTATAGAATAACTATATTTAATTAAACTTGAAAGTATGTTTAAATGTTAGAATTATTATATAACTTTAATTAAATAGAGTAATAACTATTATATTTAAACAAAATTTTATTTGTTTTTATAGACTCTGACAGTTATTTTCAGTCAAGTTTTAGCATTATAATTTGAAAAGTCTGATTATAATATGAAAATTAATGTAAATTTTATTAATGATATTTACATTTGTATTATTAACTAAAATCAAATTATTTATAAAAATCTTTTAGTTATTTGTTGTATTATACAAAACATATAATGAATTATTATGATAATAGCAATGCTACAAAAAAACAAATATTATGAAATAGTTATATTGATCAAATTACATTTGTTTTACTAAAATTTATTTGGTTTAAAATTTTAATTTTAATATAAATTATTCATGACTTTTATGAAAAATAAAAATGCAAATATATACAATATATTGATGGATTATATTATTTTTTTCATAAAAAATGAAACTCATTAAAAAGGGATAATATTGTATTATACACACATTTTGTGATTTTAAAAACATTATTCAACTAAATTATTAATATTTTTAAAAAGACTTATATATGAATTATGGTATTATTGTTACAGTATTAAACACTGTGATGATAATTTTTTTTGTTAGAATTTATCACTAATAAATCATAAGTAAATAACATAAGGAAATAATTAATATTCAAAAAATAGAAACAAAAGCCATTTTTAAAACAGTTATTATTAATAATACTAAATATTAATAGAAAAAAATCAATATAAAGATTGCATTTGTTAATAATGTACTTAATATTTGTTATCGAAGTTAATTAAATTTCTATATATATATAATTATTTTTTTTGATTGATAAACAGGTACATCTGAGTGTACCGATCGTTGTATTGTTAATATCGATATATCTGGTAATCGCACCGATAGCAGAACAGCCACAGATTGAGTATCTTTACGCCACTTTGTATATCGTTTCGGGGATACTATTCTACATACCGTTTGTTGTCTATAAGATTAGATTTCCTAATCTAATAAGTGAGTGTTATTTTTTGGGTAAAATAATAATAACATTGCTGTTAATAGTTTATTAATTTATGTTTTTTGTCTCTCTTTCTCTCTTTCTTTCTTTCTTTCTCTTTATTAGATGGTATAACAAAGGTATGTCAGCTATTGTTAAAAGTGGTTCCCTGTGAATATGGACCCGATCCGTGTAATTGATTAATTGATAAAACTGCAAAAACAAATGCCAAATTTTATTAAAATTTAATAATACACTTCTTGAACTGTCCCAATATATTTACTTTAATTACAAATTGATTTATAGATATCAGTGCAGTTAATTTTAACAAAAAAAAATCATTATTTTTATTTATATGACTAATCATATGTGACTTGTTTTTCAGCTAATATTAACAATTTATTAATAATGACAATAATATGTATTTTTCTAAACACAAACATAACTATTATTTAATTATTATTTGTAATAATTAATTTTTAATTAATAATTTATATATAATGTTTGCGGCTTTTATTTGCATACAACGAACAAATTTTTCAAATTACAAAAAAATATAAATATATAATTTGCAATAATAAAATCATTAAAATGTTAATAACTCAAAAAAATAATAATTTATAAATTTTCATATTGTTTAATAATTTGTCTTTTATTTGACTATATTTAGACGAAATTATATTTAGAAAAAATATATTTAATGTAACTTTTATAAAAAAATATAGAGAAATTAGAATATAAAATCTATTTTACATCTATATAAATAATTTATAATTTAATGCTATAATAATAGAAAAATAATAATAATTATACTTTTAAAATAATAATGTTTTTATCTCACGTTAATATATCGTATATTAATAAATAGTATATAATTTGACATCAGAGATATATAAACTATATAAAATGTTAAACAATATAAACAATTTAGTAAAAATAAAATTTATTTAATATTTTGTTCAAAATATTTGTTATATATCCTTATTAAGAATTTAAATATATGGTATATATTTAATACCAGTATATAAAAATTATTATAAACAATTCTGTTATAAATGTATCATTAATTCAATATACAGTATATGTGTTTGTGAGAGACATTCACTGTAATTGACATAACTGTGCCTATTATGCAACAACAGAGAGGTAGGTATATGTATATCCATTGATATAATACTGAAATAAAATTGAAAACATAGTTTACATTAAGACTGCTGTTTCACATTTTTTCATTCATATTTTTATATGTTATATTATATAAATATAGCTAAGATCTAATTAGTTATCAAATAATCTTATAAAAGTTAATAATTTTAGCAAAAATTATTTAAACATATTAAAATAAACTTATATTTAATATATGAAACAATATGCAATAATTGCCATAATCTTACTTATATTGAAAAACGTTTAGTTTATGTAATTTACTGTATTATATCCACATTTTTTACATATTATGGAAGTGTTTATTAATTACAATGTAAATCAAATATACTCTAACATAATATGTGTATATAATACTGTAGTAAACCTTTTTGACATCATATGAGCTAATGTTTAATGTTGACATCATGTATTGTAATGCTATATAAAAAGCAAATTTCGATCGAAAAATGGTTTCAAATGTTTCTCAAAATAGGTTAGCATTAGTTGCTATTATAATAGTGTAGTCAATAAAAGTCATGAAAAATCGATAATATTTTCAATGAAATACAACCTAAAAATCCATCCCTTATTTGTGTGCGTCAGTAGAGAGTAGAGCACAGAGAGTGAGCATAGGGTCAGACAGACTGAAAGATAGTAAAAACCGATAAAAACAGTTGGGTTTCCACTTCAATACTATAGAGTTAAACTACTAAATCTAATAGCAATAAATTTATAGTCATATAAATAATAATAATTTTATTTATGCTCTACTTTTTGGACTCAATTTTGACATTCATTTGATATCTTAATAGTAAAAAATTATTGTTTGTGTGGTTTTTCCCCTTCAAAAACATTTGATAAGACATCACTTTCTATGAATTGTTAATCAATTGTCAAATAAATCATTCACTCATTATTTTTCACTCATAAATCTCATGTATTACTTCATATATATAACATTTGTGTGATAATGAAAGTTAAACTTTCTCTTTAAAAAAATCTATTCAATTAATAATTGATTTTGATTTGAAAAAAGCAAGTAAATGGCATTTATTAATAATTAAAAGTTATTAATAATATTTACTATTTTATTACTAATGATATAAATTTATAATGTATATGTATTGAAAACAGATAGCATATATAACACCTGTATTTTTTGGTGTTTTACTTTCAACTGTTGGCATAAATACCAATAATCTGTTCGCTAATAGTCGTGTAAACGTATTCATCACCTAAAGGTGTTTCAGCACAAACCTACTCATCATTAACTGACAGTTTGCTGATAAAAAGCAAAACATTTATAATAATTACATTATTTAAATACATCTCAATTGTCATTTAATATTCAAAGTTAAGCTCAAAAGCACAGTCTCTACGACTACATAACAGACTACTCCTTCATTACCGACAAAGTATGAGTAGAGTTGGTTGGGTTTGGAAGAGAGAGAAAGAGAGAGACAGTCGCTAAATATATTTAATGAAAAATTAGTTTTAAAGGGAAGTTAGGTTTTATTTGAATCAAATGCCGGTCGGAAGCAATATCGTCGTCAAAGTCAAAAATATTTGCCTCATTATTGTGATCATTATATCACTAATTATTCAATAATAATATAATTATTATTATAATAATAACTAAACAACGAATTTTCAAATATGACAACAAATTCTTCATCCAATATCGAAGACAAGCCTTCGGTGGACATCAATTGGGAGGAGAAGTCGTCTCCGCGTTTCTTTGGGTCCGAAAAATTTTGGGGATTTAAAGACAACCTTTTTTCTGGACTTTCATCCAAATTAGAGGCCGCACTTCAAGCGGGCTTTGATGTGGCCTTTACTGATAACATTGATAACACTAATAATATCAATGATAATGACATTAAAGACAAAGGTATGGTCACAAGTAACTCTTCGGCGTCTTTCTCAAGAAAATCAAAAGACCGATCCGTTTTTGGTCAGCCAGAGATTAATTACCAAAATCAAAGTCTTCATCGCAATAAAGGACAAAGTTTGGAGTCTTTGGATACTTTGGACAGCGGACAGAGTATGGGAAGTAGTTGTACATCAGTTTCGGAAATCCAATTAAGAAATCTTGAAATACAAGACTCATTCAAATATTATTATAAGACAACTGAATCGTTGGGCATCGGCAGCGGTCAGAGCACAAGTCTCGAGTCCTCTGACGCTGAAGACGATGGTTTCAAACGATGTGATTCACGCCAGTCAGCCAAGTCTTCGGTATCGAGTGTCAGCGGCGACAGTCAATTGGATGAGTCGTATATCTCTTCAAAAATATTTATGAAAAATTTTGTTTCCAAAGTTTTCAGTGAAAGGTATGATTTCTATAATAATTATTATAACAAATTAAACAAAATATTAAAATAAGATAATTGTTTGACAGCAATGCCATCACATTAGAAGAAAAGTCAATATTTGGTGAAATGTGTCGAAAAGAGTTTGGAAGGCTATGGTTTGCCCGGTATATCAATGAACAGGTATTATCATATTAATTAAGTGATAATATATTTGTTAATCATTATTATTATATTAAAACAGAGAGTTCATAATAAGAAAGTTAAAGAAACAACATTTTACAGTTTAGCCCAATATTTTGCAATTGTTTTATTTGAATGCTCGGAATCCGATGACTTTACTCCCGCCAAAACACTAATGAATATGTGTTTTACATATTATCACGAATCCTATACACAATTGTCAGCCCATACCAGCAGCCGATGCCATAAGCAATACCTGTATAACGTGTTAAGAGAACAACCTATTTGGCGATCCCTACGCTTCTGGAACGCGGCCTTCTTCGACGCTCTTCAGTGCGAACGCGCCAATCGGCCCACACCTACACAACACCAACTGATCCGATATAACAGTCAAGAAATGACCGATGAAAACAAGTTTCAACAGAATATTACTTTCGGACAACTCGGGTAACTCTATAGTCTGACATAACATTTAATACACAGAATATTCTTGTTTTTTATTGTCTTTAAAATATTCTTTCAGAGCATTCATTCATAATATGCATTCATTTGGTTTGCCTAAAGAATTGTGTACTGAATTCTTGAGAAAACAGAGCACTATTGCAAACCTACCCCAAGGTATTCATATATTTTTGTTTAATTATTTAATTGAAATTTGCTAATTGTCTAATAATTATTACTAATTTTTTCAGAGCAAATATCAACACTGAGGGAAAACATTGAACACATGTATTCTCACAAATAATCAAATGAATTGGCAATTATTATAATATATATAAATATATTGTTATTTATTGATCTGACATATAATATCTATAATCTGTTATATTAACAGATATCATTAATTTATAGCCTTATTCCTATTGTTTTTATTTAATATAGAGATAGTTTGTTTGAAATATGGGTAACTCTTTATAACCATTATTATGGAAACTACTTATAGAGAGTATATTTTCAACTATCTAATCCATAGTATAATAATAGGTTAGAATTATAATTAATTTTGTTATAAATTTTTATTTAAGTTTGTTAATTAAAAAAAATATTTAATATTTGTTATTATCAACAACAAAATCATAAATATGATACATATTTAAACACAGAAACAATATAACATATAATACATATATATTTTTAAATGATAAAAATATGCTGTAGCATTATATTAATTTAATTAATAAAAACATTGCTGTGATAAATATACTAAGATATCACCAAATAATTATATTACATAATTGTAATATCCTTTTAGTGTGTTATATATAGTAGTAAATTATAATTTACTCATAATATTACTTGAGAGTGATAATCGTACAAAAACATAAATAATTATATAATAGTTATTCAAAATACATAATCTATGTATAAATTACTAAAACAGTATAATATTAACAAAGCTCTGATACACTATTGTTAAATGTTTGGTTAGTAAAATCAAATATTGAACAAATACATGATATCAATTGTTTTAAAATAAAGTATATATTTTAAATATGTAGCTTTTAATTTTCAAAAATGTAGTTTTACATTAGTTGTATATTCTTAAAATAAAGCTATTATTTGTTTACTAATATAAATGATTTATATTAACCAGCATAATTGGAATAAATTTATTTATTAACTTTTATTTATTTATATCTTTATTATTGTATATAACATTCTATAGATTTGTATATATTTTTAAAATAAAAAAAAATAAAATTATATCAAAAAAATAAATAATCCATATCTTTAAAATAATTTTAAACAAAACATAATTATTTTTAATTAACTTATTATATAATTATTGTGATACCGGTATGTTATAAACAGTGCAAATACATAGAGAGCACCACTGATCACATAATAACTGTTTTGGATATTTAACATTGAAATGAATTATTGAACCCAAACCTCATTGTGCTGTCATTATTAGGTGTTTTAAATGGGTTGGCATTTATTGCTTATAATTACAATCTTCTATCACTACTAGACTTTTATTTGAAAAAATTATACATTTTTGCTCAAAAAAATGATTAATAAAATTATAATAAGCTTTTAGCTATTATTTCCTTAATAATTGAATTGAATTAAACGACAAAAATTTGTAATTAATTTATATCAAATTATTTATATAACTGCCTTTAAATTATTATTATTATTATTAATCAATTTAATATTTAAATTCAATTCAATATATTAAAATACTAAGATATGTTATATTTAATATATGTTTTATCACTAATTGAATTTATTAGTTGTTAATTTATGATAACATAGTTAATAATATTAACAAAAATATATTTTAATATTTTAAAAATAAATTATTAATATTTTTTATTATTAATATATTAAATTTACTGTATTTTAATATTTGCTAATTTTTTTTACAAATGAAATGGCTTAAAATCTGATTTTTATAAGGAAAATATTGAATAAAAATTATTTCAAAACATTAACAAAATTTTAATTAAATGTTACTGTAAATATCTAATGAATATATTTATACAGTATATTAATATATTATGAAAATTGTGTGTAAAATATATTTAGTAAAAAATTATTAATTACGTAAAACTTTTTTTTTGTATAATAATATATAATTTATATAATAATAATTGAAAATATCAGAGATTTTTATTTAATGAGAATCAGAGACTTTAATATTAAAAATATTATATTTATTTCTATATTATATATATATATATTGGAAAATATCAAACAATTTGATGCCTTTAAAGGAGAATCAGAGCGACAAAAGAATAGCCGAAGCAATCATTGGCTCCGCTATTATTGATTGACTATCACTGTATGTATCGCTGTCTCTATATTTTTGTCTTTAAACCACTAATAATAAAGAGAGACTCATATTATATAATATAATATATATAAGCATTTTCTTCAAATGAATGCTATATTTAAAATTGTTTCACTCCTATTGTGCGCTAATATACTGTATAATACAGACAATGTATTTATTAATAATGGAAAAAAGGGATGTATTTGTGTGTGTGATTGTGATAGTTGAGGGAAATTACGTATTTTACATTAATTTAATGTCATTTTTTTATTTAAAAAAATTAATTTTTGTACTTAATTTAACAATTTGACCACAAGCATTTTATTGATTTATTTTGTTTTGTAAATATATATTTTATGTTTCTTAAACATAAAAAAATATTTAATGAAATGTAATTTTCAGTTAATTACATAACTACAACAAACAGTACAAACATATAAATTTTGATATCATTAATTTATTATCGTTTAATTTATTACATATACAGTGATACTGATAATCTAAATCAATTGGCATAAATAAGCCTGGTAAATATTTAATATTATTATCATTAGAAAAGTTCTATGTTTAATAAAACTTTTTTTTTTATATATATATACTGTATAACGATAAGCACCAGTTCATTGCTATCTTGACACATACAGGCACTCATTTATACTTAATTACATTTATCTTCATTTAACTAAAATGTAAACTTAATTATAAAAATAAATTTAATTATTTTAACCTGAATTTTAATCAACTAAATTATAAGTTCAACAATAAAAAAATTAATAAAAGTTTTATGTAGTCGATGCGATAATTATCAGTTATTGTTGTTATTGTGATACAAGCAATTGCAACATAATTAAAATACAAATATTAAATTTTATTGATTAAAAATAAGTAAACAATTTCTTAATAATAATTTTAAAAAAGAGATAATTAAAAAAAATTGACAATAAATTAACAAACAATTAATAGAAGAAATGAATATAATATAATGTACTTTGAAATCAAGTCGTTCTCATTTTGGCAACGATTGACTCGAGAGGGAGACAATCATTGAAGAGATGGGCTTATAGTTAGACAGACAGACAAAGTATAAGATATATATATATATATATAGAGAGAGAGAGAGAGAGAGGAGAGAGGTCTGACTCCCTGAGCCAACATTTATTAGAAGAGTGTCAGTGCCAACACCTCTCCCATCTCTTCCATACTTTTATATAAATCTCTCTTTCTTTCTCTCTCTTTATAACTTAAATCATGTATTGTGTATGAAATGAGCAAAAAGTAGTGAACTAAAGACTCGGAGTCATTGAAATAATGAGAATAGCGTTCAATACTAACGCTTAGCTATATATATATATACCATTGATTACAACATATAAAACACAAACATTAGTATATGATATGATATAACACTATATAGATTTATACAATATATGCCTACATTATATTATAGATAAAAACCAACAAATTGTACACAAAATTTATGACAATTATATAATTATAGCATTAAATAGTTATATAAATAGTTGAACAATGACTGAGAGTTGGTTATAATAATAATAATAAAAATAATGATAAAATGCCATTTAAATGGTCATCTAATTGATTGTATTATTCCTAAAAGTATCTGTATTTATGGTAATCCAAAAACGGGAATCACTTTTATACTATATATTCAAATCACAGGTAAGTTTGCGGTCAAACAAAAGTGATGTCAATATATTAGTGTCCAAAATAAAGATCTAAACTTTTTATCCAAAATAATAGATGACTTATTTAAATAGCAAATAATTTTATAATAATAAACAAATGAATAGCCGTTTTTGACACACAATTAATGACTATTTAAATGAATGCATTGATTGGTTTTTGGTGTCATTTTTAATGAAAAACTTCACATCAAATGAATGAGACGTTTAGATAGAAAAAGACACTAAAAGTTGTGCTCAGAATTGACTCAAATCGTTGAGAGAGAGGTTTGAAAGACACTGGAGAGAGACGATGGTGTGTATGGAGAGTGTGGAGAGTGTGTGTCCGCACAGACAGACTACTAGACTACCGGCGCTCACACACTCACTCCCAACACAATCCCGGTTTTCAGCTCAATGTCAACTCCCGAAACCAGTTACCGGTTCAGTCAATCATAACTTTGCATTCAATTGAATAACATATATATATATAATATATGTGAATAAATTTGTACAAAAAAATTATAAAATACACTTCATTTACATTAATAATTTTGATTAAACATAACCACATAATCACTATTATGTGAATTATTATTTATTTATTAATTAATACATCAACAATAAATCAATGTTTAGTATATTCAATATATTGAATAATTTTAGTTTCCCAGTAATTTTATCACAATTATATTTGCAATCATTATTTAATTAATAGTTTTTATATTTGTAATAATTAACATTAATCTTGTTTTATAAGATGATTGTTAGAATATAAATATATTATATATATATTATTTATATACATGATATAGTTATATCAAATTCACATGACCATGAGCAAATTTATTTCGCAATATATATAAGTTATATAAAATGCTAAAATTATTGTTTAAATAAATTATGTGTTCAATTAATTTTGATCAAAAAAATCAAATTGATGAGCACCGGTACCTAAATGAGAACCGGGTTTGTTATTTACTTAAGAGAGCCCAGGACAGGACAAACAGGGCAGGTGTAGTACAAGTCTAGTCAGGTCTAGCATTCCTAACTTAACGTAAGGGCGGCACAAATGATGCCGCACTCACACCAAGAGAGAGAGAGAGAGAGAGAGAGAGAGAGAGAGAGCGACTGGTGATTGTATGGCTGAGAGTATTTGGGAGAGCAATAGTTCAGTGATGGGAGAGGGAGAGTGTGTGTCTCATTTGAGTAGTGTGTGTATGTATGTGTGTGTATATGTATGTATGTGTATGTATGAGTGTATGTATGTTTGTGTGTGTGTATAGTGAGTGGTATCGTATGTATTGTGAATGTAGTGAATGTTGTGTTTGACTGAGTGTTGCTTTGCTTTGGGCTTTCATTACAGTGTTGTATGTGTTGTGTGTATAGTATGTATAGCTATAGCAGTAATACTGGTGTAAGTAATGCTAAAATGGCGTTCAAAGAGCAACACTCGTACCCATTGTCCACATGAAGACCCTTACGCTCAATACCAACAACACTGTCCATCATTACTATAGCATCCGTGACCACTGGCACCGTCGGTAAGTCATCAACACTGAAAACACTTCCAAACCATATACTCTGATATACTGCCAGTGCCTACCATTCACTTAACATTATTGCCATAGACTTAACATTAGAGGCCTACCAGTGCTATGTCTATGTGTTATATGTATGTATGTGTGCTCTTCAGGTCCAATGTGTTGTTGTTATTGTTGTGGTTCTCACCAGTGATGACACCACCGAATGGCATAATACAAGAGTAAGACATTATCACCACAACATTGATATGGATTGTCATTAAGTGTACCTCAAGAGTAAACCAGTGATCAACTCATCTGTCAGTCCCTCAACTCAAATGTCATATATTTTGTTATTGCATTTTGAGTGCTCTTTAATCTGATCCATTGCTTCTTCCTGTGTGTGTATGTGTATTGTCAACAGTTTTGTTGTGATTTTACATAAAATTTATTTAACAATCAATGCATTGAATTCAACGATTAATACAATTAGCAAATTATTTTAGTATTTTGTCACTCATTATATTGATATCGATATTGTTTTTGTTAAAAATGAGTATCAGTTTTATATTTTGTTTGTTTAATTATATTATAGTTTATTATTAATATTATTGTTTGCATTACTCTTATTTATATAAAAACCATTGATTTATCATAAAATTTTTATACACACTTTTCTAGTTATATCACACACACACACACACACACACACTGTATATGATTACTATAATTAAAAGCAATTGTATTAATGTATTGATGAATGCATTGAACAACAGTTTTGTGTGTTTGTTTGATCTGTATATTTGAGAAAACAAATTATATTTAACTGAAAGACTGGTTGATATCACACATACAGTATATTATATCACATTATATTTTATTGATTTTTGTTATGCCATTTGTTTAATGAAATGATTCACTAATTATTTACTATAGAAAAAATGAGTTCAATATTTTTTATGCACTGAGTTTTTCCTTTATTTAATCCCGTTTTAATTAGATATCAATTATATATAATATATATATATATATATATATATATACAGTATATATATATTATTTTATTTTAAGTCCGATTTTGAGTTTCTATAAAATATTTTTGAGATTACATTAGTATTTAATTTTATAAACATAACTACATTATAGTATAGTTTTTGGGTTTGGTATTCATTAGAGCGAGTATTGAAAATTTTGTTGAACTTTTTGTCTCAAATGTCTGTTTTGATTATTATGTGTTAACTCACAAAAAATACACGTTTTGTTATTAAAGACTTTTACCTTAAAATATAAATATATAATTATTTGAATCAGTTATACAGTATATGATATGTTTGTTGTCAGTCATTATAATATTAGTTTCTCGTTTAAATAACTTATTGAAAATATACAGCTATTATAAACAAATATAATTGATTTTATTATTCACGATGACTGTTAACTATTTTATCAGTTATATTAAGTTATTATTATAATAATTAGCATAATTGATATATAGTACTAAATACAAGTAGTTTTTTAGGTAAATAATTTTGGACACTAATGTTATGACATTGGTTTTGCCGGTCATATATTTATACAGTGACCGCTAATTTTTATCGATATTTAGTTAGTTAATGGTGTGTCACTTAACCGACACATTTGTTTCCTGTGTTGTTGTTGCTGTGTATCACTTGTTAAACTATATGTCCACCAAAATAATAGTGTCAAAGGAGTGTTGTTTGTGTGTATTATTTTCAGGGATTTCTCTGTCTATGGTTTTTAGAGTCTTTGATACGGTTTGCCACCGGTTTTTTGGTGTACACGAGTGAGTGTAAGTGAGTGAGTGTTGGAGGCAATAGTGAAATAAATATGGCTTAAGGCTATTGAAGGCTGTAATCACTATGCGATATGTCAATGACCACAATTGCTTTCTTTTAAATACTCGTATATATAGATAGATATATATTATTTTAAAAAAGCTGTTTTGCAAACTATCGCTGCATTATTGGCCTTGAATTGGATAATACACTATGAGATGAGTTGATCACAAATCAGGGATTTTTAAAGTTTCATAAAAAATCATTGGATACTGTCATCAGTGCTATCACTAAGAAAACACTTATTAATATATAATCTCATATTTAATATACATACTTTATATGCATTTTTCGTGCTTAATAAGACTGTCCACATATATTGCACACACTTTATATAGTCATATATATATATATATATTGCGGTCTAATTATTAAGAAGTATATCAGAGAATAATTGAAATTTTCATTTATATTAAATGTCAACTCTTTTAATATTGAATTGTCTGATGAGAAAACATATCCATTAATATAAATTATATTTTGTTTTTTTAAATTTCATCCATACTATCATAATATAGAAAAATTATATTATTTATTAATAGATTTTTAATAGTTAATTAAATTTATTTTTATTACAGATTACATTAGATTTGTGTGGGATAATGGAATAAATTGCATATTTATTAAAATTAATTTAATGAAAACAATTTAAAATACAATCCGATGAAACAAATTATTAAACATTATATGGTAACAAAATTTGTATGTTTTAATTGGATTATAATGACTATTAATCTTATAATAAATGAATGGATTTAATAATGAAATTGTGATCACCAATAAAGTGTGAATCATTTCATCACTGGATCGCATAGTATTTATCAAAATTTAAATATATAAATATATATTTATAATTGTGATATTAATTAATAATAATAATAATACCAAATATAATAAGTGGTATCACTAATGAAAGAAACAGCGATGTTGTGGAAGTGTTAGCAGTGATATATGGATACCTCAGATCTCACAGGAATGGCAGATTATCAGCTAATCGGTGATGCCTTTGGTCAGTAGTCATAATATAGACATTGTGTTATAATTTTTTGCCTAATTTGTTATTTAGGATACCATTCGGGATATGGCAACGCACCGGGTCAGCCAACCGGACAGTCAGGACAACAATCGGCAGGACTTCCAGTTGGGGCCAATAACATGCCCGCATCAATTGGTGGTTTGCCGGGACAGGGCTCGACACAAGCTTACCATCAATTGCAGTCACAACATCCTCCACGAGCTGGATATCCGCAAACTAATGACCCATTAATGAGCCATAAAATGCATAGTCAATACCCTAATTATGGATCCGCTGGTTCTGCTGTTCAAGGGATGAATGTTAGGGGACAATATCCAACTGATCCACGATATGCACAGCACGGGATTGACTATAATTCGGCTATGAGTCAGTCACATCTGACTCAATCAACACAGCCTTCAATTCCCAGTTCTTATGGTCAGCAAAATATGATGGGACAGTATGCCGGTCAACGTATGCATGCACCTGGGCTAACACCATCGAGACAACCTACTGGTCCATTACATGGAATGTCATCGCATTATAACTCTTCATATCCAGCGGGTTCTACTCAGAGTGGATACCATCCTCACTCTACACCATCAAGTGATATGTGGCCCGGACAGGGAGTTTCGCATATGCAACAGAGCTCGTCATATCCGGGATATCCCGGTTCGGGTGCAAGCGGTCCATCACAAGGTGTGCCACATTCGAGAGCCGCACAGAACCAGTATATGAGTCATAGTGAATACAGTGCAATGCATCCAAACGATCAACAGAGGCAATACTTTTCGTCCTCTGGAGGCCAGACTCAGTCCCAGTCAATGCCGAGTCATATCACTGGTGAGAGCTCGACATTGTCATATCCAACACCATCTCAGGGACCCTACAATTCTACGCCTGGCTCTCAATTGCCTCCAACAGCATCAACACGGGGTTCACATTCAGCAATTAGTGGATCTGTTCCAAGACAGCAATATATGGGTTATACTACACCACAGCCTTCATCACAACAGACTCAACCCCAAAGTACTGGAGCTTCAATACAACGGTATCCGCAACAGTATTCTGGTTATCCACAAACTGGCGGTTTTGGTGAGACAGCCCAATCGCGATTATCTCCATATCCATTATCACAATCAGGACCGGCTGGTCCTAATAGTCCACAATTTAGGCCCGGTTTTCCTGCGAGTACAGGTTCTCAATTGTCATCGCTGTCTCCAAGACGGCCCACAACAACACCACCTGCCGGTTCACCGATGCCTCCATCATCACATACACCGGATCGCTCTTCAGCTAATACTACACCACAGGCATCAACACATCACCCGAGTTTTCCTATAAGTCCGGGCGCTAATCACTTATCAAGTCCGGGTCAGGGTTTATCTCCCGGATCATCAGTTCCATCAACTCCTTCGAGTTTACAACAGTTAGAACAGATGGTTATGCCTCACTTAGGAGGAGTTGGAAGCGTCAATAGTTCATCAAAAACTTCAATTCCTGTCTCTACTAATTCTTCTGCATCGTCGTCCACTCCCTCTTTCTATGGATCTGTTGGTCGGATGACTACGGATTCATCATCAACAGGAGCGGCACCACTATCACCACAAGCATCGCAGGGCATATACCCTCATTATCCATCACCGGGTAATATGACGTCTAATAAATCCCAATATCCTTACCATCAATATCAACAAAATAACTCTCACTGGACGGGTCCGCAACCCAGTCCCATATCATCAGCCGCTACATCTGCGGCCACTTCTATAACAAATACTCATTCAATGGGTGGAGTCGGTGGTGGAGGCATTCCATTACAACCACAATCGTCAATGGCATCCATGGGTCAGACATCACAATCATCGACACATCAAAACTCACCATCTCTTGCCTCCAACAACTCTTCATCACCTAATGTTAGTAAATCTGATGTCTCAATGCCTGTAAACAGTGGTATTAGTGGACAATACAATTCATACGGCAGTGAACTCAATGCGAGTGCGACAGACTCTAACTTTTCTCAGACTTTTTCCAGTCGTTCCACTTCTTTAAATAATTCAACTCCGCCATCATCCACATCATCTTCATCATCATCACAACCACTACAAAGTGGATATTCAGTATCACAAAGCACTGGTAGTACAAGTGCTTCATTTGATTCATCGGTTATGAAAGCGCAGCACAACAAACAACAGGTACAACAATCAGTACAGGGATCACAAGCAGCTCAAAATGATACTCAGCAGTCACAGCAACAACAACAGCAAACTCAAAGCCAAACACCCGGCGCTACTATGGCGTCGCCAACGCATATGTTTGATTCAATCAAAAGTCCTAACGCTTCGACTCCGAGGCCAATGTCTGACACATTAAATAACGATTTGCAGCCAAACTCTCAGTCGCAATCAGATTCTCAATCTGCAGCCCAAACAACACAACAAATGATGGGACCTGGAGTTCCACCTCACCATTCATACCACCCGATGATGCATCAGCAGCCAGTGCATCATCAGTCGTACCCTCCACAGCCGCAGATGGCTAACTATCAGAACAGTTACGATGGCATGAATTATGACATTAATAATATGAATTCAGTCACCGGTGATATGTCTCAGTCATCATCAATGAACTCCGGCCCATATGGAGACCACGATTCGATGATGTATGACAACTATGGTATGGATAATATGGTTCCACAACAAATGGGAGATTATCATAGAGACCAATCAGGAGGAGATTATGGACAAATTGATCCATATTCAGCCAATTTTGACGATAGTTTTGGTGAACCTCCGACTAAACGTAAAGGTAAAGGTAGGCCTAAAAAGGATCCAAATGAACCTAAAAAGGAGAGAAAACCGCGACAACCACGCGCTCCAAGAGGTACAGGACGTGGCAGAGGTCGAGGTAGTAAAGCTAATAATAATATGAGTGATAGGTTGGCTGCAATGCCTCCAATGATGCCTCCAGAGTATGATCCTAATTTCGGAATGCCACCAGAAAACATGGATATGTATGGCCACGATATGTATAGCCAACCAATGCCTCCAACACAACAATCAGCAATACCTTCTCAACAATCACAAATTATGTCTTCAATGTCCGGCCCAATGCAACCATCGCCACAACACCAACAATCACTTCAGCCACAGCAGGCACCTCCACCACCAGCACCGCCACAACAACCACATGGGTCTCAATCTGAGTCAAGTCAATCACCTCCACAGCAACAACAACAACAACCGCCACCGCCGCAGACAAACCATTGTCAACAACCAACTCCTATACAACAATCAATTCCAACAATACTTCAATCTCAGTCACCAAATGAAGCGGAAATTGCATCACCCGTTCCTTCATTGCCGCCTCATAGCTATACGCCACCTATTCCGCCGCCACTGATGCCATCAGAGCAGCCAATTCAACCGATCATAGAAAAGCCAATAGAAACCGAACAAAATTTATACGACGAGAGTTTTTTAGAGCAGTCGACAACCAGTGAAACTACTAATATAAATGATACCACTTTAGTATCGATGACTTCCGAGGAGGAACAGAACGTATCACTGGCTGTCCCGACTGATGGAGATATGTTTAGCGATCCTCCTCGTCAGGTATCACCCTGTCCTCCACCAAACACAGACCAAGAGATACCTGAGACAAAAATGGATTCGTATGAGTTTGCAGTCGACGATTCGCAACTCATGTCGACACCAGTGAAAACTCCTAAAGAGAAAAAGCCAAAGAAGCGAAAGCCTAAAAAAGAGCCCACAGAACAACCAGAAGGTGAAACAAGTGTTGAGATTAATGCCGAAAATGAGGCAAAACCACCAAAACCTAAAAAGGCTAAGAAAAAGAAACCGAAAAAGACAGTACCGATCGAAACAGAAGAACCAGTTGATGTGGAAGTGAAAGATACTCCAACAGAGGAGGCAAACGATTCACAAACAGCTGTTACAACCGATATGGATGACGCCACACAAGAGTCATCGCAATGTGATTCAAGTGCTATTGAGTCGAGTGCTAGTAAAGGAAAGAAAAAGAAAAGTTCATCAAAGAGTAACTCAAAGCCAAGAATTAAGAATAAATCGCCAAAAAAGAAATTACCAAAACTTGCGCTTAAATTTAGTAAAAACAAAAAGAGACGCCGTTTTGGCTCTGGTTCTGATCACTCGGATCTTGAGAAGACTCCTCCGCCATCACCTGATGACACAGAGTCTGGTTTACAGAAGAGACGTTCGGCCAGAAATACTAAGAGACAGAAATATACGGATGATATTGATTTAGATCTTTCTGATGACGATAATCCTCTTCAAACTAAAGATTCTGTTGATAATACTGGCAAACCATTGACTGATGGAAATGTGTCGAGTGTTGTCATCAGCGAAGATACAATGGTTGTTGAAAAGATTATGAGCTCACGAATGGGTACTCGAGAGCTTGAAGATGAGGGAAATGAGACGACTGTAGTCGATCCAAATGCAAAGCCACAAACCATAGAAGTGGAGGAATTTTTTGTCAAATATAAGAATTTATCGTTTTTGCACTGCGAATGGAAAACAGAAGAAGAACTTGAAAGGGGTGACCGAAGAGTTGGTCAAAAATTGAAGCGTTTTAAACAGAAAAAGGACACAATGAATATGTTTGACTTCTTGGATGAGGAACCATATAATCCAGATTATGTTGAAGTCGATCGTATTCTTGATGTAAACGAAATCGAAGAAATTATTGAAGTGATACCCGAAGACAAAGAGAAGGAAAAAGAAAACGAAATTGAAAAAGAAAAAGATGTAGAAAAAGAAAAAAATGTAGAAAAAGATGAGGAAAAGGATGTGGAAAATGATGAGGAAAAAGATATGGAAAAGGATGTGGAAAAAGATATAGAAAAAGAAAAAGATGTGGAAAAAGAAGAAGAAATGGAAATAGAAAAGTGTGAACCAAAAGATGAAACAGAAATCGATTCTCAAAGCAGTGATTTAGCGACAATAGAAACAGATAAAACTGATCCAAATTCTGCCGAATCTTCGATTGTGCCAAACGATAGTGAAAAGACTGAAACTGATTCTAATAGTGATAATAATGAAAATAAAATAAAAACTGAAGATTTGGCTGAACAGTCAACAAATGATGAAAAGTCTATCGACTCAACGATAACCAAAAATAATGATAAAACAGACGACGAATCGACTCAAGAAAGTGAAATCAAAAGTGATGAAACAGCAGACAAATCTGATGTCAAAGTAGAAGAGACTGTCAATGCAGAGGATGTCAGTAAAACTGAAAAACTCGAAGAAGCAAAAGAAGATAAACCTAAACCAATAATTAAAACACGAAAAGTAAAACATTATTTAGTTAAGTGGAGAGCACTGGCGTATGAGGACAGTACGTGGGAACTGGAAGATGATTTAGATCAACAAAAGATCGAACATTTCTATAGATTTCGAAAACCTCCGCCGAAGAGTGAATGGAAACCTAAGAAAAGACCAAAACCTGCCGATTGGAAAAAGATTGAAGAGTCACCTCTTTATAAGGGAGTAAATACTCTTCGCGAATACCAATTGGAAGGACTAAATTGGCTCAGCTTTTGCTGGCATAACAAGTAATTTATTTATTTATTTTTAAAATTATTTTGAATTTATAAATATTAATTATAATTATTTTCAATGGTTTAGTCAAAACTGTATTCTGGCCGATGAAATGGGTTTAGGAAAGACTATTCAATCGTTAGCTTTTGTTAATGAGATGACCAATCACGGCATTAATGGCCCGTTCCTCGTAATAGCTCCACTCTCAACAATAGGCAATTGGCAGCGAGAGTTTGAGACCTGGACTGATCTAAATGTCATTACATATCACGGAAGGTATGATTTATTTAGAAATATAGTTTAATAACGCAATGATTTTAATTAATTAATTAATTAATTTTGTTAGTTCTGCGAGTCGTAATATGCTTCAAGAATATGAAATGTATTACAAAAACGATAAATACGAAAGAATTAGCGGAATCTATAAATTTCAAGTTATGATCACAACATTTGAAATTGTATTAACAGATTGTTTAGAGTTACGGGAAATCCATTGGAAATCCTGTATTATAGACGAAGCCCATAGACTTAAAAACAGAAATTGCAAACTATTAGAGGGTTTACGACTACTAGACGTTGAGCACAGAGTTTTGTTGACCGGAACTCCTCTTCAGAATAATGTCGAAGAGTTATTCAGTTTACTTAATTTTCTTGAGCCGACACAATTCACTTCAAACGAAAGTTTTATGTTAGAGTTCGGTGATCTTAAAACAGAGGCACAGGTAGACAAACTGAAAGCCATACTAAAGCCAATGATGTTGAGAAGGCTTAAAGAAGACGTTGAAAAAACTTTGGCTCCGAAAGAGGAGACTATTGTTGAGGTATGTGTTGTGTGATTGGATTGCCTGCTCTCTAATGTAGAGTTGAATTAAATTTGTTTTTATTTTCGATATTTGAAACTTTAGGTCGAATTAACAAATATTCAAAAGAAGTATTACAGAGCTATTCTCGAAAGAAATTTCCAATTTCTAAGTAAAGGCGGCAGTTATACAAATATGCCTAACCTTATGAACACAATGATGGAGTTAAGGAAGTGCTGTATTCACCCATTTTTACTCAATGGCGCTGAAGAACATATATTTTATGAATATCGCGAACAACACGGCAAAGAAGGTGGCGACACAACTCTTAACGCTATTGTCAACGCTTCCGGTAAACTTGTATTAATCGACAAATTGTTGCCCCGACTAAAAGAGAACGGACACAGAGTTCTTATATTCTCTCAAATGGTTCGTTGTCTTGACATTCTTGAAGATTATTTAGTTCATAAGCGCTATCCATATGAACGAATTGATGGCAGAGTACGTGGAAATCTGCGTCAGGCAGCCATTGATCGGTACTGTAAACCAGATTCCGATCGTTTTGTATTTCTATTATGTACTCGTGCCGGTGGTTTGGGTATCAATTTGACCGCTGCTGACACTGTTATCATATTTGATTCCGATTGGAATCCACAGAATGATCTTCAAGCTCAAGCTCGCTGTCATCGTATCGGCCAATCAAAGGCCGTCAAAGTATACCGACTTATTTGTCGAAATACTTATGAGAGAGAAATGTTTGATAAGGCGAGTCTTAAGTTAGGTCTCGATAGGGCTGTCCTTCAATCGATTAACTCAAGTAAAGCTAATTTGAATGATAATCAACTTTCGAAGAAAGAGATTGAAGACTTATTAAGGAAGGGTGCGTACGGAGCACTTATGGATGACGACAACGCTGGCGATACATTCTGTGAGGAAGATATCGACCATATTTTGCAAAGAAGAACCCAAACCATTATTATTGAGAGCGAAGGTAAAGGTTCGACATTTTCAAAAGCTTCGTTCGCCTCATCGAACAATAGATCTGACATCGAGATCGATGACCCGAACTTTTGGGAAAAGTGGGCCAAAAAGGCTAACTTTGATATCGACGAACTCAAAGGTCGTAATGAGCTTATAGTACAAGAACCAAGAAGACGGACACAGACTAAACGTTTTGGTGCAGACGATGCAGTTCTCGATATGTCTGAACTTGAATCGAGTGATGAAGACGAAGATTCGGTTTCCACACGAACTCGCGGTGGTAAACAACGACTTCCTAAAGGAAAGAAAGGGAAGAAGGGTCGCGGAGGTGGATATGAGCGCGAAAGAGATGAGGATTATATGCAAGAGTTTGGTCCCGGAAACTGGACCCGAGCCGAGTGCTATAAAGTGGAAAAGGGTTTACTTACGTTTGGTTGGGGTCGTTGGGCCGAGTGTTTGATTCTTGGAAACTTTAGACGACAATTGACTCGAATGGACGTCGAAAGTATCTCAAGAGTACTATTACTTTATTCACTTCAGAACTATAAGGGCGACGAAAAAATCAAATCATTTATTTGGGATTTGATTACACCGGCCGAAGATGGCGAACAGCATCGCATACACCGTAATCATACCGGTCTATCAGCTCCTGTTCCGCGCGGACGTAAAAATAAGAAATTAAAGAAAACAGTGGGCGAAGAGCTTGAGTCATCCGATTGGGCTAAGGATGAAAAGTTTAATCCCGACGTATTGTTGACTGATGACCAGTACCGCAAACATTTGCTACGACACGCAAACAAGTTAGTCAAACATTTCGCTTATTATTTTTAAAAATTGATTTTAATGTCATTAAGTCTTATCTGGTATTAATTATTCAACTCCTAAACTATTATTTTATTATATTTAAGTTTAAGTGATGACAAAAGCCATGCTAATACTGAGTGACTATATTTTGAGTCACAATGAGTTCAAATTTAGCTTTTATCTGATTTCATACTTTTTTTAATTGAAATTTATCAAAACTTTCAAATAATTATTTATATTATATATTAATATTTTTCAATATTATATTTGTCAGGATTTTACTTCGTGTACGACTTTTGTATTATTTAAAACATGAGATTATCGGTCCCTATCACGAACAAGTATTTGCTGGAGTTCCTGCCCGTGACATTCCGATACCTCCGCCAGTAGCCGATGGTGACCCACCCGCTCAGTGGTGGGACGAGGAGGCAGATAAGTCGCTTCTGGTTGGTGTTTACAAACACGGTTACGATCGCTTTAACCTAATGAGACAGGACCCGGCTCTATGCTTCCTATCGCGTTGCGGTCCTCCCGATGGCGCCGCACTGTTGGCCGAAATGAACGCCGACGAAGATTTAGGCAAAACATTAGAGGAAGACGACGAACCCGAAACACCTGCCACTCCGGCCACACCTGTCAGTGAAACTGATGGGCCGACTAAAACTAAAATTGAAAAATCTGATTCAAAAGATGATGATCTAAATGATGGTAATAACACTTTACTACCGTTTCCATCGTCTGCCGATATGAATCATAGATTAAGACGTACAGTAACCAGTTATCAAAGACACTTTAAGAAACAAGAGATGAAAATAGCTCAAAGAGCTCGACATCAGCAACGATTGGAACGACTCGAAAGGTTTGAGGCGGCGATCAAAGAGAGAGAAGTGAAAAAGAGAGACTTAGCTCAGAAGTATGTTTGGATCAATTATTATATGATTTTATTATTAATTTAAATATAAATTAACTTCTTTTTATTGATTATCCAGGAAATGGTCGCGAAGAGAGGAAGCAGACTTCTATCGTGTCGTTTCCTCATTCGGTGTTGAATACAATCGCGAGACCGACACATATGACTGGACACGTTTCCGGTCGTTCGGTAAATTGGAGCGAAAACTCGATGACACACTTACAGAATACTTCAAAGCTTTTTATGCAATGTGTAAACGAGTTACCGGTCGACGACTCAGTGAAGAGGAAGAAAATTTACCGATTAGTGTGGATCCCATTTCAGAAGAAAGAGCCAGTCGTTGTACGGCTCGAATCGATTTGTTGAGTAAAATTCGAGAAGAGATCGTAACTCATCCGGAACTCGAGGAAAGACTCCAATTATGTCAGCATTCCATGGATTTACCCGAATGGTGGGTCTCTGGAAGGCACGACAAAGATTTATTACTCGGGGCTGCAAAATATGGACTCAATCGACTTGATTTCAATTTGACTAATGATCCCGAAATGTCTTTTATGGAGGTTTTTGCTAAATTGGATGCAATTGAAGAAAAAGCCAGATCTGATGCTTTATCTGAAGAGAAACTCGAAGATAAAATACAAATCGAGACAAAGGCTGAAGTTAGCGAAGTAGATAAGGAGGTAAAAACAAAAGAAGAAGACGTAACTGAAGAAGTTGCTGATAAAAGTGATATTAAAAACACTGAAGAAAAGATCGACGAAGAATTAGTTGACAAAAAAGAAGAAAACCCTGAAGTTTCAGATGAAAAGACTGTTGATAACGAAAATAAAATTGAAGACGAATCTGTAAATTTCAAAGATGTCGAAGAAAAGTCAGAAAACATGGATGAGATAAAAGATGATATAAAAGACGAAAAGAAAGAAGTGGAAAAACAGAAGGAAGAGTTGGCAAATTCACCGAAACCTGAATCTCAATCCGAAGATAAAATAATAGAGAATAATGTCGACAACGAATCTAAAGAAAAATCTATAGAACCTGAAGCTAAAGAGGATATTAAGGAAACTACAGATGAAAAAATGGAAACCGATAACAATGAGACAAAACCAGATGAGACAAAACCAGATGAAACAAAATCAGATGAAACAAAATCAGATGAAACAAAATCAGATGAAACAAAATCAGATGAAACAAAATCAGATGAGACAATCAATAAAGATGAACTTCCAATTGAACCAGTTGTTTTACCTAAAGTTGAAAAACATGAGAAAACACAAGAAAATTGTAAGGAAAATGAAATCGAAGAGAAAATGGAAACGAATGAAACTGAGAAAACAGAGGACGAAGTTAAGACTCATACAGAGAAAATGGATGTCGATTCTGAAGAGAAAGTCGTCATCGAAGATATCGAGACTAAAAAAGAGACCGAAGAAGTTGATAAAGAAGAAGAAGAAGACATTAAAAATAAAGATGAGAATAAAAATGAAAATCTAGAAGAAGTGAAAGAGGAAGAAACGAAATTGAAAGAAGAGCCTAAAGAAGTCGCTGTCGAAGAAGTAAAGTCCGAAGAAACGACTGATAAAGAAAATTCTGAGATAAAAACAGAATCAGAAACGGCTTCGATTGCGACCGAAAAGGAAACTTCAATAACTGCTTCTTCAACACCTCAGCCACAAAATGTTCAACAAAAGAGTTTCAATCGTTTTCCAAAAGATCGAGTTTTGCAGATGAGGTTAGAACAGATCTGTCACGTGGTCGAGAAAAATGAATGGCCATCACTGAGACATACATTCTTCTCACTCATGTCGTGTCCACACCAATCGACTCCGAGTGTTGCCACAGCTGACAGTTCTCCACGACCCTTATCGCCTGGCAGTCTGTCGAGTGCCAGTAGAGAACCGACTCCACACCCGACACCAGATCACACACCACGAAGAGAAGCTTTGTCACCGCTTCCAGAATTTTTCTACGCCGACAACTCTGCGTCTATTAATGAATCAGCCAGTCATCGAAGACGTCGAAGAAGAAGACGCTTTGAAGTTGAGGCCGAGAGACAGAAATTACGAAATCTGTTGTCACAAACTATTGAACAACAACAGCAACAACAACATCATCATCACCAACAACAACACACACCACAACCCCAACAACAATTACAACAACAGCAACAACAACACCAATCATCGAGTAGTTCCAAAAAGCAAACATCTCTTCTATCAAACAATGCTTCGCAATTTTTTCCGCCATTATTTTCACTACCTTTCGGTAATTTGCGATCAGCTATTCGTGACGAACTCTTGACCGATGAAAAGACTGCTTCACTTTTATTGGGTTCAACATTACAGTCATCACTTGCGGCCGCTGCTGCCCAATCAGCTGCTCAATCGGTTGCTCAATCATCCACGACTAGCGCGACTCCAACATCAAAAGGTCCTCCACCAGCTCATCAACAAAATTCGTCCAAATTTACTAATTCAACGTTGGGTACGTTAGACCTGACCGGACGATTTAAGTCGACTCCTAAGATGACATCAGCACCGGTTCCGGCACATAAAGTAGCACCAGTTGAGAACCGAAAGACAGCGGCTCAAGACGTGCTTGACTTGAGTTCAGCGCCTGTAAAACGAACGCGTAGTAACATATCTGATAAGAAACAGATGGCTACTGATTCCAGTGCAGTACCATTGGCTTTGAGCACATCATCATCAAAGAGAAGCTCTCGAAAGATTGGTTCTCGAATTGATGCTTTGGCTCTCAATCTTCAGGCAAAGAAAATGATGGAAGAAAAACAAAGTGACCCAAAACCAGAAAAACAAGAGTCTGTATTATCTTCATTTGAAAAGACAAGACAACAACAGACACACTTTTTGGACGAACTTAACAAACACTCGCAAATGTTGGCGAGTAAAACACCGCCAGCGGCTCACGCAAAGAGTTCATCATCGATGTCGTCTAAACATCTAAACGAATCGTTGTTAGCCAACAAACTTAGCGCTCATTTAGGATCTCTCGATACATCCAAATTGCCGCCGTCTAAAGCAAACGAGGCGTCAACTATTGCAGAACAAGTGGCTATCATTAGACAAAATCTTAGAAATCTGTTTGAAGATCACCCGGAATTTATTGCACAAAATCCTAATATGGCCTCAATGGTGGCCGCTTCGGCTGCCAATGTATTTAATCCTAATTTAAATGTCAATAATTTATCAACAATTGCTGCTAATGTATAGATTTTTTTTTATATAAATAGTATTGAAAATTAATTAAATTTTTATAATATTCGATTTACAGACGGAATTACTAGAACTACCCGATAGTAGACGCAGTCGAAGTAGTAGTCGACGCTCTCGTGTCGATCCATCACAACTGGATCTCCAGAATTTAACCGGAGAAGAGAATGTATCGGTTATTAATAGAACTACCGGCAAAAAAGTATGAATTTTTTTAATTATTTTGAATTTTTCTATAATATTTTATTTCGAAACAAAGATAACCGGATCTAAAGCACCGCCACTCAAACATTTAGCCGAATGGCTCGACAAAAATCCAAAGTTTGATGTCGACCCCAAATGGAGTCCTCTCGTCAACAAAGAAAAAGCCGCCACTTTTAAGACACCCGTAAGATATCAAATTAATTTTGTTTTTAATATCAAAATTCACTTTAATTGTTAATTTATATGAACTGTAGACATCAATTCCCAATGTTGGTGTCAGAACCCGAACCAGTGATAAGCGAAGCTCAAGTAGTAGTAGTAGCGCTAATTCAAGCCTCACCGCTCTGGCAAACAATTTACTGAACAGCGCTTCGGCTAATTTGAGCTCAGGTAGCAATAGTAACAACAACTCAAGCAGTAGTTCCAGAAGATCGACTGCTGCTTCACTATTAGCAAGTGGTTACGGAAACGCTTTCGGAAACACTGCCGTTACTTCCAGTGGTTTGAGCTATCCTTCATCGGCTCTAAATTCTTTCAACGCGGCCTCAATGTTAGCCGCCGGCTTTCCATCAATGAAAATGTTTATGGATCAGACTTCAGGATCAACCACTGCCACATCGCTTACAACTAATTCCCATTCAAAGTCTACATTAAGTTCGACCTCATCGACGAATACATCAACTACACCGACAACATCGGCATCCAATGCACCGCCACTATTCTTCCCATTTGGAGGTCTCGGCATGGGTTTAACGAACCCACTGTTCGGTTTTCCTAACTTTAATATTCCTGGACTGACCCCCACATCAAATGCTATGACCGGGTTGTCGTCATCTGATAAAAAAGACAGTTCTGACACTCCATCAAATGAAAAAACAAAATCTGGAAAATCTAGTAATTCTAGTAAAAACAAATCTGGAATCAATTCGAGTTCATTTTTAGGCTCTTCAGCCGCTGCATCAGCTCTTGGCTCTGGAGCGCTGCCATTCTTATATCCACCAAACTTCTTATACAACCCATTAAGTTTAAGTGGTTTCTCTGGTCTAAGTGGTTCACCATTTGGTATACCCGGTCTAATGAATGGTTTGGGAGGTCTGAGCACAACAGCTATGAGTGGTTTTAATACTAATACCACCAACTCTTTGGCCTCACAAATGAAAGCAAAAACATCGACTTCATCTTCTAGTAGAACACCAAAACATAGTTCAAGTATAAGCAGTGCTCCATCAGGATTATCACTGGCCAGTAGTCTCTTAGCGAGCGCTGGTGTTCATCCATCGAGTGCTGCCGCAGCCGCCGCTATTGGCGACTCTGATGACGACAGTCTTAAGTCGTTAATGGGTAATGATGATGACGATGACCTCAATGGAGATTATGACGACAATAACATGAATGACATAAAGGACTCAGACTATGAGTTAGAGTCAAAAAGTGCCTCCAAAAGGAAGACATCATCTGTGAACAAGTCTTCATCTAAAGATCTATCAAAACACAAAACGAAAGGCAACTCTAATTCTACCTCAAAAGTGTCACCTAAATGAATGAACCATTTATTATAATTAATTTATTGATTATTAACAAAATGTGATATTTTTAAAGGTTTTAAATCCTTGACTTTAAAGCCATTGAATTTATTATTTGTTGAATCGCTGCTTAACTATAACATGAAAATCATATGATTTGATTTGGGCTTTGATTTGATTGACAAACAATGACTGCATTTATTCGCTGCAAATATTGTGTTAGACTTTGAAACATAAACACACAAAACAATAACAAAATATAACTACAAATCGTGATATAAATTATTATAAATATTATTAATATTATTGAAAAAATTGCTGTTGAAATCAACAAAAAATAAGATAATAATTGAAAAAAGTGACAAAAAACCGCTGCTGCTGTGCTTAAAAACCCTATATTTAATGGACTCAAAATATTATAAATATATAAATATATAATAATATGTTGAATATAATCATGACTTCATTAATTATAATAATTGTACAGAACTTTTATAATCGTCATTAATTAATTAATCGATTAATTAATTATAATTAGAAAAAACTGTTTCAGTTTTATTATTATTATTATTAGAGCACCGAAAATATTTTCATCACTAATTATGTCTATAAAACATTTTATACCGAAATTTTGGTAAAATTGTTAACATTATTATTATTATACGATGTTTTATTGGTTTTTTTTATTTTTCCCACTTTTCTAACCAAAAAAACGATAACTAAATGACTAATCAAATGCTGAGCTTTTATATTATATAATGATATTATAATTAGTTTATTAATATTTATTTTTTAATTTTTGCTTAAATCTTTATTTATCAAATTGTTATTATATTTAATTAGCAATCAATGTCTTTTAAGAAAATTGAATGTCATATACACACACAAAATAATAACACAAAACAAAATACATTTAATTAATGAAATATTATCGGAGTTTAAAAGCTGTGCTCAAATTAATTTTTTTTTATTAATAATAATTTCTTTATAATTAAATAATAATTAATCATTAATTAAACAATATATATATATATATATATATATATGAAAAATAACAGTATTTACATTCCTTATAATTAAATTTTATACACAAAATTGTAAAACTTGTTGTAAATGACTAAAAAAACACTCGCGCTTTGAAATGAATTGTAATTTTTAGTATTTACTATATTTTTCAAATGACAGAAATAACTTATAATTATTTAAGTTTTTAATTATTATTAATTCAATTTTAGTGTAGATTTTTAATTATATATAGAAACTACTTAATTACAATCTATATATCCTTTACTTTAAATGTAATGAATTTTGTCAATTTGTCTCATTATTTTATTTCAACTAAAAATTAATTGTTGAGATCTTCCTTAACAAATGTATAGTGCCTTTCAATTTGATATATAACTAACTAAAAGAAAAAAGGTTTAAATTTTGTTTTTTATTTCTGATATATTGTCTAAATTTAAATTTCAAAAAGCAAACAATTGACGAAAAGCGCGAAAAACAGCTCATTATAACTCCAGATTTTTTTTTTGTATAAAAATCACAAAATTGTTATCAGTTTTTTTGTTCACTTTTTGAATACACGTACAGATAAAACAAAAACCAAAAAAATAATAATTGATAAACATTTTTCATAAACTTCTTAAATGTCTTTTTTTATAATTTCCTAATATTTATTTGAATTATTGTTTTTATATTATTAATAATTATTATAGACATATGAAAACAATATGAAATTTTAAATGAAATAATTTTTATTACTGTCGAACAGTATTTGTAAAGTAAAGGGTATATAAATATATGGTTTTTTCAAATGAAATGATCACATCATTTGTCTCATCATTCATCACATCATCTTTTCATTCACTCAAAAGCCATCTCAACAAACAAATAAAACTAAAAAACTATTTATTTGAAGTGTTATATACAGTATAGTCTTTGTAAAACAAATCATTACATAAAACTGTGGGTTAAATGCCTTTGAATTTTGTCGCTGTTGTCCCGACAGTCACTTCTCTTAATTATAAATATATATAAATATATTATATATAGTATAACGTGTTTCTCATATTCACGCTTTCATTTCCACATTTAAAAACTGTTGCGACCGATGAAAATCATATGGCATTTATCGCATAATTTATAATTATTATGTAATATCTCTTATCGTAAATAATTTAGACAAAAAACTCCATAAAACTGATTTGAAAGCAAATCATCTCTTTTTTCTAATTTAAAAAGTGATGTTATTATTGATAAAAATTTACAGGATTTTGAATTGAAAAAAACTAATATTATATCAATTAATGAATCCTGTATTAGATTTAACACATTCAAGAGGAAAACAACTAAATTATTGATTTTTTCAAACTATAAAAAAATCTGTGTATAAAATAAAACAATTTTTGAAATTTTTAAAACTAATTTAAATGATTGATATATATATGAAAAAAGTTTAGTCAACTTTGGATAGAAAGAGAAATCTAATTTAGAGATCTGTTGTATTTAAATATAATTAAAAAAAATTAATTCCAAACAACAAATTGTAATTATTATTATTATTATATGATTATTAAGATTTCATTTAAAACATTAGTGTTTGTATTGTAATTTCGATAAATTTTTGAAAAATAAAATACGGTTCATATTTGAGTAAAATATGTGTTCACTTATTATTTTTTGCATTTAAATAAATTTGCATTTTAATAGTTTAAAAAAAACTCTAATTATCTCCGAATTAAGTATTAATTGTCATTTAAGAGGATATACTTAAAGAGAGTATATATGAATAAAATCTAAAGGTATTTAAAATAATTATTATGAATATAATAATGGATTCATTCAATTACCACTATTTCCCATATTTAGTCAAATTTGCGACATTTGTTGCAAAAATTTCCCACTTTCTTAACATTCAATTATTTCCTCATTTTTTCAATAAAATTTTCCTAAAAACCATATCATTATCAGTGAGTTTAATAATAATTATTAAATTTTATTTTTTTTTGTCTATAAATACTATGAATAGTACAGTACCGTATATTTTACAATAATATGCCAACAAATTGTATTGTCAATAAAATTTTATATTTTATTATTGGTATTGTTGTAAAATTTATGAAATTGTTTAATAAGATTTAGGGATAGATTTAAACCAATAACTATAATATTTATTTACTTATATATTAATTAATTAATTTTGAAAAATCTTTATAAGTTGGCAAAAATAATAACAATTAGTGCCTATAATATAATTATATTACAAGTTTAGTATTTATATTCAAAAACTCATTTTTATGCAATAATGAAATCAAAAGCCATTGACAACATTTAAAATTTTAAAATTAAATTTACAAACAGGTATTACTTTTTAAAAAATTTAATTATCATTAAATTTTGAATAAATTACAACAACAACAACAAAATAAAACCAATAAAGTATATTAAAAAAAAACTATAATAAACTGAATCACCAGCAAAATGTCAAACGTTTAAATGTAGTGCTAATTAAATAATAGTTTATATATTATTATAAACTTTATAAATAAATGTATATAATTGGTACACACGTTGTTTGACTTAAGTTAGACATGAATTGATGTCTTTAAACAATTTTTTATGGTTTAATATTAAAGAGAGAGAGAGAGAGAAACCAAGAAAAAAGTTTAGTTTAAAAACTTGTTTGAGTTGTTGTACTAATAATAAAATCTCTAAAAATCTAGTGTTTGTATTGTATTTGACGCCAAACTCATTGAAAAACTGAGTGTAAATACAAACACAAAACAAGTGTTTAGTGAAACACAAACACAGATATATGTGTCGACTCTTAGACTCAAATCACTGACTGACTGACTGTCTTAAGACAAGTGATCCAACAGTTGGTGTGTGTTATCACTGAAAAAGATGACTACAAACTCGATACGACTTCCCCGACGACTACCAATTTTGATCATCGATGGCGTCCTCTTTCCCGGTAATTATTGGCTTTAATTGATGACCAAATAATGTCTTTTAGTGTCTCAACTAAACCATTATTTCATCTGTTTTTAAAATATTTTGATGACTTGTTTAAGGGTCGAGTATCCGAATTCCGGTCACTTCGTATCGCAAGTAAGTTATCATTGATTGATACTCACGATTGTCCATCAAAATGAAGATTACTATTATTATTATCAAATAAGACCTAATTATCTCAACGATTGTCTCAATTATCTGAAACCAGTTTTACACACAAATCGATGCCTTTTTAGTACAGATTTATTGTTTAATATAAAAAAATATTTTTATTTTTTAAGTAAACAATTAGTTAATTAAATGATTGATTGCTTTTGAAAAACAAAAACCAAACTTTGATTTGATGGACAAATAGTTTTATACATTAAATAAACGATTGATTGATAATTATATGTATGACCAGTATGTCAATGGTTAGGAGTCATCTACTGAACCGAAGTACACTTAGCAGTGCTATCATAGGTGTTGTTCCCAAAGAGATTGTCACCAACACATCCAATACGTCGACCGCTGAAGAGGATAACAAATGTATTGTTAATTTGTTTGTTTTTTCTAATTTCTTAATTTATTTGACGACTTAGATGACGACAATTGTATGCATTCAATTGGTTGCGCCGGTATTGTGGTTCAGGTGACGGGAACCAATTGGCCGCGACCTTCATATACATTATTAGTTACTGGATTGTGTCGCTTTAAATTGGACTCAATTGTCATAGAGTCGCCATATTTAGTAGGTTTGGTTCAACAGTTGGACAAATTATCCGTTGATGACATCGGTAATGCTATGGTTATAATAACTATTCATTTATTGATATTCGCTTTTAATTCAGATATAAATGAAGACAATAGCGAACTCTCTGATCTTAAAGAACAGTTCCGAGAACAGGCCTCAAGACTTATAGATATGCTTGACTTATCGGTGCCGGCAGTGGTTAGATTAAAACGTTTAATGAACTCTCTTCCGGTTCAAAGTTTACCGGATGTCTGTGCAGCTATAGTAAGGGCCTCACACTCCGAACGGCTTCAGATCTTAGACTCAGTTGATTTGGCCGAACGGTTCCGCAAAACTTTACCACTTCTGATGCGACAAATTGAGGTTTTATAAAAACGACAAATTGGTTTTAATTAGAAGATATTTGTTAACACTTTTTCAATGACAGGGATTACAACTTCTTCAAAAGGCTAAAAAAGACGGAACAATGACAACACAGACATTACAAATGGACAAATTGATTGATATCGGACGTCATAATAGGGTTGATATTGAAGATGAAGACATGGATGATTCGGATGATATCGCGTCAATTGAACGCAAAATAAAGTTAGCAGATATACCAGAAACTGCCAGAAAGGTAGCAATGAAGGAGTTGTCGAGACTCAAGAAAATGCCGACTCATATCCCGGATCATGCGATTGTCAGAAACTATTTGGAACTCATGACAGAACTTCCATGGAATAAGACATCACCAGAATTATTGGATTTGAAGAAATCTCGTCAGGATTTAGACGCCGATCACTACGGCTTAGATAAGTTGAAACAAAGAGTCTTAGAATATTTGGCGGTCCGTCAGCTGAAAAACACACTAAAGGGACCAATTCTATGCTTTGTTGGGCCTCCAGGTCTGTCATATCTATTGAGGAAATGCCGCTAATTATTATATTTACAAAAATATAAATATAATTTTCATTTTGAATAAAGGTGTCGGTAAAACAAGTATCGGTCGATCAATTGCTCGATCTTTAGGTCGAGAATTTCATAGGATATCACTGGGAGGTGCGTGTGACCAGGCTGATATTAGAGGTCATCGGAGGACATATATCGGCTCAATGCCAGGCCGTATAATTCAAGGTCTGAAAACAGTTGGCGTCAAAAATCCAGTATTTCTTTTGGATGAAATCGATAAAATGGTATTATTTTCTATATCTACTGTATATTACTGTAGTATTGATTAATGAATTTTATAAACCATATAATTATAGGGATCTGGTATTCACGGCGATCCGGCCGCCGCTCTTCTCGAAGTGTTAGATCCCGAACAGAACTGTGCCTTTACTGACCACTATCTTAATGTTCCCTTTGACTTATCTCAAGTACTATTCATAGCGACAGCAAACACAACGTCTACGATACCGGCAGCTCTTTTGGACCGAATGGAAGTGCTATCGCTTCCCGGTTATACTCACGAAGAGAAGCTTCACATTGCTAAACATCATTTGGTTCACAAACAGCTTAAAGAACATGGACTTAGTTATGAAACTCTTGACTTATCGGACGACGCATTGGCGGCACTTATTTCTAAGTATACCCGTGAGGCCGGAGTCCGTAATTTGGAGCGAAAGATTGGCGCAGTTTGCAGAGCTATTGCTGTTAAAGTTGTTGTAAACAGCTGTCCCGCTGACGACACCGCAAATATTGGTGGACATCATCCGAATGAAGTTCAAATCATTGATAATATAGTCGACTCACAAAAGTTTCCGATTCTTGTCAATGAAGCCGCCGTTGAGGATATATTAGGTGCACCTCTATATGAGAATGAATTGACTGCAAGAGTTGCCTTACCCGGCATTGCAATTGGTATGGCGTGGACTACTGTTGGCGGAGAAATAATGTTTGTCGAAGCGACCAAAATGGAAGGCGACGGACAACTTATACTAACGGGTCAATTGGGTGATGTCATGAAAGAATCGGCAAAACTGGCACTCAATTGGGTGCGAACTCATATTAACAATTACGCCATTGAAACCAATCACATGACAGATATTATGGATGGCACCGATGTTCACATTCACTTTCCCGCCGGTGCCGTTGGAAAAGATGGTCCATCAGCGGGAGTCACTATTGTCACTGCTTTGATATCACTGTTTTCTAAGAAAGTGGTTTCTTCTGACGTTGCCATGACTGGTGAGATCACACTTCGTGGACTTGTTTTACCTGTAGGTGGTATCAAAAGCAAAGTGTTGGCCGCACATCGGGCCGGTATTAGACGAGTCATTTTACCGAAGAGGAATGAAAAAGATCTTAAAGAAATTCCCACATCTATTCAGGTATTAACTATAAATTAAATGTTTAATATTAATAATTAAATTTTGATAATATATTTTTAAAATTTGCTTCAAAGGGTGAAATATTTTTCAATTTTGTGTCACATATCGATGAAGTTATTGAATATGCTTTTGATGGACGCATTGCACTATTGAATAGTCATTCAAATAGAGGACAATTAGAGAGCAAACTCTAAAACTAGTTTAACTATCACATAATTGAATCATATTTTTATAATTATACACAAAAATTATTCTGTGATAATGTATATATAAATATTGGTTTGTGTTTAACTATTTTTTTTTAATTGTAGTCTTAGATTATTATAATTAAGTTTATACCAATTGAACATTTTTCTCATTTTCTATTGTTTTCAAATGTATTTTATTTTTTAATATGATTACAAATTTTATTCAATGTTTGACAATAAAAGCCTTTTTAATTAATTGATTAAAAAATTGTTTAAAAATTACTTATCATAATTTCATAATTTTTATAAATAAATACATTTAAATATCATTTAAAAAAAGGTTTTTGAGTTCACATGACTGACTGTCCTGTTATATGTAATATTTGTCTGATTACTGTACCCTTTAAACCGGATTTAAAAATATATATCTATTAAAAATGTTTTAAAATTAACAAATAATAATCAGATTTGTGATGATAGGGCTGGTAATCATCAATTGATAAAATGATAAAAAATAAAGCACACGATTGTGTCTGTATAGTGATTATTATTGTCTGTTAATCAATAATGATTTTATTTCACTAATTAATGAAATATATGAAATAATTTAATTATTGCTAATATTAACTTTGTGTACAATATATGTACATTTGAGTACACACCAGTCGATTAGACAAATTAATAATTATATAACTTTGTAAACTTATTAAAAAAAGGTTATCTGTGTATACATACAGTATATTTTTAGTGATAAAAGTGATATTTTAAGGTAAAAAATAATTTGGTTTATTGCCAAACACTTGTTAATACATTTTTCTATAGATTAATATATTTTTTATAGCACTGCACAAAAAATGTTGGCGTAAAAAGTTTTTTTATTCAGTATCTAATTGTCGTGTAATTCATTTATTTATTCATTTGTGAATCCAATAGTATTATTGATATTGAATTACTCAAACCATATAAACCATAAACCATTTGTACACGTGATTGAAGATAATGATAGAGACAACCAATTGATAGTTGATATGTAATCGACTCAATGGTAACCAAAACTGATAACAAGTATCCGTTGCTTAGGGATTGAAGAATAATACGTCGTTAACCACATTATTAATGATAATCTAAACGAAGAAAAAATAGTCGACTTATAGTTTTTGACTGTTTGTCCGCACAATTCTTCAGATCATATATTCTAGTGTTCGTTGACTGTCCGGTCAAAAGGCATTTATAGACAATCCTTAAGCTTACACTCCATTCTCTTCTCTCTATTAGTTCATTCAGTTTATGTCAGTCTTTGCCTATCTCTCTCTTTCTCTCTTTCTCTCTCTCTCTCTCTCTCTCTCACTGACTGTCTCTAACTATAAACTACTGTCACATACATTGGATGCCAACCATTATAACTGTTGTTATTATATAAACAATTTTTCTGATATATAACTGTAATATAATTGTGTGACGAAGTGGCGATCTTTGAACTGTTGGTTCAAACAATTGTTTTGATTACATATCGATTTTCTATTGTAATCACACCTGTATTTTGGTCACAAAAGTGATGAATGACGACAATGCGGCCACAAATGTCTTACAGACAACTGGTGTCGTCACCAACTCACAGGTCGTACATGTGAACCCTCAAAGTGCAGCAAATAGTATACCGACTGTCCATCCGATTGGTCAAAATACTAACACTCACGGAGTTATTGTTCCGCCGCCGCAACTCATGGGACTTAACCTACAGGTGTCAGGTATTGACTAAAAATATTTTTATTATATCTAAACATTTATTAATTGTGCCATTAATTGCTAAAAATATTTTTGCAAAACTTTTTAATGGGTTCCTCTTAAAGCACTTGTTGCTTATACTGTATATAAATACTCTGTATAGTACTGTAGAGTACAGCAACTCATGGGCCATACAAGTGCTTAATATTAGTAGTGTTTTAAGGATTGGTAACCCTCCTGATGATGATAATTGTGATCATATAATATAAACACGAATAAGAATTTATATGCGATTTAATGTGTTTGACATAAAAACTATTAAAAACATTAACAACTCGTGTAAATACATAGAGCTATAAATTTAACGCACAATTTGTTGTTAAAACTTTTAGCTTAAAAAGTCAGTTATCGCTGGCTTTCCTCTATTGTAGGCATTTATTTGTAAGCATCACTTTCCCAGCAATAATCGCCCGATCCATTCAAATACATAGCACTGGTATTATGTTTTATATAATAATAATAATTTGATGGCTTGTTTGGGGAATTAAGTTTCAAATAATTCTTAAATGTTTCGTAAAAACCATTTTGAATATTCTATATATTAAATGATTATTGTTTTTATGTTTGAAACACTTATTTTTTAAATGCAAAATAATTGCAACCAAAATATACAAATCACTATTTTATTAAACATGGTTTGCGTGTACGGGGAGGAGCTTACAGTTATATAGCTATGAGAAACAGTCTCAAATTGTTTACCCGTTTGGGACAGTTGTCATCAAAATCTGTGGTGTGTGTCTTGGCCTATGTCTGTCACCATCAAGTGATCAACAATTTATTCAAATAAAGTCATCATTACATTCACTATACAACACTTCAATGCAATTGATTTATACATTTGTCATCTTTTTTTTGACAAATAAATAGATGAAAGCAATAATAAACTATTGAAAAAGTTTAGTAATTAGTTTAAAAAAATTTTTTTTTGTGGATTATTAGTAACATTTTTTATATTGACTACAAACACTAGTTTTAATTATTGTGAATAAAAGTTTTGTTTTTTTTGTATATCATATTTGGTTATCACTAGTTATTTGCTTTTCAATATCAATAAGATATATAACATTTACTAAGATATTGAAATATTTTTTTTTGACTTTTAATCCTCAAATAGACTTAAATATTAATCAATGAGTTTATAATTTTATCGTTAAGTTTTGTAATAACATGTGTTGTTTGAGAGCCGATTTGTGTGACACATTGTATTATTATAATATTTAATAAAAACAAATGTTTAATTAATTTTGATTAATGTGAATTGAATTTAAATATTTTGAAATATTAGTTATTATATATCTTATATTATAAAATAAAATATATGATACATATAATGGATACGAGACTACACTTGGATAACAACCATTGTATGGATGCCTATCATATATATTATCAAAGCAACACTTGTATGCAATGTATGTAAACCACTGGTCCTAAAACTTTAACAAATTATTTTATTATTATTATTAGTAATTTCAAAATTTCACGTTTATTTGTACTAATGTTTTATAAGTTAATATAAATTAAAATTTCATAATAATTTTTATTTTGAGTACAATGTGTGATAATTTTTATTATTAATATTTTTATTTCCATTTCTAATTCATTACTGTCATATACTATAAGTTAGTATGTCTACAATATAATAGACATATATATATTGTTTTAGTGATAATTGTCGAGTAAATGACTATAAATTGAAAGATGACTTAATTGAAAGCAATTAACACCAGTTTTCTCAGTCAATGAGTGCTTTAGTTCTCATGGTTTCAAAAAAATATATTTCTTATGTAATAACTGTTATGAAATATTTTTATATAAATACATAAAAACTAATAATTTAATAGACTTAACTTTGATTTAGATAATTTAATGGCAAGTAATACTAGTTTATAATCTCATTGATATATTATAAAAACAGTTGTCTATCCATTTGAAAGCATTGACTGAAGGCTTTTCTATTGATTTGAAATCAATAAAACATAATATAGTCTTACAGATGGAAATGTGAAATATAATATTGTTTAACAAATTTTAGTACTTATTTTAATTTTGTCTGTTATATGATTGCATTATAAGCACGATTTGTATTACATGATCCAAATATATATGTATTTTTAAATTACGCTAAATTACTTAGCCTCATATTTAAAATTTATATAAAATGATGCATTGAATTAATACATTTACTTTCTAATATAAAGTAATTATTAATATTTAATGCAAATTTTTTGAATAATACAGTACACAAACATATATATATTATAATATATATCTATTTATTGTTTATATTTGAATAAATTTTTGTGGAAATTTATTCAAAAATAACATTTTTATGTTCACTAATAATATCATTTAGTTTTTTCTCTGATTGATAACATTTTATGGCTGTTTCTATTTAAAGACACATTAATTATTACTGTATATAATAATCACATTTAGTATATTCAGTATACATTGTATAGCAATGTATATATGAGTTACTTGCATGAGATTGTATGGTATACTGTATAGCATTTTAATTCAATATACAGTATTGATATATTAAATACAGTAAATCTACATTTGATATGCACTATAGTTTTGTTTTGAGGTACTGATAGTGTATTGATAAGCAATCGGACTCCCAGTGTATGAGTGTTAGGGATCTGGTGTTTGCATTAGGTCTGTACCGTTTCAAAGACAAACACTGTGACTATACTCACAGTAACATTCAATAATAAATAGTTTGTATATATAAATACAGTATACATATTAATATACAGTATATATAAGTTATAAATGTTTTCAAAGTCGGTGTTAAGACATGAGTTGTATCTAATTTACGACAAATTTTTGCGTTTCACTCCAATTGTATCTCACATTTGAATAGTTGGTCTTAATTTTCTAATATCGCTGTCACTTATATATACTGTATTTATCGATAACAGTATTGACATCAATAATAAATATGTTTCTTAAAAATCTATCGCAAAATTTTTATTATAATTTGTCCAAACATTAGCTTATAATATAACAACATATGTCTGTTCACACAAACAATTCATTTGAAAATATAAATATCTGCCGAATTGAAACACAAAAGCTTTAATTTATTTGGCATAAAGACATTGATTGTAGAGTTTATCACTGAAAATAAAATTTTATAAGATTTAAAATGTATATTTAAAATTACATTTTCTAAAAATAGCGTTATTTAGTTGTTAGTTATATTATTATTTAAAAAAAAAGTTTTAAAAAACTAGATTATTAATGAATTAAAATAACATAAAGAGTTTAAAGTCCAATCCAGCTCTTATGACATTACAGTACATCCAACTTAAAAAATAATAATAACTAAGCTATAAGTATATATATATATACTGTATATAGATATATATAAATTTATATAATTTATTTGTAATCAAATTTCTTGTTTAATTCATATATCGATTAACATATAAATATAGACAGCACTTGTGTTTTAGATGTTAGACTAATTTCAATGAGATATTTAGATATTATTATATCTTAAAAATTCCATCAAAAAATTTATTACATTTACAACAAGTTTGTGTAGTCTATCGACAAACAAAGTTTTAAACAATATATATATATATAATAAAAATAACTGACAATAAATTGTCATCAAAAATAATGTCGACTAAACGCGATTTATTATAAAAATAGATCCTAACGGAGACATATCAATATCTGGTCACTTAAACGGTGGCCAGAATTCGCCGCCCAGTGGTCTACAGCAGCCGTGCGCTATATGTGGTGACAAAGCAACCGGCAAACACTACGGCGCCTTCAGTTGCGATGGCTGTAAGGTATGTCACTCTCTATATTTCAGACCTATATTCATCTTTCCTTACAAATAACCCAATGATTCCTATTTTTGACTTTTTATATGATATCATAATTTTTTAAAAAGGGTTTCTTTCGACGTTCAGTCCGTAAGAACCATCAGTACACGTGTCGGTTCAATAGGAACTGTGTTATCGATAAAGACAAACGAAATCAATGTCGGTATTGTCGGCTGAAGAAGTGTTTCAGAGCCGGTATGAAAAAGGAGGCTGTCCAAAATGAGAGGGACCGCATCACATGTCGACGACCCAGTTATGATGACTCGGCCAACAACGGCGGCACTTCCATCAATGCACTCGTTCACGCAGAGATGTATGCACGGCAGGTGTGTATAACAATGGTATATTTATCACTATTGAGTCAATTTTGTTATACCTAACTAACTGTGCAATTTGTGCAATAGATTGTACCGCAACCCATTGAAACCAATTATCAAACAAAAAAGTTGGCCACAATTCATGATGTATGCGAGTCAATGAAACAGCAGCTCCTGGTGCTCGTTGAATGGGCCAAATGCATACCAGCTTTTATGGATTTGCAAATCGATGATCAGGTGGCCTTACTTCGTGGTCACGCTGGAGAACATCTACTTTTAGGACTTTCCAGAAGATCTATATCTATAAATGACATTTTATTGTTAGGAAATGATTTTGTAATACCGAGACATTCAACAGATCCCGAGATACATAAAGTAGGAAATCGGATATTAGATGAGATTGTGGCCGTCATGCGGGACGTCCGTATGGATGACAGTGAATTCGCGTGCCTTAAAGCCATCGTTTTCTTTGATCCGAGTAAACAATTCTTCATTATAATTGTACACAGAGTTAATAGTAATGCATGAATTAATTGTGTTATAGCAGCTAAAGGTCTTAATGATCCACAAAAAGTCAAACTCCTCAGACATCAGGTGCAGACACTACTCGAAGACTATATTAATGATCGACAATACGACTCAAGGGGTAGGTTTGGCGAGATATTGCTGCTATTGCCGTCTCTTCAGAGCATAACCTGGCAATTGATCGAAATGATTCAAATCCAGAAGCTATTAGGAACGGCCAAAATCGATAATCTGATCCAAGAGATGCTTTTAGGAGGTAATGTAAACACAGCCAACAATGCATCGCAACCACAGATATCATGGCAGAGAAACCATTCGCTATGGCAGGGATCATACCCCAGTATGTCTTCATTATATATCTATTTGATCCATTAGTTCGGTTTAGTTTTAAACAATCCTATTCCTCACTCATCCATTGCTTGAGAAAAAAATCTCACTTATCTTTCAAAATATTTATTTATATTATTTACTAAAAATATTTTTTTTTATTATCAAATGATTTGGTGATATCAATGAATAGTTTTAGTAAATAATATATAATAAATGTATAGATTTTTTCATTTTATAGACGCATTAATAAATAAATTTCTAAAAATAACTTATTTAAATATATATATAAATTTATCACAAAACTATAGGACAGTCATTTCCTGAGAGCACTTCCAACTCATCATCAAATGTAATGCCTAATACATCAGCTAATCAATCATCAAATGGACAACCAATTAATGTCCATTCGGTCAGCGGTGGCGTCAATGGTGTCAACACTTATATACCAAACAATTCTCATAACTCGATGTCCAACGGCTATCAGTCGGACATCATGTCAAACGGTCACAGCTCTGACACATCAATCCCTTCACCAACCGATGATTCATATAAAGTACAATCAAATCCATTATCTTTCAAACGAGAGTCCATTGAATCGGATATTAACTCGTTTTAAAACTATTGTTTTGTCCTCAAATTTATTTGTAATCAAAACTCTCATTGAAATCAAAGCCTAATAACTATTTTTGTGTATAATTTAATTAATTGAATGCATAATCAATTCAAATACTAGTTTTTGACGCTAAGAAATATTTTTTATTTAAAAAAAATTTTCATATAATGTAAGGCATAAAAGTTTAATTGAAACATGAATTTAATTTAATTTCTAAAAAATTAAATAACTTTTTTATTAAATATAATTTATAACAAAATATATTTCTCTAGTTTAAACACATTTCTTTTAAATGCATTTTCTCTGATTTTATACTAATTTGTTGTCAATTTTTAATATTTAAAATATAAAACTTATTTGTGTTTAATTTTGTTAAATATAAAATTGTAAAAATAATTAATATTTTTTTAAAAAGATATATTTAATGCTTATTAATGTATAAGACACTTGTTTTCTTGATATTTGCCATAAATATGTAGTAATCAAGAAAAAAGTGAAGATTAGAGAAATTAAGTTAAATTATAATAACAATAACTGTTATGAGACTAATCGTTATATGAAATACTACTGTATCGCCACAAAAATGATTATTAATTTATGTAATATATATTGAATTTTTGTGCCATAAAAAATTGTTTGTCTCTTCATAACTAAAAAGCTTAATAATTTTTTAATATTATAGATAACACACATTTTTGCTCAATTTTTTAGACAAATGAGATAAATAACTACAACTATTATTATTATGTATTAATAATTAATTATAAAATCATGTTTTTTATTGTATTATATTAACATTTATCAATGTTTGTCAATTTAAACTGGAGTAAATAATCAAATAAATATAATTATTTTCATTTTTTAGTATTATTTTTATTTTTATTATTATTATTGTGTAATATATTAGATAAGAAAACTTGAATGCATTAAAAAAGGAGTGGTTAGAGTACTAATTAATTGATATAAAATTTCTTTGAAGTTATACTCCAATATTGTATTACATTTATATTAATTGAAGGGAAAAATTTATTATATGAATAGTAATGTTAATAAATTTTTAGAGAATTTTATTGTAGTTTATTTTAGTCTGTCCTATGATTGATGTTATGTCCCGCTTATGGCTCTATATTATGATGTGATTAACAGACATACCGTTTCCCTAAATAACTGTTGGAAATTCTGGTGCTTCTCATATACAATAAAACCAAACACCAGTTACACTACAGTAGAGGTGGAGTTCTTGCCGACAGTACATTTAGGGCAATGAAAATCCAAAGCAAATATCAGTCCCACAATTGTTTCGATAGTATAGCTTAGACACCACCCGATGCCTGCCTTCCCTTTCTCTCCAAATGTGATAACATTTTGCATACACTGAATACGTGATTCACGTATAACAATGTCTCTCTCATTGGTTCAGCACTTAAATTGCTTTACACTATATATTTATTTATAGCCTAAACTATTAGTACAGTATTATTATTATTATTTAACTGTAATTGTAATTACAAGTGGTTTATTAGTAAATGTATTATACATCAAAACAAAACTCAAAATAATGTTTAAGTTTACTTTAAATTATTTTTTTTGAAACATAAAAAAGAAAAAACAAATTTTATTGCAATTTCCAGACTTTTCATCTTAATATCACGTTTTTCAATGAATTGATGGCAACATAATATTGTTGAACATAGCTTTAATAAACATATATACAGTACACTGCAGTTAAAATTTATATCTTATTTTAAATTTGTTATCAAAATTATGTCTTTTAGCACATACTATGATTAAATATGCATAAAAAATTAATATAATATATGATATATTCTATGCTTTAATTTATTAACTATAAATTAAATTTATATACAGTATATACTCTATTTATATATATATTAATTATTTATATTATATTTTATTTAGTTATGAATTTTATAAAAATAAACAAATAAAAATTATCATATACTGTACTATATTTATAAATGAATACAAAATTATTATTAATATTATTCAGGTATAGATATATATGACTATAAAAGTAAACGACACGTTTAATCAAATGCAAGTAAACGTGTAAATTGGGTTTAATAAATCAAATAATAACTAATAATAAGTAATAATATTATTATTATTATTATTATTATTAAATGTTAAGATGACTCAAATATTTATTTGTTTTGCAAAAATTTATTTGAAAACTTTTAAATCTTATTTATTTATTTATAAATTGTCAAATAATATGGTATTTCCATAATCAGTGCAAATAAACATTGACTGACCCATTGGTTGTGGAAATTAATAAACAATTTACTAATTATATCTTAAATACAGTATATATTCCCACATTAATTACACTATTTTTTTGTTTTATATTTAGCTAATAATTATAAATCAAACAATTTGTACAAATAAATGCCAAAGTAGTCAATAATAATAATAATAATCAAATTTCCAAAATAACCTAGATCATTTAACAAATCATTTAACAGATCAATTTCATATGTTATTTACAATTTAAAACATGTTTAAAATATTTATAAAAAAATTATGTTAAATCTATAATATATTTTTAAACAATTTATTGCAACAAATACTTGGAAAAGATTATATAATAATCGGGTATTTAATGCAAACAAAAAATCTTTAAAAACATTATTTAAAAGCAATTGATTTGAATTAATATACAACAGATGTCTTCATTGGTTTCAAATTTCATACACAGATCATCAAAACAATTCAATAGTAAAGCATAAATAGACACAAATTAATGGCAATACAAACACATGTAAATAGAATAAGAATTAGTGTTGAAAATGTAGACCTTTTTTATATACAGTTTAATGAATAACAAGTTTTTAAAGGATATAAACTGATTGATTGAGTCATCGATTGAGTTGTTTGTCTTAAACAATGTAAACAACTGATGATATCATAGTTTTTTTGGACACAAGAAGTACAAGTAATCCATAATATGAATGAATCAAATCTAGAAAAAGGTATGAAAATTATTATTGTTTTTTTTATTCATATCTTGTTTGACGACATTTTTCATTTTCGCCGCAGAAATGTCAAAAGTGGACAACACTTTAGGCGAAGAGTTGGTCAAAGAAGTGCTTCAGTCGGGCGTCGATTTGCGCTCTTATAGTAAGGAAGTGGAGAAGTCATTGGTGGACATCGAGAACGCATCGGTCAACGACTACATCAAACAGTCGGAAGCCATCACTTCATTGCATCAACAGATTGTCTCTTCGGACCAAATTCTTGAACGATTGGAGGGAATGTTGTGTGCATTTCAGGCAGATTTGGGTAATATATGTCAAGAAATACTATCACTGCAAGAGTTGTCCGTATCTTTGAATCAACGGCTGAAGAATAAGCAAACAATTCGTTCAAATTTAAGTCAATTTGTTGACGATATGATTGTCTCGGAGGCCGTTATATCACACATATTGGATACTCCGGTGTCGGAGAAAGAGTTTTTGGAACAGCTCTATGTATTGGACCATAAAATATGTTTCGTTAAGGAACAGTCATTCCGTGAGGCCAAGAGTTGTACCGATGTTCTCCAGATTCTTAACAATTTGAAGATCAAAGCCATCACTAAAATCCGTGAATATTGTCTGAAGAAAATACATTCGTGTCGTAAAGCAATGACTAACTATCAGATACCGCAAAACGCTTTACTCAAGAATAAGTTTTTCTATCAGTTTCTGATGACTCACGATCGGGAAGTGGCCCGAGAAATACAGACCGAATACATGGACACAATGAGCAAAGTCTACTTCTCTTACTTTAAAGAGTATTTGCATCGACTAACGAAACTTCATTTTGAAGAGATGCCCGACAAGGATGACCTCATGGGTTGTGAGGACACGGGCGCCAAATCTCGGTCATCAATATTCACTCACAAACATTCACTAAAAAATCGGTCGACTGTTTTCTCAATAGGCGATCGCGAGAATCTATTGACTATGGAATTAGAGTCACCACTAATTGTTCCACACGTGGCTGTCAAGAGTGATATTAGGTATTCAGTAGAGTCATTGTTTCGGTCGCATCAGTTCGCACTCGTAGACAATGCTTGTCGTGAATATCTATTTATAACTGAAGTTTTTATGGCTAATCATAACACGGCTCAAGAATTTTTTACCATTGTTTTGGGCAAAACATTTTCATTGATGATCAAACACATTGAAGACCAGTTCCAGAACAGCTACGACACAATTGCACTGTTTGTTTGTCTTCATATTATTTATAGATATCGTCTGTTAGCACATAAAAGAGCTGTTCCGACACTTGATTTTTATTGGGAAACAATTGTGAAGATTATTTGGCCGCGATTTGATTACGTGTTTCAGTTGCACATCCAAAGTATAAGACAATGCGATACAAGCAAACTAACCAATTTTGATACCCGTCCTCATTATATTACCAGAAGATATGCAGAATTTTCGGCATCAATTATGATCATTAACGACACATTTCCCGATGAAAGGGTCTCTATTTTGTTAGGTTCTCTTCAGAATGAAGTAGAGAATCTGATACTTAAGATGGCGTCTCTATTTCATAATCCCAAAGAGCAGCTGATATTTATTATTAATAACTACGATATGATATTAGAAATACTTATTCAACGCAAGAAAGAAGACTCGAAAGAGTCGGAAAATATCAAACAACAGCTGACGAAACGCATCCAAGATTTTGTTGAAGAACTTTTGTGTCCACATTTCGGTGCAATGATTGCGTTTGTAAAGGACTGCGAGTCTTATATCGACAAAAACGATTTGGACGCTCTTAAGCGTCAAGAATCAAATGTTACCGATTTGATTAAGTCATTCAACAGCGGATGGCGTAAAGCATTAGAAGAGATCTCCAGAGAAGTGATGAATTGTTTCACAAATTTTAAGAATGGAAATAACATTCAACAGTCAGCGCTGACACAAATCATTCAATATTATCATCGATTTAGTAAAATAGTGTCTCAGAGTCCGTTCAAAAACAATCCGACCCGAAGTGAACTCATAAACATTCATCAGTTGATGGTTGAGGTCAAGAAATATAAGACTAACTTTTAGCACATTTTTATTTTTATTGAATATTATAGTTATATTTGTATATATATTGTCAAATTGTTAATTTCTTTGTTGTAAATTATTTATTTAAATTAATAAATATAATTATGATATTTTGAATATAAATTAGATAAATATTGTTTTTTTTTAATTTTTATATCTATTAAAAATTATAATAAGGAAAACTATTGTTTTAATTACCGGTAAGATTATTATTATTATATATATTATAGGTTAATGAGTCATATAATTAAATACAATAGAAGTATACATTATTTGTAATATAATGATAATCAATGATTATTAATCATCTATTATTCAATAACTTAAATAACAATATAAACTTAGATATGGTGTATAATTTAATTCAATTTATAAGATTTAGTAAATAGTGTTAAGATATAAATAAAATAATAGTAATATTAGACGAAATGCAAGTTTCTAGTAAATTGAAATCTAATGTTAGTTAATTTTAATTGACTAATTGTTTATTAGTTATATAAAATATTATATTACTTAATGTTATTATATTAACTGAATTTGATCATTTTGATGATTAATATTTATCAATAAGTTACTATTATTATTACAATAGCTTGTTTTACTATATAATGTTAAGTTTGTATATATATAATGAAATTCTATTGTATAAAAAAATAATATAAAATAAATATAAAATGCAGGTATAAAAACAAAAAAAAAACATGTATTTTATTACAATCTTGAATTAAATTAAACATATTTTGTATAATTTACTAAATAATGTATAAAATTTACAAATGAACACTATTTCAATAAATAACATATATGTAAATCATAGATAATAATTATTATTATAAAATGATAATAAAAGTTAGCACTTAGATAATTATTTATACGCTATACTACATGTACTGTAATTTGTATTAATATTTCAATTTTCTAATTTATTAAATTTAAATAAATTTTTATTTAATTATTTGTACAAGTGTAATTAAACTATTTTTTATTATTTAAAATTTAATATTTATCTCTCTATATATATAAATTATGTTTGATTAAAAAAATTATTTAGTAAATAATGTTAATCTCTTTCATGAAGCCAATGGACCTGTTTGTGATGCCTCTGATGATTGTGATGTCTGTGTCGCAAATGATGGTTATGTTTCGGTGTTATACATTTGGCCTCATATTTGCTATAATGTCCGCCGTAGTCACACATTGGTTCTGAACAGTCACCAGAGCGCACACACCGGGCCTCGAGTGCGGCCAACTTGTGCCTCCCTTTCTTGATTCTGATACAGTGGTAGTCCTTTTCCAGACAATCGCATAAACACCGGCCGTCCATAGGATTGAGTCGTGCGATGAATGGGTGCGGACACCGACACTTCAGAGTCAATACATCGGAGTCTGATTGCAATGGATTCGGTGTTTCAACTGGTGATTCAAAACTATAGGCCGGTTTGAACTGTGGTTCTGGAGGTGACTGTTGCTGGTGTTCCGGTTGCCAGTGCTCTGGCATTGGTTTAGTTCGCGGCATATAATTGATCTCTTGACAGTGACATTTCGTATGATTGACAAACGTTAACACTTCAGTTCGTCCACCATTACCACCGGTAGTGTTATCTTTGAGATCTGCGTCAATCACATAGAAGTATAGGCGCACCGATTCGGATGTCTGCGCCATACATCTCTCTGTCCTATTAAATGACACATCAAATGATACATTACTTATAAATCAGATTATTATTAATCATTCAAACATTTGTTTTATTGCTTTTTTTTCATTAAATCTGTTTTAAATAATAATAATAATAATCTTAATGTTGTGAATCGTGTCGTAAAGATTATTAGTATAAGTTATATCTAATACTTTTTTCACAACTAAACTAATCTTAATTATATCAATGTTTGCTTTTAATGACTCAAAACATGTCAAATACAAACTCATTAATAATTAAAAGTCTTCAGATTAAATGATTAATGCTATTTAATAACTTTATTTTTTGTAATTATACCCATTTTAATGCTATATTAAAAGCATAATTATTATATTTAAGTATTTAAGAAGCTTTTATGTATTATTGTAATTATAATATCCTTAATAATTATTGTTATCTATTATTCATTTATGCAATATATTCAAGATATTCATAAATATAAAAAATAGTTAACAGTAAACCAACAACAAAAACCTGACAGTTACTAAACATTTTATTAAAAATAACTAAAAAAATGTTTTATTTATAGAAAATACAAAAATAAATTCTATTAAAAAATCAGAAAAGGAAATAAAATTTGACACTTTTATTAGAAATTTTATTATTTTCTAAACATAACTTATTACAAACTTATATTTTTTTTAATAATAATATCCATTAATTATAATAATATATTATGAATATTATGCGAAATATTTGAGTCTATATTCACACTATGGAGTGGTTTTGTGTCCAAACACTTACCCGACATCACAACATCCGCTTTCATCGTCGCATTGATGCAAAACAGTACATCTATTAAGAGACAGACAATAAAAATATTTGTTAATAAATTTTTTTAAACTCAAAGTGTCATTTAAATCATCATTTAATTTAATAATACTGTATTTTAAATACCTTAAGTTGTATTTATTAAAATGAAAATTAATATACTATTAATTTCACAATCAATAATAATATGGTAATTAAAGTATAATTTGTAGCTCTTTTTTTAAAAGTGTATAATTGAAACTTTTTTCAATGACTAATCTAACTCTTTTAACAATTGGGATCATTAAACTCATTATATTTTTTTGTTTGCTTTTTCTGAGAGTCTAAAATATTTATTGATTTATTAGAAACATAAAAAAATATTTCAGACAATTTATTATTTAAGTTAAGCGCAAATATTGACAAAAAATAGTTTCATGACTTAATTGATAGAGACCTTCAATTAAAAAATCATTTTTAATAATTTATTTTAAAAGTGTGTGTGTTTTTAAAGCAAAAGTCATAACATTTATAGAAAAAGTGTTTTCTTTAGCAAAATGTCTGAGAATTGCCTATTTTGGTAGGCATTCCCTCTTAAGATATATATATATATAGAGAGAGAGAGAGAGGCAAACACAGACTTCAACAGACATAAGGTATAACCACAAGAATTGATGCATAAAATGCATAAATAATTAGATGTTTCGGCTTTCCATTCAAATTATGAATTGCTATCAAAACATTCAATTATTCAAACAAACATTATTTACACCGTTTTTCCCTTAAAATTATATTTTTTTCCGTAAACTCAGACCCAAACAAAATTGGCAAATACCTGTCCCATCACTGGTTTTTGAAAAAAAAACTAAATTATCAGCAATAAGTATCAGTTAAATTGTTGTAATGTTTTGATGCTTTTATTGATAGCAATTATTGCTAATATAACTATATCTTAACATAAAAAAATAAATATATATACTGTTATTATTAGGTAATGATGACGTTTTTTATAATACAAAAAAGTAACTATGTTTTTGTATGACCCCACCTGTTATTTACAAATCGTTTTGTTGACATTTTGATACATCCATTACTAGTCTTTATTTGTGTTATAAAACATTTGTGATATTTATTATTATGGAACCGTTACACGGCTTAACATCACAAGACCTCCGAGTCAGATATGCCATGGAATACGAATATCGTCGTGGAACAAACGCAACGATGGCGGCCAAAAATATTAATGAGGTTTATCCTGAAGCCATAAGTGTGAGGACTTGCCAGAAGTGGTGGAAAAGATGGTCTGAAGAAGGCGTGGATGTGGAGGACAAAGAAAGATCTGGACAGCCGACAAAAGTAAACGACGATGAATTGAAGGAATTGGTTGAGATGAACCCAAAGTTTTCGTGTCATAACATGGCAGAAATGTTGGGCGTTAGTTACTCAACAATAAGAAATCATTTGATAGCAATGGGCAAAAGATATGTCGCATCAAAATGGGTACCTCATAATCTCACTGAACAGCAAAAATCAAATCGTTTAAAAACATGTCAAGACTTGCTTTTGCGTCAAAATTCTGAAGGTTTCATTAGATGGATGGTAACCGGGGATGAAAAGTTGATTTACTATGTCAATGCTAATAAAAGTTATGAATGGAGAAGTACTGGTCAACGACCGGTTGGGACGCCACGACCAGATTTTCGGCAACAAAAAGTCATGTTATCAGTTTGGTGGGATAAAGACGGAATTATTCACTGGGAATTGTTAGAGGTTGGTGCCACTATTTCAGCAGAAGTTTATTGTCAACAATTGACAAGACTTCGGGAAAAACTCAAAGAAAAACGGAAATCTATGGTTGGACATTGGGGTGTAAAGTTCCACCAGGACAACGCCCCAGCACACACCGCAAAAGTGACCAAAGATTTGCTGAAAGAGTTTGGCTGGAATATCATTGATCACCCACCATATTCTCCAGATATTGCACCTTCGGATTACCATTTGTTCCGATCAATGCAACACTTCCTTGATGGCAAAAAATTCAAAAATCGGGAAGAGGTCAAAATGGCAGTCGAAGAGTTTTTCGCCTCCCAGCCAAAAGAGTGGTATGCCGAAGGCATTAATAAGTTGCCAAACAAATGGAGAGAAGTGATTGACTTGGATGGCGATTATATAATTAATTAAATAAAATTTACTTTTTTATAAAATGAAATTAAAATTTTGTTATAAATACGTCATGATTACATAATATTAACAGTATATATATATATTCAATAGTTTGATTATTCAATGCTTTTTAAAAACATAAAATGTAATTTAAAATACAAAGATAAAAATAATCAAAATTTGTTGTCAACATAAAACAGTTGATGTGACATAAAAATACATTTATATTTTTTTCGGTGACTAATTAAAAGTAATGTTAAGTGTCTTATTCATCAACAAATTAGTGTTTACTGTTAAATTGAAGAGCAATTTTTAAAAATACACATTTTAATTAATTTTGTAATATGCATTAATGTTATTTTTACATTTACACTGGTAATGTCACATAAAAATTTATTTAATATTTTTATTTACTCTTGACTTAAATTTAAATTTCTTTTAGATTTATAACTAACTCTCTCAATGTGTGAATCATCTCATCTGTATATAACTTATATAAAACTTATATATAACTTAAATGTATGTTTTTATGGTAGGGTATCACATATGTATGATATGTATTTAGGAAATGAGTAAAAACAAAATCTCTTTTTTTAAATATATATATATATATAACATATAAACTCATTTCAATGTCTGATGTAATCATCATTTATACTTATGTCTGACATGTATTTATAAAATCTCTAAAAATAAATATTTTCAGACAATAATATGCATTTTAACGCTAAAAGTTTAATCTCTTTTTATTGACACAAATAATTAGGCGTTTATCAAAAACATAAGAAAATACAAATACTGTACATTTAATAATAATAATGGTATTAATACTATACTTATGTAATGAATAATAAATATAATGATTTTGCAAAAGAGATTATTATTATATTATTAAGTTAAAATATTTCCGCTTAAAAATGATTCAATTTAAACTATATAAATATGTAATTATCATATTTATGGCTTTAATCATATTTAGTTACAGAAAAAACTAAAATTATTTCTTTTTATTAATAATTTTTATAGCAATTATATAATTTAAGATTAAATTAAGTATCTCTAAGAACTACCTCTTCTTTTTTAATTTATTTGTTAGTAATTTGTTGTTTGTGTTTAAAATGTTATGCCTTTTAACCCAAAAAACTCAATGAAAGTAATTATTGTAATTAATGAACATATAAAATGATTAATTGATTTTCAGTGACTAACTATAATTAATTAGTAATTAAAAAACATTTTGTTTTTAAAAATTATTATTCACTAAAAACTTGTAGTATTATTAAAAGTAAAAGTTGTTGTTGTCCTCAAAAACTATTGTTAATTTCATTTGCTGTGTTTGCATATAACGCTGTTGGCTATGAATAGCTGTTTTGCGATAACAATTGAAATATAATAATAATAATAATAATTTTAGATACTGTAATATTATTTAAACAAAAATAAGTTTACGGAATTATGAATCAAATAAGTTGTTATTTTTTTAAATATAGAAAAAAATTATTTATTTTTTTTGTTTTCATTACAGAATCTGTGTTTCAAACAAAACTAAATGCTATAAAAATGTTATTTTAGTTTTGAATCAGTGAATCATAAAAAAATGTTTTGTCTGATTTGAAATACAAGAATCAGGGATTGAAAGTGATATGAGAGGAGAGTTGCTTACTATAAGTGTATGCAATTAGTATTACAAATAGAGTATTTGTATTTATATTATATATATATATATATATATATATATATATATATATATATATATATATATATATATATATATATATAGTATATATTAAGATTTGAATTTTTTAGACTTGAAATTTTTGGTTATCTATCAATTTTGACACAATTCCAATCTTATCTACCAATCCATTCATTAGTTGGCAAAATGTTGGCCACAAAACACTAATGTCAGTCAAATTTAAAGATCATATTGTTTTTGAACTGCAGGTTCTTATACTAAATAAATATTTTATATAAATTGCAAACAAAGTTTAGGAAATTGCTTTTTATATTGACCAACAAGTGATCACTCATATTATTATTTAATTTTTTTTTCTAAACAAACATTTAGTTAATTTTTGCAATATTTTTTAATATAAAAATTAGATATTGATGCAAACAAAAAATTGCACATTTTAATCCAATATTATTGCCAAAAGTCAAGTATTATACTACTTGTTAAGTCAATTTGAACACAACAAACATATAAATGTCTAAATTTGAAAAAACAATTGGGAGTTATTAAGAAATTAACTGCAAATATATTTAGACAAATATATACCGGTATATACTGTATATGTTATATCTCTCTGCATGAGATATGCCATAGAAAAGGCAATTATGAAAACTATGCGTCTTTGAGATGAGTGGTCCGATAGGGCAGACAATACACTTATCATGAGATGGTATCTAATAGTATTGAAAAACGGTTGAGGTTTTCATCTTATAATCTCACACTTAAAATATATACTATTTATGCGAAAAAATGTGTTTTACAAACAAATTTAGAGAGAAGTGATGCGTTTTTCGGTGATTTACTTCAGAAGCTTATAGTAAATAATGTGATAAAAGAAATTTTACTTAAAAAATATGATAAAATTTTTAGAAAATTTATTTCTATTTACCAGTAAGTTGTACGCTATGTTAATGTAGTGAATAATCACTATTAAGTTACTAATGATAGTTAACAAAAACTATTATTATATTTATAGATTTGTCCGTTTAATTTAATACAAATATTTTATAATTAAATTTAGTTTCAAATAATTTACATTTTAATATTATGCTTAAAATTAAAAATACTTCACAAAAATAGTTATTTTTAATAATTATAATTATTTGCTAATTGTTTGTTAGTGTATATTATTGATAGCACTAAAATATGTGTCCAATAATTTTTAATCTATCAATAGTATAATATAACATATTATATTTATATAATATTCATATATAAATATATATATTTTTTTTGAATATAATTTTTTCTTTGCTAACCTAGCGGTAAAACATAACTTGTATGTAAAAAATACATTATTAAAAACATAGATCTAATTACCGGTAATATTGAATTAGTTTAAGTTGTGTTTTATAAAATGTTTAAATAAATAAAAATTATTAAAAAATTATATTTCACTATTTGTGTTACTGATTTAATATAATTTTTCACCATAATTTATGGGATCCATAGAATTAGTTATTATATTTATGCAAAACAATATATTTTTAAAAATAAATTTATAATAAAATCTTATATTTATAGCCCCATTATTATCAATATATGATTTAAATACTGTATATACCGAAAAATTACTGGAAAATTTCTCTTAAAATATTTGTTATTAGCTCAACACTAATAGTGAGTCCTAAATCTGTTGCCACATATTTAGGGATTAAAACTTTTTTTGGCGTATATCCCAAATGGCCAGCAATTTACATAACTTATGTAAACTTATGTTTGTTAGCATTTGACAGACACATTGAATGGCATGACCTACACAGGACCTACCTGGGCAAATATTCTTTAGACGGCACGTCATAAAAGTCTTTAACTTTGATAATCTTAGGTCGAGGCTTACGGCACCGGTATTGGGTACGGATCAGCAGAAAATGTTCATTTGCTAACCGTATGGCTGTTAAATTGTGAGCACTGTTACCATTATTGGCACTATTAGTTAATGGGTTGTTGGCATTAGACGTTGTGGTCGTTTCCAATAAGTCACTATCACTTGAGCTCAAAGCCCTACTATTGCTCTCATAAAAAGTTTGTTGCAATTGTTGTAATCGATTGTTTGATTCGTTCAAATAGTTGCCATTCAGTGTCGATGTCATCAACAACACCATTACAATGATGTGCCAAAACATAACCATAATTACAAACTTTTTAAATATATATATATATATACAGTATATATCAACTCATTAGCGCACAAGTGGTTCAAAAAAATGTTTAATTTTATTACACACACTCATCAACACATATACACTCATACACATCAACTAATAAAACAAATGTAAAATAAAATAAATGATAAAAACATTATACAAAACTTCCAGAGCCTGAGCTCTACTCCATGTGATCATAGGATTGAAATGTTTTCAAATGAATTCATTTAGTTTTGAATAAAAAAAACTTTTTTTTTATTTGCAGCCAATGTTTAAACGCTTAAAACATACAGTAGTTTTGAAAGATAGAGATTACTTATATATGGTTTATATGATAGTTGTATGTGAATAACTGGTGAAACACCCTGTTATAATATGCGTGTGCTATCGCTCCGGGAGTTAACAATATAATGCTGTTGCAAAGTTTGCGAACAGAGAGTTAAAATAGCGCCACAAGTGATAGATAGACACCTCTCGATAGTCAATAGTAAGCTTAGAAACGGTTTCGGTTTGAATCTTAAGAAAAAATTGAAAACCGTATAAAATAAGACTAACTCTACTGAAAATATAATGAAGTCTAAACATTATATAATATTTACCAAAATGTAAATATATCCTATTTTAGTCATAATTTAACTAATTAAAGTTTTAATTTATTAAATATTACTTCAGTATTTAGTGTACCGTATAATGAAAAATACATAAAACTATATAAAATATAGAACTAAATAAAGTAAAATTATTTTATATTTAATAAATTAAAACTTTAATTAGTTAAATTATGACTAAAATAGGATATATTTACATTTTGGTAAATATTATATAATGTTTAGACTTCATTATATGTTATTGTATAAAACAAGGTATTTAATCATTTGATATTAATAAATCAATGAAAACTAAATTTTAAAAATATTATTAATTAAGATGTATAAACTATTTTATAGTAATCAAATTTATATTCTAAATTAGCCTGAAAAAACATACAATTATATTAAACAATTATAATAAAATTTTATTATAAAACTAAATACAGTCTTTAAATTTAATTCGGATGTGGTTTATGGTTTGATCCCGGTTTTGATGTCTAGTTGAAACCTAACACTAACTCTATTGGAGATGAAATCCAATTGAATTGTATTCACAAAAAAAAACATTTTCTCTGTTTGTGTGCTAAAAGTTGTCTTAATTGACATTTTTGTAGCTTTTTTAATATTGTAATAATAATAATCAATTGTATTATTATTTTATTTAACAAATAATGTTTTAAAAGTCATTACTTTTTTATAATTCATATTTAATTGTTTGGTTGCAATGATCTTATTGGAGAATTGTTGGCTTAGGGGTAGTGAGTCAGTGATGTCAAGGAGTAAATCCTTATAACCTTTTTAAGCCGTGACCCGTCAATAGTATAGTACAGTACAGTGTAATACTTGAAATAAAATATGCCATAAATTTGTTTGACTTTCTGAACAATTCTTTTATTAAAAATAAAAAGTGAATCTAAAAAACTAACATTTTTTAGTTAGTGCTTAAATAAAATAGTATCAAATTATCAATTTATTTTTTTTTATAAAACAACATAACCCTTGATGTAAGTTTTCAAAAATACTAGAAAAAATATTAGAAGGAACTGCATATGCTTTGAGAGTGCATACATAACAATAGCATACCTGTGCTCTCTATTCCAGACAATAACACAATTATATATATCTATTGAAAGTATTTTCTCTTTTTCTTTCTATGACTTCAGGTAAAGACTGGTCAACTATGACATAAAGTGATCAGTTATATGCCATAACAAAAGACTAGATCCATGTGCTCTCCAACTATTAATGTTAAATGTGAGGAGAGAGAGAACGAGAAACAGAGAGAGAGAGAGAGAGAGAGAGAGAGAGAGAGAGAGAGAGAGAGAGAGAGAGAGAGAGAGAGAGAGAGAGAGAGAGAGAGAGAGAGAGAGAGAGAGAGAGAGAGACGCAGGAAATGAAAGCATAGATTATTTGGTTAAGTGTTTGGGGTTTAGCACCAAAACTACTCATATATTTTATTATAACTTAAGTGAATTACGTGAGAACCAAATAAAGCCGCGATTTTTATTATTATAACTTTTTTTATGAATTATTGTAATCAATATACAGTCACTTGCATTAAAATAACAAATAATTTTTTAAATATTATTATTATCCATATTATTGTCATATATTTTTCATTTATTTAAAGAATAAATAAATATTGAATATATTTTAAATAGACATTAATTGATACAATATATACATTGTATGACCTCTTTTTGTTGATCATAACTCATCTTTTTATTTTATTAAACATATTAATGAATGAATTAATATAAACCAAAAAATTAGATCAAAAGAGCGGAAGACCTAATGTCAAGAAAAAACAAACAAAAAACAAATGAAATTCAAGGATTCACTCAATTGTTTGTTAAATCTAAATATGGGATGCGTTTGATTGCCAACAATATGTAACCCAATGTTTTACTTTACTTTATTTTTTATAAAATATGTTTACTAAGTATTGTTCCTAAAATTGTGTTTATTTAGTCAAATCAAAAAACAAAGTTCAATGTACTTGAAATTCAATAATTGTGATTCAAATAACAATTTATTTAAAGATACAAAAAATATTTAATTACTTATTTAAGTTAGTTATTAAAAGTTTTAAAGATCTCAAGGCTTTAGTTTCATTGAGAGAAAGATCACTATTTTTAGTGATCTCAAGAATGTCTCCAAAGAGGCGATGATTTGTATTGTAAATTCTGTACTAATTTTTTTCAAGAGATTTATGTAAAAAAATGTTTTTATGCTTAATATTATGCAAAATTTATTTCTTGTTATTTACTTTAAAAAATTTATCTCAAATTGCATAATAATATTATGCAAAATCTATTAATCTTAAGAAAAAATAGTATTTATTAAATATTTTTTATGAGATTGTAATAAATTTATGATTTTAGTTAATTTTTTTTACTTATATTTAGTTTAATTTATTATCCTGTATAATTTATAAATTATTAACTATAACTATCAGTAGAAATAAGAGAGAGAGAGAGAGAGAGAGAGAGAGAGAGAGAGAGAGAGAGAGAGAGAGAGAGAGAGAGAGAGAGAGAGAGAGAGAGAGAGAGAGAGAGAGAGTTGTGTCTAAAATAAAGGTCTGACTTATGAAACAATAAAATATTGTTTAAAATAATTACTAGAATTAGTATTACTATTTTAAAACTTTTTTAATAATGATTTTCAACAATAAATTTAACTAAATTATCATAATTGGTCTCAAAATTAAAAACAAAGTGAAAACTTTCCAGTCTTAAGGTCTATTGGGTGGGGTTTGGTAGTCGTGAAGACCATTGTTATTAAAGTACAGACAACTACATGCTATGTATAATATTTTATGATATATTGTTATTACAATGTAAATGATGATTACAATCATTTTTTTAAAATTAAGTTATAGTAAAAATTATTAGCAATTTGTTAAATGTGCGAAAAATAATTTATATTATAAGATATTAACCTTGACTTGAATCGGATAAATAAGATATAATATACAGTTTTAACTGATTTTTGTATATTACTACTGTATTATAAAAAATATTAATATTTAACATCAGATTTAATTTGTTTTAATTGTAAAAATAAAATAAAATAAGTGATTGAAACAAAATTAAAATAAAATAATAAGTAAATTAAAATTAATCATTTATATTCGTTTAAATTTTTTAAGTCAACAAACTTAAACATTGCATAATAGTATTTTTGCAATTCATTTATACAATTTATTTAATGAATAGTTTTTTTTAGAAAAAAAAGTTCAAAATTAAATAAAGTATAATAAATGAATTATAAATTTGAAACATTTGTCATAAAGTGTCAAAATTATGAAACTTTGTAAAAAAATTATCAATAGTTTTAAAGCCAAAACAAATATTAATGAAACATAAAGTTATGTGAGAGTGTAGTCAATGTTTAGACTAAATTCATGACACATTATAATTACAAACAAAAAAAACATTTCCGTATTTTTATTTATAGTAATAATGCAATACAAACTATTTTATTGAAATTAACAAAAAATTAGCAAAAAAAATAAAACTTTTGTTTTATAATTATAATGATTATACTGTATAATTTTGTTTTAACCAAGTTTTAAGAAAATAGCAACTAATTGTTGTGCTAATACTAGTAATAATAATAATAAATATTAATATATTTATAAAATTAGTTATATTGAAAGCATATTTGAAAACTCATTGAAAATTTTAAAAATATACATTTAATTAAAAAAAAATACTGTATTACGAAATAATAATTAAATGTATTTTATGTGTATATCAGTGTAGAGATTCTCAGAAAAAAATAAATGAAAATTAATTCAATGAATAAATAAGAATTAAATTATTTCTAAATAATATAATAATAACAATAATTTTCAATGAATTTTCATTACATAAATAAAGACTTTTATGAGTTGATGTTTAATCAAAACTTTGTTTTGTTTGTAAAATAATAGACTTTTTTAAAGTGAAGGAAACTATAAATCATTTGTTTAATAAACTTAACACAAATACACTGTATAACAGGTTATAATTGTGAATACTTTTTTTTTAAAAACAATTGTTGTTAAATTTATTGGTCAAAATGTTAATTAGAAATAAATATTTTCAAATGTATAAAAATGTGAATATTATATATCCAATTGTTTTATTTTTTTTTTGAATTATCTGTTATATGAATGTGTGCCGAATGGATGAAGTGGTATTTGTATAAATATTATATGAGTGTATAAATGATAGAAAAAATATTATTATTAGAGAAAAATACATAAAAATTTTCATTTTAAAGCCGTTTTCTCCAACTGTTGAGCCAACTGTGTCTCAGTCATCAATGTATTGGTTTTGGGAAACCTTTTTCGGATTGTCTTTTGGATGTGTGAGTGAACCTTAAAAAATCAATTAAAATTTTTTAGTTTATTATATATTTTAGTACATTTCAGGTGAAATATTTTTTGTTTCAACAAATAGTTAATAATATGAAATGTTTTTGAAATAAAATGTTAAACTAACATAAAACTCTTTTTTCTTTTGCGAAAATTAATTAAACTATATATAATATATTATTAAATGACAAAAAATAAGTTTATGTTATAAACTTTAGACTGATTTTAAAATTAAATAAAATTGTTTTTCTAGTAATTTAAAAAGTAGCAACATAAGTTTAATCGAGTTTTAATTAATTGAAATAATTTTCATAAATAGTTGTAATTTTATATTCAAGTGAACTCCCTCTCAATAAATCGTGACCTGAGTGTAGAAATACATGATCTCTAATATGCGTAATGCTATCAATATATATATATATATAATAAAATTTGTCAGACCTTACAAATAGATAATTAAAAAATCTCTTTTATCGCATACAAAGAGAGAGAGAGAGAGAGAGAGAAAGAGAGAGAGAGAGAGAGAGAGAGAGCCAGACATGTGAGGCCCACCTCTCAGTATGAATGCCTAGAATATTCACATAACTTAAGATATAACTGGAGTTTAAGATACCTGTGCAACAAACCTGCAAACCTTCCAAACCCTGACCTTTGACTTACATTTAAAAGCGTTTTAATAAAATATTAATCAAGTAATGTATTGCAGTATATTTTGCAGCGTATTTTGTTGTTCACAATATAATAAGCAAATTAAATAATTTTTGAGAATAAAAAATATATAAAAAATATATTTTTACGCTAAACTTTCGGAAATTGATTTCAACTAAAAGTAACGTGTTTTGTGTGATTAATTGATATGAAATGATAATTAAATAACAATTTAGGTTTGTTTTCTTGTTTATTAGGCCTAACCTCTGCATTAAGAAAGCAGAAAATTAAGGTAACGATAGAGCCCTGAAGTGCTTCAATCACAATCTGGACGTATTTGGCCACAAATGTCCAGTTTTCGCACGACTCGATCGGATCAATGGGAACGACATAAAAGATGTATTGAACACCAAATATCGGCAACAATACGATTGAAGCCCTGAGACCTGCTCTGAAGTGGGCGGGGGATGCCCTCAACTTTGTCATCAATACGCGCACAACATTTGCCAACAAAATTGCATTTAACTAAAGAAAAACATATATTAAAAATATTTTTTTTTAAATAAAACAATTTTCTAAAAAAAGTAAAATTAGTGATGCATAAAGTAAATGGGAGGTGGCTATCGGTGCTAAGCAAATATTAATTATTTTTAAAAGATATTATTAGTACTAATACTTATGTCAGAAAATTAAATTAATGATTGTTTATATAATTAAAATATATTAAAAAATTTCTAGTTGGGACAGTTAGTTTTTTCTATCATTAATATCGTTTAGAGCATAATAAGCTAATAAGAAAATCTGGTAAATTTCATACTAACAATAATACAGATCAATGGCAGGACATTATACAAAAGCTCCGGATAGAGCATAGACTTAGTCCAACAACTGTTATCATATTCACTGAGTGAATGTACGATAACATAGGGAACCATAATAAGTACCGGTGCGCCCCAACCAAACAAATAATAATATAGTGTACGTCTCTGTTCTCTAAATGCGGCAACAATTAGTTGGTGCAAATAAATGCCTTCATTTAACATCCAGCAAAAGTTTGCCAAACGGGCGCCTTTATGTAACACTACCAGTGCTTTACACCAATATGGACTATATATCAAAATGATACCAATTAATAATACAGTATTATAAGAGGTATATTATAAAATGTTTAGTATTATAGTAGTTTAATACTATATAAAATAGAGATATATAAATATATATAAATATTAATTGTTAAAAAATATATTTTCTATTTACTTTTCATCGATCATTGATTGCAGTCTATAATGCTTTTCTCGGACCAGAAAATAAAAGAGTAATGAGAATAGACAGGTGAGGATCAATGAGATTAAAAAATTGAGATGAATTTGTACTCTAACTACAGTATAGAGTCGGTATACTATGAAAATAGTTGCGCCAACCATTGAGAAAGTCAGTGATACAAAAAAGATGGCAATAGCTGTATGATTCTCTCTGAGATGTTTGGTTGCTCCGGGCGTCGAGCATGTGATGTAATCAGTGAACTCCTGTTCCTCAAATCCCAGCTCTAGATTATTGGCATCTTTAGGATTCCAAATGGTAGCCCACGTGCCGTTAGGATAGCACTGTTTGCTCGATAACTCTTTGCTACAATCAGTGGGCATATATCCCAATACCGAGTGAGACATATCGGGACACATACTCCAGCTGGTTGTACCACTTTCAGTGGCATCCCAACACATCCAACCGTCCCATTTTGTAGGACATGCCTTTCCATTGAGAGTCAGTTCGCTTTCATCTAACGTAAGCATTCTTTCACAGCATCTCTTGGCGTCTTCACAGCACTTGAGGAATAAATCCTAAACACAAAGACAAACAAAAATTTTTATAAATTCATAAATAAATTTATTTTTATGGCATTTCTGATATGAATCTACACTATGTTTATTAGATTTGAACATAAATTTAATATTTATTTATCTTTGAAAAAGATCTTTAAATAGATCCGCACCACTGGATACATATTTTAACGATTTATTTACCAAATATCAAGAAAATTATAAATAAATTTTTAGTTAAAACAAAAATTTAATTTTGAAATTAATTTTAATCTATAATTTTTTTTGCGTCATTATAAAAATATATAAAATTGTATCATAATTTTTAAAAAAAACTATTTTTAAATTGAGGGTCATTTTTATTTGTTTTGTTTGATATAATAAATTTAAAGAGTACCGAATCGGTTTACTCGTAAAATAATTAATTTACAAACGTTTTGAAAAACAATTGTGTATTTGTTTTATGACTAAATTATATAAATATACTGTATATATATATTATATTTAAAAATAGATATATAATATATTATATAAAGGGCTCATTAACTTTTCGCGTAAAACACAAGTATTTTTCTATTTCCTGTTAATCCCAACAATAAATACATATATACTTTTTTTTTTGTTTAAAAAAATATTATTATAAATCTTAAAAACATATTTTATATCAGATTTTTTTTTGCAATTAGTGTTTTCTTAATAAAAAAAGACTGTATTACTGTATTTTTCACTAAATCTAATTATAATAATTAGACCATCATTTCTCATTTCTATTTTAAAATTTTATATATAAATCATAAAAATAGAGTATATGTATGATATTAATACAGTATATATAGTATAAGATAACAGATTAAGAATATTTTTTTTAATAAAATGCATACCATATGAAAGTGATTTTTGAATTCCTTAAGTATGGGATCGCTATCGCTGTTGTTTTTGCTAAGATTTTTGTACTCAAATGGTGTGCACTCGGGTCGACACAACAACACATTTATATTATCACTATAGTTATACGTGATATACCATTTGGACACTGTGTCATACCTCCTCCAGGCCCCCTCCACGCCCGCCATATACCATAAACATTGGGCACACATATTGTCTGTAAATCTTTCAATATTTCCAAAATTCATATTTTTATTACTCTTGCACTTAAATTCATTGGCTTTTAAACATTTAAGACTAATAATCAACAAAAATATTAATATTAAAACTATATTTATATTCATATTAAAAAAGTTCTTGAAATTATTTCTTATATATTAATAGTAGTTTAACATACGTTTTTAATATAATAAATAACACAAATTAAGATAAAATGATAATTATTACTTAAAATAATAGTAAAACAATTTATTAGTATAAATTTACTTTATAGTGACACATTGGAAAAGTCGACTTTATTATTATTATTATAAAAATTGCCATTTATAATATTAATTTACCCACATAAAACTTAAAGCCATCATAAAACTTAAATTATCTAATCAATTTAAACAAATTTTTTAATTAAAACAATTAAAGTTATTTTCAAGTTTAAGTAATGAGTTGTATTTAAGACACTCATTATACTGTATATAAAAATAATATATATATACTGTAGTATATATTGGGCATTGAGTTAATAAAACTAACATATAAAGTACAATAAATTAAATTATAAGTTTAATATTAATTAAAATTTGTGTATGATATACTACAGTAGTTATAGTTAATCATGATTAAATAGTATATTAACGATTAATCGATGTCATAGTCATTGTTGATAACATTTAAATTGAAATTATTTTAAGATATATAAAGTATTAAATGGATATTTTAAGAAATTGTTTTGAAGCTTAACATTAGTTTATAAAAAATAGTTATATTATAGGTATTTCTAGAAATAAATAAATGATAGTGTATTAAAAAAAACTCCTGGATACAATAACTACTAATTGCATTGACACTTTTCTTTTTATCTAGAAATTGATTATATTAACAATATAATGTATATAAAGTGCTAATTTTAGTTATAAATATTTTTTCATTTGCAACAGTATGGCACACAATGCACTTTACAATCTTATTATTTAATATATATACAGCATATATATATATATATATATATATATATATATATATATATATATTGCAGATTTCATAATCAAAACAATTATGTTTTAATAAGTTATTTTAATAATAATATATTGATAATTATGTTTACAATGTTGTGAAAAGTAAATAATCACTGGTTATTGAATATATAACGTGAAATATTTTTACAAAATTAATTTGATACTATTATTATAATACTTAGATTAAATCAGTTATGTTATTATTAATGAAATATTATTTATAATATTAAATTATAATAATTTTAATAAACATTATAAATATTAATAATAGATTAGGATATAATTATGATAAATTAAATTAGAGATAATAATAGAATAATATATTTTTACCTTCATTTTATTAGTAACACATTTTTTATTTGTATTTAATTTAATCTAATCAGTTAAAAGTGTCAAATAAGGTGATAAACTGCTAATTAAATACTTAAACTGATTTTTATTATATAATGTAATCCTAAAGAAATTATTATAATATTAAATATGATTTATATTTAATAACCTTTGATTTACAATAATTTTTTTTTGTTATTTAGAAATTAGAATTAATTATAATATTTTTCTTAATAACTTATAATTGCATAATAAATAACAAAATTTATATACATAAAATAATGATCTTATGATCAAATAATGATCAAAAACCAAAACCAAATAATCATTGGTTTCAATTGGTTTTGAACTCTCGTATCCACAGCTGATGACAGTCTTATTCTAAATTAATGACTTGGCTTAGAGCCCAGTATACTAAAACAGTGACACGTGTTTACACTAAATAATTTAAATTATCTTAGTTTTACTAAACAAAACTATTTTTTTTATTAAATTTTGCTGATTATGTAAACAATTCATTTGATGTGTAATATAATACAATTCAATTTGTAATCCATTAATAATACAAACTCTGTTAAAACAATGAGCTATTTATGATGAGACAAACATTTTTCTTTTATTATTTTTTTGCCCAATAAATAGATAGATAACTAACAAAAAAATACATTTATTGCTGAATCTTGTTTTGTGTAATTTTATTTAACTTGTGATTAAAATGTCGATAAGATTGTCTCTCAATTTGCTTTTCATTAATAATAATAATACTAATACTAATAATTAAAGCGAAAACAAATTTGTTGGAAAGGATATTATTATATCACTATTAAGTATTTATATATTGTATTATATTTTGTATATCGTTTATATACTGTATATAATTATATGATGTAATATAGTTTGCAAATGCAATACATGTATAAAAATATACTCATTGTTTGTCATCCAAGTAATTGTCATTTGTCTAAATCATTTGTCTTATTGTTGTCAATGCTTTTCACTGTTGAAGAAACCGTGTATTAAATAATTAAATTTATAAAAAAAAGTTATTTATAATAATAAAATTAGTTTTGGTATAAATAGATAAATTAAAATAATAACTCATTAGATAATGATATAATACTATTCATGTACTGTATTATAATTATATTGACGTACCCTATAATGCTTCTATCCATTGTTTTCGTAAACTATTAATTAATATATGCCATAATTATGATTTAATTGTTTAATATGTTATTTATAAATTGAAAATATATTTTAAGGAATATTCACATTTGCCAATTAATTAAAATTAAAATAGTTTTTATTTTTTTCTGTTTTGCTTAAGACTTTAAGTTAGTTTTAGTTTAAATATTTAAAATCTTTAAAAATTCAATTATTTATTTTTTGCTTAAAATTATTATAAATTAATCAAAAATTTAAATAAATTTTTATTATTTAAATAATTATTTACATTTAAATTAGATAATCTCTAATATAAACAATACTTTACATACTAAATAGATAATAAATGTAATATTTAAAAAGGGATTTATTTTTTTATAAACAATTTCTAATAATTCTTTAAACGATAATATAAAATAAATTATAAATTCAGATTTGTTTATAAATGTGTTTTTTAATTAAATTTTATAAAAATGATTTTTTGAAATTTGGATACAATTAGTTTATGTAATTGTATTTTACAATAAATTATGTGGATATTTATACATATAGTATTAAATTTGTCGATTTTATTTTTGTTGTTTAGAAAAAAAAATTAAAAATATATATAATTAATAGCAATGTTTGTAACAATTTTCAAAAAATCTGATTAACTATAAGATGGATTAAACATATTTATAAACAATTTTTTTGTAACCCAAGTGTATGTTTGATATATATATTTTGGTAAAATCACATCTTCATGGCTCAAATGATTAGATCATAGGATCTGTTTATTAATAAAAATCTTTACTTCCTTTTTATGAAAGGTTTTTACAAAAAAATACAACTAAACAAAGTTGACACCAAAATTAAAGAGACAAATGTTTGAAATAATTTTTGGCTTTTAGCACACATATGAAAAACGGCTGAATGTTTCAATACCTGCCAAATATTGAAAATCTAAAAATAGATATATATTTTTTCTAACAATTTTTAAGTACAATGAATATACTTATTATAATAATAATTATTATGTGACGATATGAGAGCTAAATGTTGATCTCTTGTGTCACTCTTTCATTGCATTTTCATAAACTGTTTTTACAGTTTATGTTTAAAAATATCATTTAGTTTTCTATTTAAATGATACAAAAGTACTACAAAAGTGGTAGGCGTTTGTCGTTTAAGATTCAAGCAAATGGCAAACGGCCTGATATTATAGTTAAATAGCTCCCAATGAGTTGTCTCAATCACTTAGTTGTCTCTTATTTTGTAAGACAAAAAACAAAGTTTTTTTTGCCTAATGAAAGACAAAATAAATTGATTAATATATTTGAGTGACAACTGAGGACAAAATGAAGACAACAGTTAAAAAATAAAATAATTGATAAAAAGCATACAATGATGTCATTTGTGATGACAGTGACATACGAAACGTAATCTACATTTCGATGACTTCTTGTGCTGAATAAATAGTGGCAAAGATGTGAATAGTGTCCGACAATTACCGCAAATCAATATATCGCAGGTTTGTTGTGTTGTCTGTATTGGACTTAAAGCTAACGGTATGTTATCTGAACTAAGACGATGATTAGCATTGTTTAACAGCAAACCTAACGATTGATTATATAATAGAGAGCTCAGGGATGAGGTGCTGCTGTTGCTGTGGTTTTGTTCACTCAAATGATTGTCTGTTAAATGTTTATTTTCATTAACATTATTGCTGTCAACATTGGCTGTATTGCCCTCCGAGGAACCTGATCTCCAAGTGTTTTCATCTATAGAAACAATGAGAGAACAGTTAGTCAGATCTGGATGACTATCTAATAGTCATACAACTCATTTTCAAACCTATGTCTTCATTATCATTCAGTTTAATTCGTTTTGTTTGACTTTCATCTAAATTATTGCAATTTTGTCCGTTTATATGACTTTCTAATTCATTTGAGATACCGTTTTGTTCACTCGTCGAGTATATGCTGTGATCACCAACAGAGTCGGTGTCCACAATCATATCCGTCATATTAATGGTCAAACTTTTATATTTGTCTTCATTATCGTTGCCTTTCTCAGTATTATTTGCTTCTGAAGCCAACTCTGCGCTGATATCACTCCCATTACTAGCTGTTGATGAGGTCTTACTCGACTTCTGATGTGGTTTTGGTTCCGTCACAAGATTTACATCTATTTAAAAACAATTAAAAAATAGATCTTTAATTATTTTTTTAAATAAATTGCTTTTACATTAAGTGACACATAAAACATTTAATTCGTGTAAACTATTTATAAATATCTTATATTTTTAAAACAAAAAAAGTATTCATTGTTTTTTTGTGCATTAATTTAGCGAAACTTTTATTATTTTCTCTAACGTTAAGCACTTTGAAAAAGTGTTAATTTTTTGTTTTACTCTTACTTTTTAAAATACTTTAGAAACTTTGTTTTATTCAATTTATTTAAGCATTTATTTTGCATAATTTTATACTAAATGCATGTCATTAAAGTACAATACAAGTGCAATGTAACTAATGATTTATGAATTCAATTTGTAATCTTTAATTGTTAGTATTATTCAATAATATCTTTTCCAGTAATAGTTGAATTTTACTTTTAAAATTGTATACAATTTTATAATTTATAAGTCTATTTAAATAAATAAATAATAATAATTATCTGCTAATACTTTATGATAAAATTATAATTTTCAATTTTACTAAAATAAAATCTCTTGTTTAATGAGTAATCGTTTGTATTAGAAAGTTATGGATTAAGTTTTAAAAAAATATTTTTAAACAAAAATCTATTTAAATTGTTTTTCATTGTAATTGATAAGTCATACCAATTGCTTGACCAGCAATAACCTGTCCGTCTTGTGATATGACAGCGTTGAGTGCATCCATTTGGTCGTCATATTGAATGAATGCATAGCCTCGAGAGTGAACAACAATAATATTTATAATATAAATACAATATGTTTTAGTAAAAGACAAATATTTATTAAGAAAACTTATATATCGATATATGTTTCTATAATATATATATACAGTACTATACTATTATAAATATGGGGTAAAAGTATTGAAAAATCTGTTAAAGTGAATACCCTTATGCATTGATATGGCTTTAATATCACCGAACTGTGCGAATATGAGATGCAAATGTCTTTTAGTAATAACACTTGTGTTGAGATTTCCGATGAAAATCCTTGACTTGAGGTCATCGGGTGATCGAGAATTGGTGGCATTACTCACACAAATGGTCTGTTGGTGGTCTCGCATCTGACGCTTCAGTAGTCGTTTGCTGTTTGAATTCATGCTCTACTTTAACCACAAACCTATCATTTATTATATCCAATGATTTATCTTTTCACTCACAGACAGAGAGAAAGAGAAAGAAAAAAAACACTAATAATATATTAAACAGAAAAACAATAATTCATTTGATGAGACACTCAACAACTGAAAACATTGCAAACAAATGAAGAGATGCTTTCTCTTGTAGTCAACAATTAATGAAAAACAAATAAATATAAGAATAAAAGTTTATATATTAAACAAAAGTCAGTCATTTGGTTTGGTTTGGTATAAGAAGTTAGTTGAAAGACAACAGACTGTGATGACTGTCTCTCAAACGAAATGCCAACTTATATGAGGCATAGGAAGCATGCGATAGAGTTATGCCAAGAGTGGTGATGTCGAGTGGGATAACACATCATTGAATGCTCGGTTGGATAAAAAAAGATGAGCACAAACTCGACTGTCTTATCAAACTGTGTATCATATTAATGATTAATGAATGGGTCTAACAGTACCTAAACATTACACTACATTCCAACACATCTATATAACCCATAAGTATTGTTTCCAAAACTCTTAACTCTAATTAAAACCTTTGGCCGCTATTTCACTATTATATTAAAAGTCTTGCCATTTATATGTCACTGGAGATGATGTTTGATGTTTAAAAATCTTGTAAATTATGTCAAAAAACAAAATTCAATGCTCTCTCACTCATTGAGATGTAGTGATAAAATAAAGTGAAAGAGAGAGAGAGAGAGAGAGAGAGAGATTCATAAAATAGTTGCTAATTAATTACTTTGCAATACATATACTATAAATATCAGGGTTAAGCAGCAAGTGGTGGGTACGGGGGGGGGGTAAAGGCAAAATAACCCCTAAGATTGAAATTTTTGGAGTTTAAATGTCGCTTAAAAACAAAGAGAAATGACAAAAGGCGTCGAAATTTTGTTTCGAGTCTCAAAATTATAATTTTAATTAATATTTTATTATGTTTTTATAACATTTTTTGATTGTAATTATTCAGTAAAAATAAGTAAAATAGTTTTAAAAAATCACGTTAAAATTAATCTAAGTATATAAATATTTTAATAAAAATATTAAACTAAAAAACTAAAAATTAAGTATTTGTTAAAAGGAAAGTAATAATATTAAAATTAATGTTAGTAAAACAATATAAAATTTATACTGTATATGAAAATGTTTTTATTAATAATTTTTTTAATTTTAGTTATAAATAAAAAATAATTTCAATTTTATTATTACTTGAATTAAAACTTTAACTAAGTTAAATAATTAGTCAATATTTATATAAAAATATGCAAAAAAACAAACTATTTAAAAAATTAATTAATTCTAAAAATATTATTTAGAAATAATTAAAATACTATAAATAACTCATAGTATTTCATTAATGATTTTATTTATTTATTAATTAAAAAAAAATATTTTGAGAAATAGTGGAATTTATTGGCAATATTTACTTATTTTACTGGAAATTTATTGACATTTCTCTTGACCCCTCCCTTTGATTTTACATATTTAAAAAAACTTGTTATTTAAAAATGCAATAAAAGTCTACACCCATCCTATACTCCCCAAGATTTTTCCTGATTTGTGACTTGAATCCCCCTAAAATCCAAAACCTATCTTAACCCTCATAAATATAAATTATATATAACTTTAACTATACAGTATAGTACAGTATATATGCTATAATAATATAACTAAATCACTAAAATAACGCCAATTTCAACAAAAAGTGTTAGCAATTAACATACAATAAATCATTTTAATTCTTTAGTTGTTTTTTAATAAATATTTGGCTTATTATTAAAATAATTGTTAACATAATTGATACATTTTTTAAAAACATTTAATAACTATAAATAAATAAATCATAACTTTTGCAATTCAGCTTAATTAAGATATTGTATTATAAAAATAATTTGCTTATTTTATAAATTATAACATTATATTATTTTAAATTCTAATAAATAATTTTAAATGTATAATAAAACACATGTATTACATAAAAAATGTAAAATATGTGTTTATGCATGAATTAAAATAAAATATATTTATTGAAGTTATGTGAAGTACTATAATAAAAATATACGGTATGTTATATTACAATTTAAAATATTCAATTCAATTAATACTATTTTCATATGTATAGTTATATTATTACTATATTAAAATACTGTATAATTTTATGATTGTAATTATTAAAATAACACATTCAATAGCTTTACCTTTTAATAATTTATACATATATTCTTTAGTTGTTTTTTTAATAAATATTTGGCTTATTATTAAAATAGTTGTCAACATAATTGATACCTTTTTTAAAAACATTAATCAACATTATATTACCGGTATGTATATATTAAAATCACAAGATATACAGGTATGAAAATATTGGAAACAATCATTACCGGTAAAGCAAATTTAACAACATAAATTATCTAGATGATATTGCATTTAAATGATAAAATTAATAATATGCTTATTCAAAATTATTATAATACTGTAAACAAATTCAGTAAAATAATAATAAATTTAATTATAGTTCTTTGAAAAGTGTTTAAAAACTTAATACTTAAATTCATCATAAATTAAATTTTTAAAAAGTCTATAAATTTACATTTAGAGTAAAATAATACATTAAAGTATATAAAATTTTTATATGCAATATTATCTGGATAATTTCAATCCATGTTTCCATAATTATCAGTAATTGCAAATATAATAATAATAATAACATTATATAATACTTTATATATAATAAACACAAAACAACTATTAAAATACTATATCGTAGAAAATATTTGATTTGATAAATGTCAACAAATAATACAATGTTTTGTATAAAATATAAGCAATAGATTTGAGATTTATATCTAATGTCTACAATAAATAGAAAAATACTTTTTTAAGATTCAAAAAGAAAACCTCACTTTTTTGGTACCACTTTTATGATAATAGTATTCATAACTCGAGTGAACCCAATATGTTGCCGGTCTTTCCCTTTCTGTGTAATTGAGGAAATGTTGTCTTATTTTGCGGTGGATTCAGCTTTGAGGCCAAATAGACAAACGGTTCGATAAGCGATTTGCGTTCAGTGGCCGTCACCTCAAAGAGTCGTGTCTTTTCCCGTTGTGCCCAACCTTGAGATTCGTCGCAATCGACCTGACGTTCCCGAAAACGGTCCACTTTATTGCCAATTGTTATAATTGGCATCTTATTTATAATAATAGTTATAGCAATTAATGAATCAATTAAACACTTCTTTAGCAAAACATACATCTCTTTTATCTTTATATCTGTCGATCGCTTTCTTGATGTGATCGACAATCAAATACGAGTTCTTGTCGTTTATGGCGTAAACCAATATAAAAGCCTAAATAGTGTCAAACAAATGACTTAATTATGACCATCAAAAACAAACATTATTTCCATATAATGTCTAACTCTTACGTCTGCAAAAGCCAAGTATGTCTTAATGGCGTCGATATTGAGAGGAGCACTCTTTGGCACCACATTTGGTATCAACAAAATAATTGGTCACCGATTAGTATCAATAGACAAATCATTGATATTAAGTACAAACCATTCCTGAAAAGTCAAATAAATAGATCTTCTCTTTGGTTTGTCTGTCAGTGTCGATGACGGCGCCAAAGATGTCTTCAATGGTCGGCTCGTAATTTGTGCTGAACTTGTGTTTGGATCCGTTGATCACTTGATCCAATATTGATGTTTTGCCCGTTTGTTTGGCGCCCAACACTACAACCTTATAATGACTTTTCATGATTGCACTCAATGGGTGACCAATTTGGGTGACAATTAGTGTGACACTGAAGACAACAAAATATTATTTATTCAAATGTTTTGGCATTTGTTGTGTAATTTGAATGTATTTTTCACTCAATGTTTACAACATTTTTGCATTGAATTCAACACTAAATTACGTTAAATAATATAAATGTATTTAAAGTTTTTTTTGTTGATTTAATTTGAGTATAAATTTAATAAATAAAATCAATTAATATTTAATTCAAATGATTGTATTGTTAAATATGAATCACTTTTTTGACACAAATTATTTGGTAAAATCAGATGAATCACAGATTGTTATCAATATATGACAACAATTATTACAGTCTTTGATAACGTCTTTAATGATATGTTTTTTTCAATCAAAACATAAACTCGTCTTTTAATTGAATCGTTTCGTCAGTTGATTGCAATAAAAGTGAGACTTTTTTGTATCATATTTTTGATGGCAAACAATGAACACACAGAATGAAGACTACGAAGACATCAATATTGACAGTAAGGATGAGTCCAAGAATGATGAGATCGATGGCGAAGACGACGATATTGTCGACGCTCAGGAAGATGTGACCGAAGATGACGATGAGTTACAAGCGATGGCCCAACAGTTGAGTATAGATTACGCCAATTACTTCAGATTTGACATCACTTGTGAGGTATTCAGTATATCATATACTATATAATCATATCATTTCAAAAAATATTAATTTTACAAAACAATAATTTTTGTGTAAAAAACAGAAGAAGGAAACTGAAGACGCCATCGAAGATCTTTTAACACATTTGGAAGAGTTTTGCGGATTAATTGATATGATTAGGAATGACAATAATATTTGTCTCGAAGAAGTGGTCAATAAGATAACGGAAAAATCCAAAATCATGGACGAAGTCTACTCTAAAATCGATAGATTGGAACAATTTGTCGAAATTGTCAAAAAATGTGTCGACGATATGGACACTGAATTAACTAAAGCGGAACAGCTTTTCGGTGATAACAATAACAACAATCGGGTCAAGAAGTTTTTCAATTCTTTTATTGGCAACACTTCTAAACAAAATGATTTCAAACGACTTGATGTCAGTTATGAACCAAAAGAGATCTTTAGAACCGATGATTATATTAAGAGCTGTGATTTCGAAGCTGTTCCACAATCCGATGGCCAATCATCTAGTCGTAGCTCAAACACTAACAATGGTTCTATAAAATCAGCTATTGTTTAGCAGCCAATTTCAATTGCCTTCTTTGATATCATTGTTATTCAAACTTTGAAAATAACATTTATTACAAATATTTATACGAATGTAAAAAAAGACAATAATTTAAGAAAGATTTAACTAAAAAATATTTTTTATAGAATTATTTTATAATAATTGTTTTAATAATAATTTTTTTTGTTTAATTAAATTTAAGGTAATAAACAAAAATAAACTAAAACACTAATTCATTTGGACTCTTAATATTGAACTCATTTGGAAGTCATGTCACATATTTTTTGGAACTCATGAGTTAGAGATCACTCGAATTGTCCAAAACTACTTTCTCTCCCGCTTTGAAAGCAGGCATTCCTAGATATGGACATTTGGCGCACCGGAAGGCATCGCCTAAATAGCACTGAAACACATTAATAAAAAACAGAAATTAGATCTAAATTAATGATAAACAGATATCAAGACAATTATAATTAATGTAATACATTGCCACACGAAGACTTTGCATTTTGCGAATTCTCTTTAATCTTCTGTAAGGCCTCCGACTCGAGTTCTTCAGCCAAACCACACGAACAGTTGGCACAGGCTTTGCGTTGTTTAGTTGTGGCGCACACTTTGAGTGACTGTGGATCGGGTAGAGTCTTGTCTTCTTCAGTCAATAGTTCGTTATCATCAATCAAATCAACCGAATCGTCAATAATTTCCATTGCAGCCAATGACCAGATCTTAGAAGTAGACGACGACTTGTTGTCACCAAAATTCAATTTAACACTCGATCCGACTTCATATTCGGGTTTAGAGACAGTTATGTCATCATTAGTTTCAATGAGATTCACGAAACCATTCAATTTAAGTGATGTCACCAAAGAACCAGTTGTACAGTCTTTCGACTTCTTTATAATAAGTCGTCCCTTCGGTTTCAACGAAGACAACAATCGATTCAGATGTTGGTCATCCAGTTGTTGGACAGAACTGATGATCAGGTCGTGTTGGGTGACAATCGACGACACTATCGATGAATAACAACAAATCAGATGACAATCAATATTAGCGAACATTACATACGATTATTCAACTGTTGATGCGTTACATGACTTTCGCCCACTTTGTTGACAATGTTGTCGACAAATGTTTTGTCAATTGTATGGTCACTGTCGGTGATCAACAAAACCGAGTCGTTTGGCGATAAATTTGCGGCCATTTGTGTCTATTAACCGAAAATTAGTTTTCAATAAATAATTTTTTAAAAAATAGTTTATTTATTTAAATGTGATTTTAATTAATTGTGTTTTAAAAAAATAAATATAAATTAGTATTCAATACTGTATTGCAATGCAATGGAAAAAATGTATGAAAAAACTGTTCATAAATGTTGTGATTTTTGATTGCAATATAAATGCCATTGAATTGAATGCTATTAACAGAGACATTGCATAGAGTAATAGCAATGCAATCAAATTGAAACCAATGGTTACATTGTATATGAAATGTAAGTCCAATGTCTGTCGCACTCTATTGAGTGACAAACGTATCAACAGTTGAGACAATTTTTTTTGTGTCCATTAACTGCTTATTCATTGATTTAAGATTATTAATAGGGATCAGCTGTTTGGTCATCAACTAGAAAACAATGGCCACATTTCACGACGACATCTGGGGTGTCGATAAACAATACAAAGTGTGTCCTTATAATCGTAACCATAGAGTGCCGGCCAATCGGTTTGTCTATCATCTGATCAAATGCGAGAAGAAAAGCAAAGAACAGCTAATTATGTGTCCATTTAATGGCAAACATCGGGTCACTAAAGAACTGTTTGATCTTCATATGTCTAACTGTCCCGACTTGTATGTCATGACAAATGCTAACAATGGCATAGAAAACGGGGTTCTGGTGTCAGAACCGAACAAACCAATTGAAGTACCGATAAATGTGACCAAAAAGTGTCAACAAAGTGATGCTAATGATGGCAAAGATGATAATGAAGAAGAAAGTTGGGATTAATACTGATATTAATACTAATGTTTGCATTCAATTAATGCTATTTTTAAATATTGATATTTTGTTTCATTTTTTTCTATTAAGATTTCATTACTTTGAAGTTATATTTGATTAAAGATTAATATATTATACGATATTATATGTTAATAATTATTGTAAATTAGATTTAAATATTTTGATTGACTATTGAAACTATTGATAGAAAATACTGTTTAAACAATTATTACTTTTATTAGTGATATTTTTTGTGATGTTATGACTATATTGTTATCCAAACCTATAATGTGATGAATAATACAACAATTTAAACAAAATGTTTTATTTAAGTAAATATCAGTAATTTTTATGGAATTTTTGTAAAACAAATGTAAAGATAAAAGCTTTTAAAATATTAGACATTTATATTATTTATGACTCAATTAAAATACTGTAGATTATAGTGTCTAATATTGTTAGTTGTATTGTAATAAAATGATAATTAATGAAACTGTACGCTAAAAAGCTTAATCAATAATACAGTAAAAGTAATAAATTTATTATAAAATAATAGATGTTTTGGTGTATAAATTGTGAGACAATGTCATGAAATGTTTGAATAATTGCATTAAAATGGCTGAAGAAGTGCTGAAAAGAGCATAACTAGTGATAAAAAGTGCATTTAATTCATATGTTTCGTCAATATATAGAGTAATACATACAGTAGTAATGGTAAGGCCGGGCACCGGCTAATGGACTGTTTTCCGGCCAACATTGCTGTCAACGGATATGGAGTGGAGATTCACAGCGACTACTATAACAACAACTACAACAACCACTACAATCCCAAACCACTTCTCTCAACAGTGAACAGTCATCTTTGGCAACATTAACAGCTATAGAAAAGTGTTGGCATTCAATATACAGTACTATTCAGTTGTAAAGCACTGGTAGTTATCCTTTTGATACTAACAACCATTTCTTTTTTTTTTGGTAAAAGTTTTCTTTTCTTAACGTAAAAGTCTTTTCATAACTTATATAGTATTGTAACGGAAAGTAAGGAAATCCTTCGGAAACATAGTTTTTAACTCAAACCGGCAAAGGAAGGAATTGGCACTTGGATTCAGTGCCAACTCAACTGAGAGACCCTCTACTGTAGATTGGAGTCCTACCAGTGCCACCAATACATATGTACAGTACTATAAATATATATAACAGTTATACAGTATATACAGTAACAATGAAGTTGACTTTAACTTATAACAAGAAATATGTCTCACATTTGAAAATAGGGAACAAATGAATGTGATTCCGATATGGGGTTAACAGGATTTCCTATTAAATACTATACACTAACTAACAGTTCTATAGATTCGTGTTAATTATGTCTACTTTTTATTCATTAGACTTAAGTTTTAATTGTGATTACATTTGTTTAACCAATTAATACAGTATTAAAACTATTGCAAAAACATTATTGATTTGAATTTAAAATTTTTGTATTTTATTCAAATAATTTGTTTTTTTTAAACAAAGATCGATGAAAAGCTAATTTTATTTAAACATTATTTTCTAATATTGACTCTCATTAGAGTATCTAAGCTAACAAATAGTCAGTCTTTGGAAAAATAAAATAAATTCAATGCAATGACAGCACAACCAGTATTATAGTGAGTGCCTCATCACTGACAGGAAGTGCTGACTCAGTTTACGGTGTATTTCCACAAACTATAGTCACTCTATTCATTGATATAACATTAATAGAGACAGTGATATAAATTTTGATTATACAGACAAAAAATATATATATAATATTACCATTTAATATTGTATGGTCGGTAATAATGGTGACCAAAATTGGCACACATTTAGCACTATATGTTTGCTAAACTAAAATTATAAATATATTTTAAGTACTTAATGTCTAATCCATAACTAAAAATATGTATTTTTGTGATTACAGTATTTCCATTAAAATAAGACTATATATACTGTATATATTTAATATATTTATAATATAAAATGAGACATACAGTGGTGTCTCTGACTGTCCCTTAAATGATTTGGATGTACAGTACTATCCTCTTTCCTAAAAGCTGTTCAACAACAGTGCAAACATTGTTTGAAGAGTCCGTCACCACAAACTACACGTCAACGGCATCTCAAGAAATGCCAGTTTGAGAGTTGTGGCCAAACCGTCAGTCATATGTGATATAAAGTGAAGTGTCATTCACAGCGTACACACACACAGACACACCAACACCTAATACCCTCTCGAAAGGCATTCACTGAAATCGTATATATTTTTTGGGGGCTCTTATGACCATTAAGTTTACCAAACAATAACTATTACTACAGTATAATATTGAACATCATTTAATTGATATAATTTTGAAGTTATATAATATATATATATATATATATTTAAATTTTTATATTAAATTATTATATGATGATGTTTAGTGATATTAGTATTATTATTATATTTATTATTATTTATAAGGTACATTAAATAAGGTAGCATGATAAGGTATATCAGTTAACTACCGTATAAATAAATATATATTATTTATAACAATTTATTATATAAAAATGTATAATAAGTAAATTTTATTGATATTATTTGTTACATTTATTACTAATTTTGATATTTGTTAGATTAATAATCCTCTTATAGTTTGTTAAAAGTTTGTTTAGTAATAATTACAATTAACAATAAGTGTTGGATCCATAATATTATTATATATTATAAGTTTGTAAATTATCTATATTTGAATTTAGTGTTTATTATAAAAATCACTACAAGTTTGTTGATATATATAGTAAATACTGAAATACAGGTCATTTGATTGGAAATAAAAAACAGATAAATTGATAAAATTAGTCAACAGTAAAAACAGTTGTCTTTAGGGAAATCAATGAAAAAATCACTACTAATGTAATGTAAAACAGTGGTAAAATTGGATGAGAATTTTTTTTTGTATTTCATTATTTTCATTATAGAAAAACTTGCTTTTAGTAAATAAATATAATTGAACACTACATAGACTATATTGTAGATACTTTTTCTATAGACTGTGAGACAACCCAATCAATGGGACAGTTAGTTATGTGCATTCATTTGTCCACACAATGAGATAATCAAATACCAGTAAAAAACACTTTCAATTGTTGTTAAACTGAGAATGTCTTAGAAGTCGTCAGCAAATTGTAAACAGGGTTTTAAAAATCATTTGGGATTTCATTGCAATTGAATACATGAGTGATGAGATGTTAGGGAAAAAATCAATCCAATATAAAGGCATAAATAAAGTTATGCTGTCGTGTCATTCAATTCAATTCAATTTGCATTTCTCTAATTTATTGAATGCTAAAAACAGTCTCTCTCTCTCTCTCTCTCTCTCTCTCTCTTTCTACAAGTCATTTGACATAATAATTCAAATTGTCAGCAAAAATAGTATAAAGGCATTGATACTATATTTTATTTAATATTATGCAACGCTTAGCGTTTTTTTGTAGATTGCTTTTTGAATTACTAAAAAATGAACTGAATATAAGTCATCAAATATATGCTGTATTCAATGATACAGTTAGTAACAAAAATGTTGAAATAGGTTTTTTAGTATAACTATATAAATATACCATATAAATTTGTTACAATAATTGTCATTTACTGTATTTTCAATATTTTTTAAAAATTATTTCATAATATTAAAATATACTGTAGATATATAAAATATTAATAGAAATATCAATAATATCTAAATTTATTTATTTTATATATTAATAGTTAATCAAATAAATTTAATAAAAATAAAATAAATTTTTATTTAATACCTAACAAGTGTTTACTATATATTTTTTTGCAAATAAGTCTAACATTTCTAAGTACAACATACTATCTATTGTTAAACTAGTTTACGGGTCATATGTTTTCATATTTGTTACTCTCTTTTTTAATATCTGTTTATAGTTAGAAATAGTGACACAAAACGTTAGTCTAACAAATGAATAATATTTTATAATAAAAAATGTTTGCATTTGTTTTTCACTCAACTAATGAAATAGTGTTTGAAAACTGCTTTCGGCAGAAACCTGCTGTTTGTGAGCGATCTTTCATCACTTAACAGACAATAAAATATTACACTTTTTTTTATTAGTAAAAGCTTTAATATACAAAAAGCAGACATTAATTTTGTGGCAATTTATAAAAAGACATAATATTAGTGACATTTTTTTTAATTCATCAGACAATATGTGTTCACAAATATTAAAGAAACAGCAAAATAATGTTTTACTCTTAAGGAGTCTAAGTGCTGCTCAGGAAACAGGAAACAATAGCCTACAAGTTTGTGACAAGTTTTTTGATAATAATGAGTGAGTCGATAGAGAGAGAGAGAGAGAGAGAGAGAGAGAGAGAGAGACTTATTATTTTTAATGCATTAATGTATGTCTTACTATAAAAAGCTACTCTCGTTCTCTGTCTGTCTGTCTGTCTGTCTCTCTCTCTCTCTGTCTCTCTCTCTCTCTCTCTTTCTCTCACTCACTCACTCACTCACTCACTTTTATAATAAAACAATAAATTTAATAAATATAAATTGTATTAATTTTGCATTAGATGTATAAAAATAAAATAATAGAAAAACTAACAAAAAATAAAAATAAATTCATAATGAATAGTCAAATAGATTATATGTTTAACATATAAATTAAATTGTTACACTCAATATTGTTAACTAATATGTTACTTAACTGTACTAACACTACAATTCCCAGTTGGGACTCTCATAACGTGACATTTGGTATGACATACCGCTTGTATTGGTAAAACACATGATAACCTCCTGAGGGCCTGTCTATGAGTGAAGGCATATTGATATATAATAGATAAGAGTTAGAGTTATTATTAATATACAGTATATTTATGAACACTTATGTTATGATTGGTGATGCATATGCTTTATATCATTAAATACAGTATATCTTTATTGATATCACAATCAGATTCATTAATTTCATATAGTATTCAAACCATTTTTGCGACTTCATTGTCAATCTTATAGTCAAATGAACTCAAATATTATATTACTTTCTCCCCTCACTCTCACAGTTAATACTGACTGCCAGTCACTGATCATCACTATATCTTTCTAACAGTTAATGCATTGGACATTACATGATCTCTCTCTCTCTCTCTCTCTCTCGTAATATTAGAGTCAAATGTATTGTTATTGTGCAGATAGTATAGTAGGGGTACATACAGTAGTATACAGTAATATTATGTATAATAGTAGGCACTGTACTGTCATAGCCTCCCGTTAATCGTTACGCTACACAACATTGCGCTTCAATACATCTTTACAGTGATTGATATTTGCTGTGAGTTTAAGAGTCTTTTAAAAATAGATGTTTAATGTTATACTAAATGACAAAATAGATAACAATTCACGACATTATTAAACATACTTTGATACTGTTTTTTAAAAATTTAAAAATTTTGATTATTTTAATATACATTTTACTTTAACTATTAATATAAACTACAAAAAAGTTAACATTTTATTTTACAGACTTATTTTTTTAAAAATAAATGCAGACAACAAAATAATGATTATTACAAGTAATGCTAATAATAAAATTTTATAAATATTTGTGATTCAATTAAGTGTATTTCTGTCGAAAAATAATTCAATGATTTTGATTCACTTGTCGACTAACAGCCGGTAAACCCTTGTTTACCCAACCGTTTAAAAGATTGCTATTTACTAAACGCTATAATATGTTATATAATAATTGCTCCCAAAGGGCTGTTTTAGTTCAGATCATACCTTATCCCTGAACCCCATAATGTCAATGTTAGGGCTCATTATTATTGATAATGCGTTTACATAATGAATATACAGTATATAGTAATAACGGTTAGCCATTTGAATGCATTTAATGTTTTACTTTTTTTATCGTATTATTATTATTATTATTATTATTATTATTATTATTATTATTATTATTATTATTATTCAATAACTGATGAGATGAGGGCAATGTGTAAATAAAATTTAAATATAAAATGTCATATAAATTACTAATAAAATGATTATTTGAGTAACTAATCGATAAGCGAGTGTTGGTATGCAAATCAATTGCAATAATGTTGGGATTAAAAGGCAAATATTTTTGCTTGAATTACAAAAATAATACCAAATGTGTCAACAAAGAGGTGGCGTATAAATCATTGTTTGATTAACTTTTTAGTTTTTATTACCCTTTGCTGAAAGTAAGTAGTTTTTAGTAGAAACTATTCAAATATAAATTGTTAATAAATAAAATTGTTAATTTTTTTGAATTGCAATTTAAAATATGCAATTTATATTAAAAATAAAAAAAAATAATAATAAATTCATCTCTAAGAGTTTTTATTTATAATTTTATACATACAGAATATTTATCTAAATTAACATTATTTAATTTGGATACATAATTAACTTTTGAAAAATGTACAATTATTTTCTATATAATAATAATTGTTGTATTTTATAAATACAGTACAGTATACATATAATAAAGAGTAAAATTAAATTATGACTAGTTATAATATTTATAACATATAATTTTATAATAATTTTATAATAATTTTATAAATAACAATAATTTTGTAATCTTACACATTTTAGATTAATCCAATCTTGTATACACTATAATATTAATAATAGTATAATTATAATTTAAGATTTTTGTGTATACTATTATTATTATTATTATTATTATTATTAACAGTTAGATTACAATTAAGTAGTTTTTGCCACAATTTTTTTTGGATTTATTTTACATTTAATTGAGTAATATTAAATGGCAACTGATGTTTAAATTTTCAAAAAATTAAGATTTGGAAAAATTATACATTTATGAGATTTATTAAATGGGAAATATACAGTATATTATTTATATACTTATTAATCTAATATTATTAAGCGACCTATTGATTGTAAATAATATTTAAATATAATATCTCATAAATATTTTTTATCACTTAATCAGTTTTGTTTTGGCAAATCATAGACTAGTAGTTGTGTCTACTATACAATTAGATTATTAAAACATCAATAGTTGGTAAATGTTTTAATAATTAATATCTTATATAATAATTTAAGATTAAAAGTCTTAAATTTGGCTCAAATTATATATAATATACAGTATAAATTATAAGAAATAATAATATTATTATAATAACTATCAAATTTGAAAACATATATTAATTATTATTATTATATATATATATACGATAATCACTGGAGTATCAATGTTTCATACCTTTCCTGACATTAATTGAGTAAAAGTGTGTTAAAAGTAAGATATTAAGCGTTGCAATGCTTATCACGCGTAATGAGAATATGAGCCAATATGAGAGGTCACATGAGACGGGTGGTGATGGTGTGGCATTGAAGCGTGATGTGTGGCCGATGCCGCAGCTATATTTGAGTATAGATTGCTCGGACTCGTCCAATAGGAAGACGCCGACGGGAATATACTACCAGAAGTCGACGGAGAGATACCGGCGCTGTGAACGGCGGCGGCAAAGTTGAGGTGTTTTGCAGCCGATCCGTGATGTGGATAGCCTGGCGGCGGATGCATGAATAGATCGGCCGATTGATAGGCCGCTTTGTATGCCGACGGGTCAGCCGTTGTTGGTTGTGTGGCCTGAGCTAAACCCTGTGTAAACAAAATCAACGACTAAATTGAATTATTATATATATTACTGCATAAAGTTATTGTCGACAAATTTTATAATTATTTTAATTTGTCTGAACAAAAATTAATATTTAAAATAAATATAATAACCTGGAAATCAAATTTATAAGCGTATCGTTTGCCATGGACCTTGGTCATTATGTTTTTATCGTAATAATAACGCAAAGCTCGACTCAATTTATCGTAATTCATATTAGGCTTACTCTTCCTTTCACCCCATCTTCGCGCCACTTCATCTGTAATCAGAAAAACAATTATTAATTAGTTTTATCAGTCAATACATTCAACACTATATACTGTATTTGTTTGTATATTAATTGCCGTTTTACTAATTATTATGACAATTAATAATTTGTATATATATATACTGTGTGTATATAAGACATACCTGGGTCTGATAGTTTGAATTCTCCATTAGTTCCCTCCCACGTAATACAGTGTGAATTAGCACTATCTTGAAGAAGCTCAAGTAGAAATTGCCACAATTGAATTTGACCCGAACCTATAATTATATATAAAATGTCATCAATTTGTTAAATGGTGTTATCATTAAATTTTTAATTAACAAATGTTTTAAAAACTAATTATTAAATGTTTTTATTTTTATCACGACTAATAGAAATGTAAATTATATTAATGAAAAAATCGATAGATATTTTGTGTAACAAGAAAATCGTTTTATTTAATGTTATGCTTTCAAAAATAAATTAAAAATTAATACTAACTAAGTTATGTGTATAAAATATATTAATATTAATATTGTTATTATTATTATATTTTTTAGTTTCATTAAATTATGATTATTATTTTGCTTTTAATATATGTTTTATATTAAAAACAACATAAATAACTATTGTATGTTAAATATTAATATTGTGTGCAATGTTTAACTTAGTTTTGTTGATTTTATTTATAAACTATATTTACAACTAAAATAACATAATTTGTTTTATTTTGAATAAATATCGATTCTATATATTTTCTATATATTATTTTCACACAATTTATGAATAAGGCATTAAAAAATTATATAAAAATATTTTAACGTATAAACTACTCTGTATGTCTATCAATGATCAAGTAATCAGATTTTAGTGATAATAATAATAATACAGTAATGATAAATACTTTAATGAAACTAAACAATAAATTAATGAAAGTTATGAAATCACGTATTAGTAGATAGTATTATATGGTATATACTGTATTATCTGTAAAGTATATTAACTATAGTATATTATATGCAAACATAGGTTGTGTAGATAATAAAAAAATGATAAATAAAAAATAGATACTTTAGTATCAACTATTGTGAAACATTAAATATTGTGATACAGTAGATGTTAGATTATTATTTTTAATTGAAATGTTAATTAAGTTTAATAATAATAATACTAATAATACTAAAAATAATAATTATTATTATTGGTATTGATATAGTATAAGCAATGTTAAAGTCTAACCTGATGTTGTCAATCGTTGAGTTGTAGGTCCAAACATAGTATATGGATCTGCAAATATAGTGATAAATTTGAGATAAAATATATTAAAGTTAAAATAATAAAAATAATAATAGATATCATAATTATTAAAGACTACGGACTAAATGCATTGCACTTGTAATGGAGGAATCCATTAGTAATATAATATGATTTTTAAATGCAACGAAACCTTATGATAGAGTAAACATTGGGTGAAATGAGTCAAACCATCAAATTGAGGCATTGAGACAATACCAACACTATATACAGTATAATCGTTGGGTACCTCATCTCGACTTCAATTATAGCTAATATTCAGTGTACATAACATAAGACCTAACAATTTACTAAAAAAAACTTTGTGGTCACACTTTTATGTTTGTCTTATTTTTATGATATAATATTTACTTTATTTTATTATATGTGTGTTTGCTTTAGCTGTGAAATTACATCAAATCATTAAATTTTATAAGATCTTAATCCACTTAATACAGTATATTCAACAGTACAGTAAAATAATAGATAAATATTGGATATAAAATATATTTTCCATTAAAATGTATTATTTTACTAAATTTTATAATAAATACACTATTAATATATAATTTATATTATAATACCATTAAATTTTGACATAATTTTTTTTGGCTTTTTAAAAGTGATAAATGCCGACAAACATGAAAACGTTAAATCATATTATTGGTTAAACAATGTTTACTTGAAATGGAAACATCCGTATAGTTATGAAGTTATCAAAAATGGTTAACACAATTGGTTAATGTGTTGCCATTATATGATATGAGTGCATATATATGTTGTGATTGTGAGAGTATGTCTGAGGGAAAGGCATCGCCAAAGAAGGCAAACGTCCGGATGAGTGAAGGAAATTGACGAAGAATTCAACGATTCCTGTGTCCGGAATTTGTACCACTCTATTGATCTCTGACTCTAAATATACCGGTGCTCTCTAGCATTTTCATACCATAAATTTATGTGTAAATACAGTACATTTTCATTTATTATATTTTCAACATTTTATTTCATTTAATTTGATTTTCTATACAATAATTGTAATTATTGTTGAAAAAATCGAGTGATAATCAAAGGGTTTCTTACAATTGTATTGAAAAAATTATATATAACTAAATTTTATATTCAGTATATAAGTTATTATGTCGTTTACCAGTTTACAGTATATAATTTATATATAGAGATAAATACTGTACTATCGGTAGTATATTATAAAAAATGCAATAAATTAAAGTTAAAATCACTATAATATCGTTGGCTTCCAGTCATTTGAGTTTGAAAAGAGGGACACAAAAAAATGTCTCAAACATAAGTAATTTACGTCTTATATGATAGCTTTATGTTGTTTGAAAAACATGATGTGACTGTAATGTACTGTAGTGTAGATTTAAACACAAATGTTTGGCTTTTAATGTAATGTTAAAGGCTATAAACTCATCGCACACACACACAGCTATGACACTCTCCCTGTCCTCACTGTTGTTCACAAATTGTGTGTCTGTATTGTGGATTCAATTTACAAACACTATAGTGAAAAAAGCAATGATTTATCTTTAGCTGTCGTGTGATAGTTATCACTCATGTTATATACTCTGTTTGTATATATCAATGTCACATCATATCTAATAGGATTATGGTTTACGTTTGAGATTATTATAGAGTATTATATTATATTTATATAATAACAATCTATTGAAATCTCTATATAAATTATATTACTGTAGACTTTCCACTTTAAAAAATATTGTCTAAAATATTTATTTCTGTTGTATTCCCACTAAAACATTTTGATTTTGTTTTTTGGATATACATATAAAATACAGTATATAACGAAAATTTCCATTTATATTATAAACAACTTTATAGCTCAAAATCCAAAGTGTGCCCATTTGTATAGTAATACAATTGCAATAAATACTACTTTTATGTAGTAATAGTTATATATAATATAAATTTATATATATATATATAAAAAATATTTGTTATAAATACTTATTTTTTCAAGAATTAGATATACATCTCTAATCTCTAAGTTTAGTTTAGTTTAGTTTATAAATGAGTCGTAAATAAGGAATTTCGTGAAAATAAAATGATATTACAAATGCATTGAATTTTGTTGAGTTTATTATAGACTGTCTTTCTATTAGGAGTGGACTCCCTATACAGTGAATCGCAACTATTGCTAAACAGCAGTTAGGATTCACTGATGCGTTAGTTTAAGTCCATTCAATACAAGACCTGAATATATAAATGGTTTTGGGATGAGTTAAACAACAAAAAAGTTATATAAAGAAAACTCATGTATACGTGTTTTACGATATGATATCTTATTTAGTTTATTGTCAAATACAAGCAGGACTTGTAAAGTATGTGTGCATTGGATTTAGTGAAAGAAATTAAGGCATGAATTGATTGGTTCATTGCTTATACAATAGCTGTGATTTGGACTGTTTTTGTCTCAATTTTTAATGCTAACAATTGTATTGATACATACCCTGCATATTCCGTAAGTGTGAGTGACTGTGCGGCTCCAGTACTGATGGCTTTGTCATACCGCTGATGGCATTGTGATGATAGCCTGTAATGGTATGCAAATTGTATTTAAAATGCAATGTTTGAATTCAAATCTTATTTAAAGTAATAACATATAAATTTTATACTCAAATTTTGTGCAAAATTATATTAAAGAATTCAATAGAAGCTGAATATATAATATTTGATTCAATTGTTGAACCAATAAATTATGAATCACTGCAAGAATTGGATTCAAATAACAATAATATTGTCAACAATATATGGCATATAATTTATAATACTATTGATTATCATTTGTACTCGTTTTTAAAAAGCCTTATTGATTGGAGAATATAACAACAACAAAAATAAACTCATATTTATCATTCAGTTATCTTTGAATTTTAGCTAAAAATAAATGCTTTTACATTAGTTTTAATATGTGATTTGTGGCAATACTGTTTGGCAAGAAATTAATAGCATATTTCATGTATCATATATAAGCTTATAATTTACAGTATTGTAGTTTAATATTAATGTTGAAGCGATAGGACTGGTAGCTGTAATCATATAACAAATATGTTGGTAGTCGTCAAAAAGTAGTGTTTTCACCCCCTCATCCATTAGATTGTAGATGATTAGCCTTCACATACATATACATAAAATACATATATCTATATAATAATAATAATAATGTGAATATATATGTATATCGTGCCAACTGAGACTTATTTATATATTAGTGTAATGCCATAGAAAGTGGTGGTTCCACGCAATAGAGCACATCATTGTGGCTTCAAATAAGCCAAATGACGGCAAATAATGCACTTTTATATTCATTGGCTTTTAGTCACTTAGAGATGTGTGTGCCGTAAATGTGAAGTGCATTAAACATTATTACGATAGGCATTACATAACAACTACAACACTAGTTTATATATTATATACAGTATACTATGCTAGACATTACTACTTTATTTTAAGTACATAAATATATATATATATTTATATATGAATATATAATAGATAATATAAATTTTCAAAACATTTTTTTTTTGAAAAAAATAACTCCAATTATAATATTTGTTAGGACTTGAGGCACACTTTAGCTATCGGATAGAAAAATAAGCGCTAATGTCTTGGTATTACAAGTTTAATGCTATTGTTAGCTAAACATATTTGTTAAAATATTTTATGTGTTAGACTAGTTTTATCATACAGTATATACAGTACATAACCTATACCTAAAATACATATAGAAAAACAACAATAATGTTTTACATTTGTATGCTTTTTAAACAAGTTTTTTTTGTTGTTGTTATGTTAAAACACTTCTGATAACTATAACAAATCTTGAAAAGTAAGCAAAATTTTTATGAATTATGATTTGTTTGCTATGAAATATATAACAACACAACAAAAGTCAACTTAAAAATCTCTCTCTCTCTCTCTCTCTTTATATATATATATATATATATATATTATTTCAGTTAATATTCGTGACTCTCTCGTACTCTTTAAAAAACTATTTGAATGCAAAAAATGAATGAATGATATGACGGCATATAACATAAGTGTATACAACACTAATATAACAAATGAATTCACGCGCGTACTGTACTTTAGTCTGGATGTACTGTACTAACAGTGCACTACCGCCTACAATAAATAGGGTATTTGTCGATGCATAGGACCGACTAATTTGTCACCTGTATTGTGCCGACATATTATAACAACGCTCACCCACCGGTCTCTCTCTCTCTCTCTCTGTACTGTATGTGTAAATTATGTGAGTTAGGGGATCGCGTGCTAACTCACTGTCCCTACAGAAGCAGACTTTTTTTATTTATATATTTAAAGAATACATTGGAAATGAATGTAAGACTCAATTTGTACAAAATATTAGCACTAAAACAGTAATATTTGGACTTTATATATATATATATAAATATATTTTGGTGCATACGCTACATGTAATAATAATATGAATTATATTTTATATAAATAGTTGTATTATTATTATTATTATTTTCATAAAAATATTGTTCAATGATTGCGGGGGTTGTTGGGTGTGTCAAACGGTAAGTTAAAAAGTCAACAAAAATTGATTGCTGAGAAAAATTGAGTGCCTATTGTTAAAAGTTTGAACACAAAAAAATAAAATAAACTGTTTTGACGTCAAATGGCAGTGAGTTTTGATGACTATGCTATAAATCTGGTGAAATAAAAATGAGAAACGATATCCAATTTATATTATATTTTGTTAATTAGCTTCAAATCAAATGCGTGAATGAGATTCTCACGAAAAGTTATGGACCATAACAACGATGGGAAACGTTTAGCCATTAAGACCAGAGGTTAACACTATTTATTTAGGACAACACCTGAGCCCTTACTACCACTCCATACCATACAGTGTCTACTGTAGTCGTGTATAATCTATTCATTATTATTACATTCATTGTATGTGAGAGAGAGAGAGTGAGTGCCGGAGAAATACAAATGAATAGTAAAACCAATCATTGTATAGAAATTTGCGATAAACTAATAATGTTTACAAATATATATATTATATATTGTATATATTATTTATAATTATAAATTCTAATAAATTTTAAATAATTTAATTTTATGAAATAAATTCAACATATAATTTAGATAAAATATTAATTATTAATATAAAAACAGTTTAATTTAATCATTTCATAATGTTTTTATAAATAATATATAAAATACTATAATATTTAACATTATAATATTCATTGGGACGATAGAGTTGTTTCAATATTTAATATTGTAATAAATAAAATTAAAAATTATTTAAAATTAGATTTCAATTTTCAATTTAGATTTTCAGTAACATATTTTCAAATATGTACTGTTTTTATGAATCAATTATGATTGAATGCAATAATATTAATACAAAAATAGAAATATATTTGTTTTGTAAATTGGATTTATGCGGAAATTATTTGAAAAATCGTAAAATACAAATGACTTTGACTTTATACGTGGCAATAAGTTTTATACTGAATATTATTTTATACATAACATTTAACATAAAAAATGTCTAAACTAACAACTTTTGAAAAAATATTTAAAAATTAAATATATTTAGACAAACCTTGACTCGGGGAAGGAGACGGTGAACCCCACGCACCCTTATATGAGGTCTCTGTAAATATTTTAAAATATAATTTATTAATAATTATCAGTAAATATTATAAAATATTTTAATATTGTTTTATCAGATTAGTTGTTTAGTCATATATCAAATGATAATATTACCGGTGAATAACATTTGGGGATAATTTTTTGTTTGATTATAAAATGAATCGGAAATTAATGAAGAAGTGGCCAAATGTTGGTCACAATTAGTTTCTGATTTAAAAATTGTTTGCATATATTTTATTTAAAAAAACAATTATTAACTATAATTGTTTTGCATGAAAATCTTAAAACATTAAAAAAACTATATTAAAGTTTTTGGTCAAACAATATGCAATACCAAACAAAATTTATAATAATTTTTTTTAAATAAATTGCTTAATTTTCACAAACAAACAAAAATTATAGAGAAACACGATTTTTCAAACAATATTTTCAAAGTTGGTGTCAGAAGAAAAAAAAACTTTTATTACATGAAATTCATTTCATATTAAGCTGTTGTTTGAAAGCGGAAGACAAAGTAATAATTAAAATGCAAAGAGTAGTAAAAAAATGTGACAATTGTTATATAAGCAAAAATACTGCTAACAAGTTAACAATGTTTAAAGCCATTGATCAGTTAGCTAGTGATGAGTTGTATATTATATGATATAAGTTACCACTTTATATACTATGTATTATAACATATATATTATGATAGAAAAGTTATATTTGACTGTTATATGTATTGGTAATGTCGTTGACTAGAATAGCAATAGTGATCCCAATATCGATCCCAATTGAGAGCACTGTATGTCTGTATTGAGTTTTGACATTCAGTTGTAGCGCATTCAGAGCAAAGGCTTACACATTACATACATACTGTATATACAGTACATAAGCCAGCGCTGCATCCAAACAGTGAGAACCAATGGTGAGACTACTGAAGCCAACACTGAACACCAATGGAAAGCATATTCAGCGACCTTTTGGGTGGGAACTGACTAATGATTTTGACACTAACTATCATCATATATAAGCTCATCATCTTATTTATTGATCTAATATTTTGCACAAAATTAAATAAATGACAATTTTTGCTGTCATAATGTATAATCTTAACACAAACACACAGACATATGCCAATTATTATGTATAATACATCAAATATTTAATTATTTTTATGTTAAATTCATTTAAAACTAAAACATACATTTAAATATAATGTATAACAATAATAAATTGCGAGTATTTTCTTTTTTAAAATTTAATGGTTATTTATTTAACACTAAAATTGAAAATAATAATAATGTTAAATACTAAAAAATTTTCAAACATAAATATTTTAATAATTTGTATAAATTAACATACTAATAAAATTTAGTTATGATTTTTTTAATTTAAATATAAATATCTATCATTAATATAATTACTCTATGATTTGATGATACTTATGGTCAAAGCACTCAATCAAATAATATTGTTTTATATTTATACTCTATAAATATATATGCATTTAATAAATAGTATAATGAAATTGCATTTAATAAAAAAATGTTCACGTATTAAGTGGAGAAAAACGTGAAATGATTATTTATAAAACATTTATATATTGTATTGTATTGTATATATATATACATAAATATATATATAATATAATATAACAAATAGGGATGTGTTAGATCCGGTCCGACTATTTTTTATTTTGCTATATTTCCGAAAAATTTCCGAAAATTGTTAATATTTATCATTTAATTATAACATTATGTACTAAATTTATATGATATTAACAATTTTAGTTTTAATTTAATTTCTAAATAAAAATGAAAACATTAAATGGTTAATCAATAGATACTGTTTATATAATATATATATATATCGTATAATTTTAGGATATTTCCCATTTAACTAACAGTTCATAAGATAATCCCATAACTAAAGCTTATAGACATAACCATTCATTTCAATAATCATTGTATTGTTAATACAAAATGAATATAAAATCAATTCAATTCAATATTTTTTCATTTGATTTTATAGTTTTAATGGAAAAATATACACAAACAAAGTGTAGACTCCTGTAGAGTATAGCAAGCCTTTTATGAATTGTATAGTTGAATGAATAGCAATAATACATTGAAACTACAATTGAGACAAAAATGTGAAAACAATATCAAACTAAAAAAGAAAAATATATTCAAAAACAGTGCAATTCATTGGCACACGTATGACATGAAACATAACATAGAGAGCACACACAGAGAGAGAGAGAGAGAGAGAGAGAAGTGGTGTGCTATGAGATGGTAAGTGAGGTCACATTGATGTCGCATATTCTCACATACCGTATGTAAATAAGAGACGTTCACTTTAGGCACGTGTTTGTGCTCTGTGTGTTGGTTCAGGTTCTCAGTATCCCCTCCTGAGCCCACACGTGGCCCAACTAAGTTGTCCGCATAGACGCTAACATTGTTAACATATAACATACTGTAGTGTATATACAGTATATATCACACTATACTATGTCGGGCATCAAATCTCACTGAAAGATAGACATAGAAATTGAATGACCCGACGGTCGACGGCAGGGTATGGCTAGAGATACAACAATTTGATACGGCTTTGGCTTTGGATGCAAACAAATTATGTATGACTGTGCAGATGTAAACTCATTATTATTATCAATGATATGAACATCCCATTCACTTAAGCGTAATCTGATGTGACTCTCATGCGGTCCTGATATCAATGAGGTGGTAGTTAACAGTGCTATCATCACTACTGTCGTTATATAATACTTTATTGTTGTACTTCACTGCTATAAAACCGCATCAAAACATTGAAAAAGGAGAGCAACAAAAGTGCTTTTATGTGAATAAATGAATGAATCAATGATTACAAACACAACAACATATCTATCTATAAGTTTGTATTACAATCTCTCTCTCTCTCTCTCTCTCTCTCTTGCAGTACACTTAGCTATGGGTCAAAACCCATTACAACCCTCTCTTCCCAAATAACATTCAGTACATTAACAAAGAGACTAAAAGATAGTTAATGTAATACTCTGACTGCTATTAAATCTGTGTTGCGATACAAACAAAAATGTTTGCCAAAAGCAATATTTTATAACATATTCTGAGTCAACTCAAAATCAATTTAAAACTGTTGAACCGTAAGGCATAAACTTATTGATTATTATTAAATGAATACTAAAAGAGTTAGTCAATAATTTTAATACTTTACAGTTTTAAGGCATAAGAATATCAGCTAATATTTGTAAATAAGCTGCAGGTGTAGCACATGGATGTATAGGGACTGTTAGATAGTTATTAGAAAAGAATATAAAGGTTGTATCAAAAGTCGATAATAAGTAAGCGATTAATACGGTTCCTGTTTAGAGAGTGTTTGCATCCATTTGTCATTTAAGTTAAGTTTAATTTTTTTGTATATTATAAGCACAAAACACAATGGCTTTAACGCCTACTCAATTGACAAACAGGCCATCTAAGCGATTGTCAATAAAACTGTTCCCTTTATTTATATATACAATATGTATAGAATATATTGTCGATGACTCCCCATGTTTTATAAACTATCTTTCATTTGGAGACAATATTAAAGAAAACATTTGGACGACTCTCTCTCTCTCCAACATTTTGAATGCCATTAGTATCATATCTTTAATCTACAATTGAAAGACCAGTAATGTCATTGAAATCATTGAAATATATAATAAATTATGATATTTTATTACATATATTATGATGCCCTGTGTTGCTGACCATAATAGCCAATGGTTTCAATTGAAAGATTATATTTTATATGATATCAAAGCAAATATAACAGCGTTTGAATGAAACATATTTAACAATTGGTAAAATTATTACAAAATCTTTTTTATAAATAAATATTTTTATTTATTTCATATATTTTATAAAATTATCCATATTTTACTTTATATCATTTATAGTCTCACAGTATGTGTTCATAACAGTTACAAATTAAATAATATATATTTTATTTTGATTTTTAAAAAGCTTTCAAAGATAATGATCTGGCATTAGGACACATATTAATCCATTTACTGTTGCAGAGGCCAGGGATGACACATACAGCTTGCGTTTTGGATACACATATGCAACACAAGGTGTTTACTATTTGACGTTTGTATGGGATTTGCATCACAGCTATTGTGTAAACCAAATGAATAAACAAATTGTTAACCAACAGTGCAAAGGCCTAACTGTAAACTAGTAATGCAAATGTTAAAACCCGTTGCCTTTTGAGTGTGCGGGCGGTATATACAGTATATAATGTTAGATATATATATGACGATTGAGATGAATAGGGCGTGAAGTTAAAGGATCAACACATTCAGTCATTTTACTCCTCAACTCTCTCTCTCTCTCTCTCTCTCTCCCTATATATATATGTAATGTCTGTGTCATACAAATGTCACACAAAAGAAACCCAACTCCACAGCAAAGCACAGGCAGCTATAAACTGGGCCACACTTTTTTGTATGACTTTCCCAGACATCTATAACAAATACAAACAATAATTTATAAACAACTTTTAGAGATTTTGACTCAATTTATTTGTCAATAAAATTTGACAATTCCTGGTTATCAATCAATTCAATATATGAATACCAGTCATGATATTCACCCGATTTTTGTTGAAATCTTATACTTTTGGGTCATATATTTTTTTGTGCAACAAATATAATATTTGAAATATACGTATAGTATATAACATTTATTCTCCAACAAATTTTTAGTAAATAAATATTTTGCTAAAAATGAAAAACAGTTGAACAGTCGTATACATTATACTGAATTTATATAAATATGGTTTAAATAAAAAGCAAAAATAGTTGAATGAAATGAATATAAATTATTAAAACGGATGGAAGAGTTTAGATGAGAACATCAAAAGTAGTTTCCGTTTAGTGACCAGTAATGCCTTGACTTAACTTTAATGATACCGGAAGTGAGGAAATATGAAATGATTGAATTGTCTACAGCC